ACTCGTATATATATATATATACAGTATATATATATATTAATTCAATGATACGTACCAGTACAAATAGACTGATCTATTGTTAGTATCTATATAACCTAAAGTGCTGATTAGACTAGTCCCACTGGCGAAGCTCTACTTTAAGTTGATTTACAGTACAAACAAGATCACCATTAAATAAGGGAGGCCCTTTAAGTAGAAGATTTATATTTCCTATCTAGTTGTCACTATCAACATTTATATGGCTATATTAGTAACTATTTCAAAAGAATGATATGAAAAATGGAAGCCCTATAAATTGCATTATCGTATTAAGAATTTAGAACAATCATAAAATAGAAATACTAGTATATTATCTTCTGAAAGATAACAAGCTAATACCAATTTTGCAACAGATCGCGCAAGATAATTTAATAATGTTTTACATATCAGCATAATTTACACAAAAATGTAAATCATAGCAATAGTACACTTTGTACCCTATATAGAAGATGATGGACAAGTAACAGTTACTAAAAGTTTGCAATGACTTGATTGTAGTTATAACTGCTACTATACAGTATATTGTCCTTCTCAATTTATCTTGAATTTGCTTTTTTACTTGAAATTCGAAAATTTTATATAAAATTGAACAATCAATTACCCTTGGTCTTGGTAATTACTAGTATCAGTTTGAAAGAAATCTTCTAGTTGCCAATGCAAGGTTTCAAAAGTTGGCCTGTCTTCTGGTTCAACCTTCCAGCATGAGGCCATAATTTCGTAAAGAGCATCGGGAGCATTACTCATCTTAGGCATTCGATATCCGTTGTCTACTTGCTGTAACACCTCTGCGTTAGTCATACCCGGATACGGATGCCTACCATGTGTTATTAGTTCCGTTAGAAAGATACCAAACGACCAGACATCAGATTTACTACTAAATTTGCCGTCTAAAGCTGCTTCTGGTGCTGTCCATTTGATTGGAAATTTAACATTTTCTTCAGAATTGGCATTATAGAGATCTTCGCGAGCAAGACCAAAATCTGCTATCTTACAATTTAATTCTTTACCGACTAAAACATTTTGAGCTCTCAAATCTCGATGAATATAATTTTGAGATTCAAGGTATACCATTCCTGATGACACTTGAGTAGCAATATCAACTAGCTGGGGTAATTTTAAATCAACTTTATCCCTGCGCAGGTATTCCAATAGATTTCCTTCCGGCATTAATTCGGCGATTATATAAATAGGTTCTTCTCGTGTACAAACGGCGTACAGTTGAACTAATTTTGGATGACGTAACCTTTTCATAATAGCTGCTTCTTTCAAGAATGATTTTGTCGACATACTACCCGCTTTCATTTGTTTAACCGCTACTGGTGTAGTTTCATTCCATAGTCCCTCCCATACTTCACCGAATGCTCCATGCCCTAATTTCTTTTTCAGTTTTAAAGAGCTTCTATCAATCTCCCATTTATCCCAATGATCATGCGACAATCCGTAAGGTGTAGGTTTTTGTTGCTAAAAATCAAATTTGAAGACTTGATCACTACGTCATAAGTTAAACTAATCAATTTGTTTCTTTTAACATTATCTCAAGTGTAAAATTGAAGATTAAGCGATTAAATAACTTTCTAAATAAATAAATAAGATTAGGAAAATCGCAATGCTTCGTAAAACCGCAATACTGTATATGTGTCAACAAAAATTTCACTCAAAGAATAAGAGAAGCATAATTTATGAAAGTTTAACCGCAGCGTAGAAAAATTACATTTTAGAATTAAAAACAATCTTCAATCCATCGTTATCTGTTATTAATACTGACCGTCAGGCATGGATTCTTCAAAGTAGTGCACAGTCCATCTGCACTTTTGTTGTGATGTTTAACCAAATCTGGCAATGTCAGAAAGGAAATATTTGGAGCAACAAAATATTCTCCTTTATCTTTACGCCGTATCCGATAGTGCTTTATGTTATTCTGATCACGTACAGACAACGAATATTCTCCACGACGACTTTCACTTTTTCGAATTAAGAATGATCCAACGCCATTTCCTTCTAGTAATAACGATTTTTCTGCCTCTTGTACGTTTAATATCGCCAAAGTACCATCTATCACGTAATATAAGCGATAACGATAGCTTAATAACATAACTGAATTTGGGCTAATAATATTGACAATAAAACGAGAGCAAATGGCAGTAATCTTAAAACTACTAGCTGATGTCAAAGTAATCAAACCTAATAATTTATAGTATATAATAAAATAATTTATTTACTGGATAGTAGCACGCACTGTTATCGTTTAATAGAGCATAATCAGTAAATTGTGCTGCATCTGTACGATATCTCAATGGCTAATATTACTGGCAATAGCTATCAATGTCGATTCTAATGTTCACTACTGCAATACAATCCCGCAGTTCATTCCTATAAATATTACAATAAATATCTTTCTTCATTGAATTGTAACTTCAACTTTGGTAGAATTTATTAATTAATATATTTCATTAATATAAGATTATTAATTATTCAGTACTTTGTTCTTCCCATCAGTTAGTTTTCTATCTCAATTAAAATCTCACAAAAGTTCTAGGATCACCTTTACGCCCTCAATCTATATTTATTCTAGCGGAATGTTATTAAGTTTACACGTTGAAGAAGTAGTATAATTTTATTACTGATCAACGCGATTATAGAAGCAGAGATACGGCTATGCATATCGGAGATTTTATCTATCACAGTTTAGGTGTAGTTACAGTTTTACCACTAAATCAGCTAACGATATTATTGTTACGTTCAGTTTGTGAACAATATTAAAATCACTGAAGCAATCAGCAAACATGATAGGTGTGTACTGTTAATTTTCACTTCATGAATGTCATTAAAATCACTGAAGGAATTAGCGATAACAGGACAAGTTCATAGTTATGTAAAGAATCAGCCCGAATAACTTATCAATTGCCACACCTTCATGTAAGCACCATACAGTCATAAGGATACTCGTAGAGTTAATAGTAAAATTTAATTTATCGTCAGTATGCAATTCTATATCCTACTAACATGAAATTGAAATTTGTCGTAAGATCGGGTCCCAATCCATTAATTACAATTCAACGGTTAGATGCACAGAAAAAACTTGCTTTATCTACAGATGTGTTGAAGTTTTTTATTCCCGATCGCGTTTTTCTCGTACTCCATAGTTTTTAATACAGGCAGTCAAGTGAATGTCTCCGTTACTACCGCAGCATATTAAAATTAAAACTATATCTCGCCCGTGACATTTTGCGTGAATGATCGCTTATTATACTAAATATTTTTTTTTTATACTGAGTCTATGTAATATTAGACATTGTACATGTACTTATTTACGGTAATGCTTTTGATAGACTAATTTTCTATGATTTTCTAACTGGTACTTATCCTTCATGGCAACAATAGTAAATTAACTTCTTTTCTAGAGTCTTCATCATTATCCGTTAAGGTCGTCACGCAACAGTAATACTGTCCATTATTACAATGTAGCATAATTTACAATTCCGTAACATTAAATCTTTTCATATAATGGTAAGAGTTAATTAATAATGAGGAAAATTAAATGACTATATCGTAAATAAGATAATAGCAAGTATCAAGTAACTTTGTTTCAAGAATTAAAGACTGGCTTAGAGCGTCATCTTAATAATCAACTATAATTATAATATAATGCAAGGCATGAAGTATTGTAGTCTACTGATCCGTGAATGTTTCAAATGTAAAAAATAAATTTGTCTCGTGAACATCAGTTACAACCAAAGGTCAATAAGGAATATAGCTAGCAAAGCCCATTGACAAATTTTTAAACGTATAATATGTTAGTTACAGTTGACTACAGTTTCTAGAATACCGAAAGTAGTCCCATGTGGTGCCATATCCTATGCACTGCTTTGTGTATTGGCAACTTTCCTTTCAACTGTAGTGCGATTTTAGGCTATCAGGATTATATTTTACGCACTGCTAGCAATTTTATCTCATGCATTTCAGATTATTGCCGATTTTACGCTTAAAAACAGACATTATGTTTGAACTTCATATTTTAGTAACATAAATGGAAGGCGCAATATGCGTGCCGTAAAACACAAAGACGACAAAAAGAAAATAAATAGCAATGCAGTATATGCGTACGTGTATCGTATTCATTAAGTCAACCTGCAACCCTTCGTAGTAGCGTTGCTACCATTGAAAGTTATTAATCTGAGCAATTTAGTAACAAGATAAAATTTTAGACTACATACATGACATAAAATTAATAAAGTTTTTTAAAGATTTCGATTTCAGAAAGTATACAATATAATAATCAGTAAAAACAAGAATGGAGTACCATACATAAGGTAGCAATGACATGAAGTACAGACTCGTGTGTAGTTTCACTAGAAAGTGTACGAATAAAGTACGTATAGTATTGCAGCACCGTGTGTATTGCGAATCTAGCGCGTCCTATTTTATATCATATCAAATGTTGAGTAAGGCACAGCACATAAAATCAAGGGTAATCATGATCCTCACAATTTTCCTATGCTTTACAAATGTCATGTCAAGCTATAAAATATAATCTAGAAGACCATAAACTTCGTTATCTATTCAAGGATACTATTACGCTATTATTTTCGTTTACTGTACTCTAAAAATGCTAAAGTTGAAATTTATACTGCAAGCGTAGTGTTTCTCTTACAACTGATTCTTCCAGTAATCATGATAAAGTAGGATTCCTTGAAAACATGTATGAGCCAATATGTGAAATAATACGCTACAAAAAGGACCATCGTAAATGCACTGACTGAAGTACAGCACATCGTATGCACAACACTATCTTACGCTATTGTGTCCACTGAACTTCCGTTTACTTACTTAATATTTTATCGTTGATGTCTAGATACTATTTACCATTGCCATAATCATATTTTACTATATTTTCAGAATTCTGCCAGCTTAATGCTCGCAGTAAATTAATAACTGAAGAATTATTGTAAATGCCTATTAACTTACGGTTTTGCTTCCAAGGAAGTAATCTCGGCAACGAAATTACGTGGAATAAAGCCAATATTTTTCGTCCGGATAGAACGAGCAGACCACCAATCTTGATTAGATTGCGCAGTTTTAGTAGCAACCTCCATTTGATCACCAGCTTTAAATGATAAATCGTCTTTCGTACGGGCCTCATAATCGTAAAGAGCAATCACAATTGTTTTGGGTTCTTCTGGTTTGAGCTTTTCCTGCTTAGTTTTAACTTCACCAGGAACACCGGTGAGTGGCGGCGGCGGCGTCACATCAGTTAATGCTTGAGAATTTCTCCCATTTGCATTTTGTTGTTTTATACCTTTGTTATCCTCAGGAGAAGGATTATTACGACCCAGGCAATTGCCCATAATAATTAATTACTGAAAATATACTTTTAATTCAAGAAGTACTCCTAATATGTGGAAAAGTTACTGCTTCAATGTATGAAATATCACCGTTGCACGACTTGACAGTAATGAACTGTACGAGTGATCAACTAGAATTTCCGGCGACATACAATCTTACATTTAAAGTATGATAACGTGTGGGTTGTCTCAGCCTTAAAATCTAATTTGTATTCTTAACAAACTTTCAATTTCTTTGTGTTATACCAGTTATTCACACACAGCCATAGCGAAATCTCATTGAGTTTCTTCAGTTAGTAATCTGAAATGGAGTTCCAAGTTCACCGTTAATTCACTTCTTACAAGAATCTTTTCGATATTTATTCGCATTGACTGTATTCGTGCAGCTTTGGTCCTACGATACAGTACTTTTATAACTGTTTACAGTGTATTGTATGCATTGTGATAGAATTATTTATGCAGTATATAGTACTAATTTGCTAAGGTCCGTTACAGTATTATTTATATATTAGCAGTGCCGCGTTTTGGATATAGCAATTATCGTACGGTAAAACCTGATACATACAATATACCAAATGTACATCCCAGTTCTTCTACATGTCCGATGTAAAATATATTAGGATTAAGCAGTATAGTAGTAACACAATGTACAAGGCTATACACTGTATACAGCTATGCAGGATTATTCTGCAGAATAGTTATAGTATTCTAAATTGATTATAGGGAAAATTTTACACGATTTACGCAATTTAGAAACAGCATACTGTATATCCATAGCACTACCATGGCACTACTGTACAATAGTATACCGTTTATGCGTATATCAATATACAGTACTTTACGGGTAATGAGGTATGATGCATATGTTATCTTACTATTTTTTTAGGCGTTTACCGAATTACTGAACAAGAATTGAGGGCGTGCCATGGAGAGACTCACCTTGCTGTCTTCTATTATAGACTACTAAATATATATCTGGCAGTCCATAATTCTATGCATACAAATGAAAATGAATCTACTGTAATTTTATCGTTCCACTAGTGCTATTACCGTATACTATTCAAATTGAAGTTTAACAATTATTGTATCTTCAACGATTAGTCCAAGGTTGATGAATACATTGCTGTTGTTCGATGAGATTATTATTCTACGAATAGGTCATGTGCGAGGTCTTATAGTAGATCCAAGATTACGTAAGGTGTCATTTAACGGAAGTGCAGGACTTACATCTACGAAACAATGAGACCTAAGTGAGTCTATGAGCATGGGTACGACTGGTCTTATTACAGCCGTTTATGATACAATTTTTAGTCAGATTTCTCGATCGATAAATGATATACATCATACAGTATTCATTCCCTGTATATACGACTTTAGCTATCCTCTTTATATAAAAAAAAGAGAACGTTATTAAATATAATTATAGTATACGCTACTACAGTATTCGTATACTGTTCGTATTTTACCCGTACAATAAATAAAATAGAAGGGAGATCGCCAGCAAAGTGAGGGGGGCGGGAATATTTGCCTGTGTGAATAAATTCACTTCCGTTTACCATTTTTCGCTAGTGTACTATGATTATAACATTAATGGAAATGTGTGATTATCTTATTTCTTTTATTATCGGACAAGTAGAATTCTACGCAATATGATGATTGGTAAATTCTAGACTTGAACTATACAGCATTTACAGAAGAAGTTCTTAAAAGTACTACACTGAGTTACAGTGTACTGTACAGCATATACTGTGCTGTATATAGTGTACACTGTATAGTTTGATAGAGATTTTGGGTAATGAAAGAAAAAAAGGGTTCTACTGTAGTAGGATAGAGTACTGTACTGCAAACTCGTAAGTCGCCGTAATGTTATGTCTAGCTGACAAGGATTATGTGGACAGGCTGAGGATGAAGGAAGGAGTTTTATTGACAGTTAATTTGCTGATGGTTACTCTAGCAGTCAGCAGCACAGAAAAGAAAGTAATACTGTACAGTACTGTATACTGTACTGTACAGTACAGTACAGTACATGTGCATTAGATTAGTTGTCTCTGATTGGCTATCATACTGTTCTGGTACTGTACAGTACTGTACAGTACATTGTGTACAGTACTATACTGTATATATACAGTACATACTACTGTGCTATACTGTACTGTACTGTACTGTACTGTACAGTATAACATAACATAAATAAGACGTAGTTACAGTACGGTACTGAAGTTGCTGAAAAGAGAACGGCTCACAGTATGATACCAGTTGCAAACATGCTAGCAGGAGTAACCGCGTACAGTTTGTTGGTAATCAATCAACACCATGGTAACTCACTTAATGTGTGAGGCAAGTTGTGCCAGCAATTTATAGTCTTCTACCAGCTATGGATGCTTCGAAAAAAATTCATGTTATTAACAACCAGCAACTAAAACAACTAGCTGATTTACCTAAGCATGAAAGCAGATTAGCACTTGCCAAAGCGCTACATATGAAAGAATTCGACGAAGAAGACGATCTCAGAAGCTCTATTATTGCCGACTTTCACTATAATAACATGATCTACGCGGTCGATAAAGGCCTTCCATGGTCAATAGTCAATGTATTTGTCATGCTAGCGAAAGATATCCTAGAGCAATCTGCCGGTAAGACTTTTAAAAACAGAATAGCTTTTTGAACTATCATTACTTTCCTAGGCAAAAGTGTAATCCTTACAGTTTTAAATTAGATGAACATACTATTTACTTGAAAGCGGTATACGTGTATATTATACACTACTGTCAATTCTGATTCTGACATCTTGTCATGCATGCATCACAACTTGAGATGATATTTTTAGTGTCCAAGCTGTGTTATTCAGAGTATTATGAATATATTTATTGCAGGGAAAACGTTACCACAAAGTCTAACAATTTTTAAACGAAAACTTTCCGAAATCGCAAATTGTTCTAATAAATTGAATATACAGCATTTAATTGATCACATGCTCCAAACGTACTATCAACATTATCAATTATACCAGTATGTTACTTCGGAAAATCAGAAAGAAGAAAGAACTAAGCTTAAACTAGATATTGAACCCGTACTATCCAATCCTGTGGCTTTCAGTTCTGGTATCCCATTAGAGAAATGGGAATATAACCGAGATATATCCGCAATTGAAAAAGCTGAACGTGAAAGAAGAGACAAAAGAACGGTCAAACGTATTGTTGCTGAGAAGCAAACCACTAAAGATGTTAATCGGCCGTTTGAAAAGTATGAAAGTAATGATGAATGCTTAACGGAAGAAAACATTGCTGACTTAATTGCAGAAGCGGCCTCCGCTTATGTTACAGCATTCAAAGATAGATTGATAGAAAATATTGAAGAATCACGGGAAAATCTAGAATATAGATTATCCAAAGCTGCCCGCGGTCCTCCACCAAAATCAGCAAAAATTTCCAATGGAAGAGTTAGATCATCACGTAGATGATTGGCGTATAAAATTCTAACCTTTATAATGCATTATTATATTTCAAATTAATTGAGCAATCTGCTAAGTTAGAAACAGAACATGCTATCATATTCTTGTATCGCTTTTATCAAAATCGACACTGCTTAAAAATTGGCACTTTGTAATACCTCATGAAATTAATAGCCACAATGATACTGTGTATAGATGATCATCATTTTAACTTGTTTATCCTATGCTGATTATCTACTAGTCTACTTTTATGTGAGGAGATGAATCATTTTTAACTCCCAACGAATCTTGTATCTTACTAATATGAGCCTAATTATGGAACTTATGATATATGTATGATAAATAGTTCATGTTTTCCTTAGTTAAATATATTTAATTGATTGTTTTAAAAGCAAAAATAGACGCCTAAATGTTCATTGTACTATATATATATATATATTTATATAGGTGATTAAATTAGATGCCCATACCAAACAATCTCTCCGTGTCAAAATGTCAGTTATTTATTAAAAAAATTTTCAATGAGTGAAAATCGGTTAAATATTTACAAAATCATATAATGATAACAGTTTAATTCAAGTTTTTGAACTTTTATAAGCGTATTATATCCTTTGAATAAAAGAGTTATATTTACATTCACAGCATTTATTAATCAGCCTGAACTTGTCGACAGATTAATCGAAGTCGAAAATTATGTTGCTATATCAAAGCGTTGATCAGCTGGTATTTCATCAATACTGTTAAATCCCGCTGCAGTCAAGAAAGCCTGACGGATAATTCGCTGAGTTTCTACTTCATTATCTTTCAAATATGAATTTATCCCAGTGATAAAATATTGCATTTCCTTTCGTAAATTGGCTAAACGATCAGAATTGATTAAACTAAGATGATTCATTGACACTAGATTTCCCTTGCTGCTTATTCCTCGGATATGATAATATTGCTGCAGTGATGCTGTTAGCATAGATTGTAGTTCTTTTATCTAAAATTATTATTTTTAGAAATCAATGAGTTAATAACGAATACATAATGAAAGCAAGTACTTAAAATGTATCGCATATATCAATTCTAAAGGGCGCTAGACTAACCTGTTCATGGTCACCAAGACTCTTCTCTAACGCCACAGTAGAATCTAATATCTCAATCATATTAGATTTACTTTCCATCCATTCCTTTTGTAACAATCGGTATTGGTGTGATAATGTTTTATTGCCTTCTAGTTTGCTACTTAATTCAGACTAAAGAAGAAATATATAGCATAAAAGTTATATTCACCATACTAAATTAGAATGTTGAAAAAATTTAAATCAAATAGGACATTAATTACATTTTTATTATCCAAAACGTTTGTACGTTCTTTCATTATAGCTTCGTGCCTATCGGTTAAGGTTTGTAGGCGATCTGTAATGCAATAAAGAAATAAAAATAACGATTGAATTAAGAATTATTATTGGAGTATGCTTGTCGTATCATAAATTTATAAGTTATCATCTTTTCATCGAAAAGCCAAAACATCTATTCTTGCGTACAATAATTAAAGAAATCATTATGTACACTGCACAGCTCGAGTTAAACAGACATCTGTTATTTACCATTTATATTGTCAATCTCTTGATTTAAAGAATCTCTTATTAATCCTTCTGTATTTAATGTTCGATTTAAATCTTCTAGCTGAGCTCTATATGAAATGATTACAGGATTGTTATAATGTTAGAAATTTCGCGAGTGAAGTAATCCTTTTACACTAGGAATGTTAACATCGTTATTTAACTGAAAATTATTGCACTCTTTGCTTTTGTATGAAGCTAGCATAATTTATAGCTATTTGGTTATTTGCATGCTTTCTCCTGACGAAAGTACTTACTTTAGCTCAGCATTTTTAGGTAACGATTTAATAATCGTTTTTTCAATCATATGACTGGATGATTCTACATCCTAAGTGACACATTTAAAAGATATATCAACGTCTAAGAAATTAACGATATATCATAATTAATGAGATCGAATTCACAACAAAGAAACCATATTTTACCTCCAGTCTCTGATTGATAACATCTAGCGACCACTTCAATCTATCTAATTTTTTCTGTTGATTAAATACATCCGCCTAAAGATTCAGATAATTGTCCATAATCAGGAAAGATAGTCGAATATGTGATATTATTTTCTAGATACATATGATGGCAAACGCAGTAATTACTCTAAAAATGATAACTATTTTTAATCATGTAACCTTCAATTGGACTTCCACTGGCTCTAGTTCATCTAACTTATTTTGATAAGCTATTTCTTCTGCATTTAATTTTTGAAGAACTTCTGCTAACTTCCTTTCTACTTCATTAAGAATAGCTTTCCTTTTAGATAGCATATCATCGGATTTTCCCACCTGAGTATTAGCACGAAGTGAAGATGCATTTACTTTTTTATTCTTATATCTTATATTTTGAACAAAACACAGAACTATCATCGCCTTATTGTAATATCTTATCTTATTTCTATTTTTCGTTACTAACCTGATCACCAATAACTATTAAAGCGTCATCAAGACCTTTAGCTTTTCTAGTTGCCCTTTCTTCGCGCCTTTTGTAATCTGTCTCACTCTTAGCAAGTTCAGCTGTATCTGCAGTTATGCGAGCCTGTAATTACATATCAATAATAAAACTTTTAACTTATTATTTGAAACTTATAGATCGATAAATTACAATTGGCACCAAATAGTTAATATTCTACTAAATCTTCTTATTTATCTAATTTACTTGTAAAAGCGTTTTGGCTCTAGTTTCATCTTGCAATTGTTTTCGTAGAGTTTCTGCCGTATTCTTTAGTGAATCTTCCGCAGATGCTACACGATCTTCCTCGCGTTGCAATCGGCCAATTTTATCATCATTATCCAATTGAAGAATGCGTACTTCACTCATACAAAACTAAACCGTGATATCACAATTGAGTATTGCTTAAACCGAAGTAAATATACTTATAAACATATCTGTGTTACGCGAATAGATATAAAAGTTTACGGTATAAATTATTTTAATAACAAGTCTCCTGATTCGAACTTACATTAATTTGCTGATCTACTTTGACTAAATCCGATTTATATCGTTCAATATCTTTTCGACAACGATCAGTTTCTTTCGATAATTTATGAATTTGCTTTTTTAAAGATTCTATCTCAGACATCAATTGTAATTTTTTCTTTTTAGTTGTTTCTGTTGTTTTAATAATTTTCCTATTTTGATATTCTGCTCTAGCAACTTCTGTTTCGCCATCCATGCGACCTTTCTCATATAAGTTCTGCAAATCTTTAACTTCATTTTCTAAACTAGATCGCTCTTTACTGCAATCCACGAGTTGATCATTAATCACATCAATCTATTTGTAATCGATTAGATGTATTGTCTGGATTATTATACTGACCAGATAGCTTCCTTTTAATGTTAAATCAAGAAAGGAATTGGGTATCAAGGAAGTCACGATAATCAAACATACCTTGACATTTTGCTTTTGTTCCGTATTAATTAATCTTTCCAGTTTGAGCTCTGTGAAAGAAAATTGCATTAGTTGTACAATCTTGTCATTTTGTATTTTATAAAGGAGCTCATTTCTATACTGCTATACACAGTTTTATTAACTTGCGATAATTTTGTCATAACTGAAAGATTCTTACATACCTAATTCGGTAAATTCATGTTTATTTTCCTCCACTTTTTTTCTCATGCTATCAATTACTTGAGTATTCTTTAACTGCTGCTTTATGCATTTATCATAATTTTTCTCAACTTTTCGTAATTCTTCTTCTATTTTATTTTTTTCTGCTTTAATCGTTTCACGCTCTTTATCAACGCGGGTTTGCGCCTAGGATAGTTTTAAATTAACGGAAATAAAATGCTTATTATCATTGAACTCTATAGCCGAACCAAAGATATATTAATCTAGTAAGGTATGATACTTTTTAGAATAAATATAATGAGCTTGAAAAGCTACATATCGAAATTTTTACTAACTTCGTTCCTACGAGCTCGTGCATCTTCTAGTTTAACTAGTACTTTATTTAATTCTTCAGAAGCAATTTCTTGTTCTGCTCTGATATTGATAATTGCTAATTTCTCCAATTGAAGCTTTTGTTCTACAAGTGGACTAAATAAAGGCTGGGTATTTAGTATTTGGGTTAAATGTCCTGAGTTAATAATTTCATGTCATAATTTACAGAATTACGTAAATAAAATTCGTTACAGCTACTAAAACTTACTAGCTTTCTTTACAAAAAGATAATTCATCTTTCATTCTACTGTTCATATCTTCCGCTTTCAATACACGATCTTTTAATCTCTCTAATTTCCTCTCTTGATACGAATTATGCCATCGCAGTTCCATAATATCAAGTGCACAAGTTTCATGTTCTAAACAAAGACGAAAAATCTTTAATATTTATTTATTTGTATTTAGCTTGTTAACTACGGCAAATTAGAATAACAGATATAAGAATCAAACTAGGGAACTAGTTTACCTTTTTGTACTGCTTTGGGTAATTCGGTAAGTCTTTTTTTGGTTAATTTTTCAATTTCATTATTTAAAGATTTAACAGTTTTTATTTGTTGGTTTAAAGCCTTTCGATTACGATTTCGATCAGCCTCTAATCGACCAAGTAGTGTTAATACTTCATCGATTATTTCTTCCAAGGAAAACTTCTCCTTAGCATCGCCACTCCTTTCGCAATATTTTCCCGGCATGCTTGCCCCTATGCCCACAATTTCCAGTGCAGCTCTACCGCCCTGATGCTGATCGTGAGGTTTCAGTGAACTAATAATCGAGCTAGATGAGTCCATACCACTTTCAGTAGCTGTAGTGCGTGAAGTTGCAGCGGAAGAGAAACGAATCTGCCTGCTACTTCTATCATCAGTGTGACTTGATAGATTAGATATACTACGCTCAGACGCATCATTTTCATTTGCATTGCTTTCAAGATCATTTGTCTGACTAACAGTATTTGTATCTGTAATCGCGTGATCATCATCGGGTTTAGCCTCTATCAACTTGGATTCTAACTGTTGTAGATGCTCTATCACTTTGCGAATACATGGTGATTTCGATTTGCTTAATTCGCAACTTCTTCTTCGATGTTCTTTATTATAGAATTTATTAGCCCAATCTTCTGGTAATGGTCCAATTTGATCTAATTATTCAGTGCAGAAAGGATATAGGAATGTTAAATAATATAATTAGAAAAGAAGATTGGAGTTACCTTATCAAGTATCATTTTACTTATTTTAATAGCATGTAAAATATCATATAAGCATCGAAGCTTGCGTATCACTGTTAGCCGGCAGGACAGATATGTTGAATATCAGTAATCTACTTTACGGTACCTTCTGTTTCATCTATCTCTTCATCATCAACACGACCCAGTGTTATTTTACTAGAACGCTCATTCGTTGCTCCGGACTGAATGCCAGACTGCCTGCTGTAAATGAATAATCTTGGTGATCCTCGATACCAGTCGTTAGCTTCAGGTTTAGGGGTATCACCAATTGCTCCTACTTGAAAATAACCTGTCCTATCATCTGAAAATTCGGTTGCTAACATCGCCATGCCTATATTAAATTAAATTATTGTAGTTGTTTCATCAACTGTAAAATCGTTTGAAACTTCTCATCCCCTTTAAGATTATTTAGTTCAAACTAATGCTGTCATCTTAGTCGATATAGCATTAAATAATTGCTGTTTGTACGTAATATTCTACTGTAGAATATAATACGACGTTGAAAGAGTATAGTAGTTGGATTGTGTAGTAAACAAGTTTCCATGGCAACCAAATAATAGAATAGTGAATCATAGTCTGTCGCAATTTGCGTCTATACATGCGGGCAGTAGCATAGATTTTAGGTACATTAGGGCGCCTTACTCGTAAATGAGTATTAATAACTGTAGTTACTTCTGGATATGTTTGCGTATATTAATTATGCTTAACCTATCAAGTACAAAGGATTGGCCATTTATTGAAATACTCAAGGCAGTCAGCTACAAGCTTACGAGGAATGCCTAGGCATTCGTATGGTACGAATGGTACAAATGTGCTATATTATCCCTCTTGCTGTCAATACAGTGTTTTGTTTCGTATATACCGTACTACTCTATTATATAACAATATCATAGGGTAAATAGGGGAGAATGAGTTTATATCATATCAAGTGATGGCTTAGGGATTACGTGTATGTACTGCCTAATTATTGCATCTTAAACCGAACGGATGGTCACTAAGAGTTTTTCGCAATTGCCCGTAAAAATGTAAATATATTAACATAATAAAACATGTACACTATACCAATCATTGCTTATACTTACTGCTATCTTACTGAAATTTACCCTGCCAGAAGTAAGCATAACTTACGATTGATGATATGATGATCAATAAATCCTAATACTAATACTTTCTTGATATACAACTATTTAATATAGCATAGTAGTTGCTAATTTATTCATTTAAAACTCACTAAAAATTACGATCGAATTTGAATATAATGCCGTACCGTATATTAATACTAATGCATGATGGCTTATGCTATATGCCATGCGTGCTATATACAATGTTATATACGTGATGCATCATATTCCTGTATATTAGTGCTTACGCATTGTTTATGTGATAATTCATAATTGTAAGCCACTAATCAGGAAATAGTCGGTAATGAATATAAAGTTGGCATATGGAATACACAATGCATATTATACATACACTTGTCGGCTTCCTTATATAAGCAATACGAATTGTAATCCTTAATTAATTACTGTAAATTATTTATTCGAAAGTTTCTTAGCCTAACACGTACAACAAGCAATTAAATTATATGCATTATCCTATGCGATAAGAAAATGTGAGATATACGCCCAGTCGGTTTTAAGTCTGTCATTTTACAAGCAATACCTCTTAAACCAGCTATGGTTAAATTCGAAGAATATAGCAAACCTGGTATAGATCCAAGAAATCAGTATCCGCAAATGCTCTTATATTATCTAAATAATCAATTTGATATTTGATAACTAGAAATATTTTCTTTTAGTCACAATAAAGTTATATATAATTGCTCCATGTAATATTTCTATCTATCCAATTTGCCTTGTACAGTGTATTACAATTATTGCGGATAATATAATCAGAGTTTTAGTCTATAATGTACTATTGATTTGAGGCACTTTAAGCAGAAATACAAACAAGCAGGATATGAAATATTAGTACTTTATTTTGTTAAGTTTTATACAATGCAGTTAAGCAATTGCGTTGAAGCTTTTCGATACTGAATATCTGAACATAAATTTGTGATGTCATGCTTATAAACTGTTTCATAGCGTGGCATTAATTAATAGTTATATAGTGGTCATCTCTGACCACGATAAACAAAACTTCTATGATAACGATATTTTAATGAAGAAACAATAAAGTAATTAATTCTAAAATTGTATTTGAAAATCTTTAATTAGTAACTTAATTGCTGAATTTAGATAAAAACCATAACAAACAAAAGCATTTTAGACTAAATATAAATTTCTGTAAGGAGTAAATCTATCATTTAAGTTAATACATTCAAGCCTTTTCAAATCTTCAGAGCCAACAAATACTAGGGAAATCTTATAATTAAAGTCTGTTGTGTTAATCTAGCATTTACTACATAAATATGATACAATGCTGAAATTTATTTGAGGAAACATTATTCTTCAAGTAACGTAGAACAAACCTTACGTATATAAATATCTATGGTAGGTGTTGATGATGATCAATTACGCATAATATCATGCGAAATGAACATTTTGGAAAATTTACAGCCTTTATGAAAGCGACATTGTTCTAAGTAAGTATTCTGACGATATAATCTCTACATTGAATCTAGTAATCATATAGCATATTCAATATTGTAAGGTTTTAATAGAAATAAAGTTAGGATGATAATGTTAAGCTCGCATCGGGAGTTTCATTCAATATTTATACCGGGCATACCGAAATGGTCTGTCATAATTACTAATAGTTGGACCTACACCGTTATACTTCATACTGTATGTGCTTGTACTTTTACTTTACAATTCAATCATACAAACATTTTATTAAATACTAGCGATAAATAACTCAGAGTAATGTAAATTCCCCGGTCGCGACTGCCTGAAATATTATATAGGTAATTATGTTTTTAAATCTTACGGTTTATCGTGTCCGATTAACGAATAGGCAACCACTATTATAACAATAAATCGTTTAATTAAATATACTGGGTGTTATCGAACATAGTTTGCTAGTCGTCAAAAGTTGTTACGTTAACGTTACAGATATGCTAATGAAGATCATCTAATAAGCTTTAAGATTCCATGTTATAATGCATAAATAGGCGATCTGCTTAACATGATAATGATTCAATATTGACAAACTGTTTGTTTACAGGAATAAATAGTGATTGATAATTGTCAATCATAATACACCATCGCATTTACTGGTTGCTAATATTAACTACTCTCTTTATTGTCCTAAAAGCATTGTTTTATTACCTTCATGATGGATCTATATTAAGTTTTGGTAGCAACCACTTTATTTTGTCGTAATATTATTGGTCTTAGATACAAAGGTGGACTGAAAAAAAGTAACATGGCCAACGTTCCCGATTAGTCGTTCGACTTTTAAATGAAGGCTTATCATTAATATAAAGTACATTATCTGGATTTTATTGCTTGACCTACGTTATAAGCTAAAGGACTGATCTTTCTTTTTTTACCTTGACACTCATTTAATAAAGTAAGTAATTCTATTTAATAATTAATTAATTAGTTTACGTGATGATTTTGATAGCTTTCTTTGTAACAACAGTGGCCTGATTAAATGATATCGTTAAAGTCACGATATGTGATCTTGTTTGTAAATGTCACCACTTAGATCGCCTTTTACTATTATTTTTCTACCTAATAAAATTTAAATGTACCTACTTTATAAGTTATGAGCAATCAATTGTCATGACTGTACTCTACTTCACCATGATGGCACCGAGTGAGCCGGAAGTTAAATTTTTTAATAGGATATCTTACTCGTAGTCTTGATTCGACAACGAAATAATTTGCATTACTTCGTAGCTATGTTTACAGCAAACAATTAATTTATCCAATATGATAGTCCATCGTAAAAGTCTAATTGATTTTTACAATCATAAAAAGTGGGTGACAGTTTTAATATATTAGTTTTCAATAACACAAAAGATTATCTATTAATTTAACCAGAAAAAACATTACCAATAATTTGATGAAATATGGTGTTACAGGCAGATTAAATAATTGTTTTATGTTATGGATCATATCTAAACGATTAGCAATCATTTAAAATCACTATGGATTCATGGTTTAATTTCCAATCTATTCTTATAGATTATGAGCGAAAATATGGTGAATTCCTCATTTGACAGAAGATCATCATTAGCTCCACGTAAAAGTATAGTCTTAGATACAACATCTCCAGAAAAACAGCAACAAATTTATTACGTCTACCAAGATCAAAAATATATCTATAATATTAGTAAAGATACACAAGATAATAACCAAAATCATCCAGCTGCTGAACAATATTTCAATAGTCTTAATTATAAAAATGTTAAGGATAAAGCTCAAGCGAAAAGGATACAGATGGAAGAGATCGATGACGAAACATTAATCTTGAAACGTGCTCTACTAATTAAACAACATGCGGCCATATTAAAACGTAATACCAACAAACGTCGGACTCAAGAATGGCTCAAAGAGGAAGAAAATCATGAAACGAAGTTTATTACATCGAATAAGGTTCAACATGTACCTAGTGGCCATCGTAATGGAGTTTATCAATCTATTCCTAGCTTAAAACAGCCAGAATGGCCAGGCGAAAGTTCATTAGAGGTCTTATGGAATAGAAGTTCCCGTCAATTAAGCAATTCATTAAATCGTCGTTCTAAAAGTGGCACCCGAACTCGCCCATCATTAGCACCGGAGTTTCAACGATCCAGACACGATAGTTATCCGCTATTACCATCGACTACTACGTTAACTAATCAATTTTCCTTACCCAATCTTCAAAATCCCTACTGGCAATTAGGAAGCCCAAGTAAAGTACGTCACTTTTGCGGTACAAATCTATCATTTCCGGCATCTCGTATATCAGGTAGAAAAATTCATTCCGCGTATCAATAAGTGCCAAACATTAAAGTACTACATTATTAAATCGATGGAGAATATCCCGAAAATGGCGCATTATCTCCAAATTTAATAGGTCAGATTGTAATAGTATCCGTGTCAAATGCGATACTAATGAAAATACTGACAAGACAATGTTTGTAAATTTATATAAATCATAAATCATCTACGCTATATGCCCATAGATCCTGATGTTGACTACAAATTAGTAACGATGTATCACAGAAATTTTTAGACATCGGGTTTCCATAAATTCTAGTTTTTCGATTGTTTTATCATGAAACTACCGTATATAAATTCATGAAATCGTATCATTCAGATTGATCTGAACTTGGGTAATTTCACTACTCTTAATTCAACATATACTAAATATTTTCTTAACTACGTAAGAAAATTTCCTAAACCTTACTATTGCAAAATAGTGCTACTCTTTAAAATATCTTTTACTGTTTACATCAGTAATTATAGAATCATCTTTAAAACTACAATTCGAAGACACAATTTACTTAACGATAAAATGAATATTTCTTGAGCCTGCTATTGACGGCAAGCCTAATTGAAAGCGTCTGTTATGCTTACAAAAATTTTAAACTACTGGACTCCAATTCGATAATACTTTAATTTTATAGTGCTACTAGATGCGTTAATTTGGATAGACTTAAACGTGCAAATAACCGTAACATTAGGCTATATTTTAGAGAGGTACATTATAGATTTAGAAAGTTTATGCTCTAATAGCTTATTTATCAACTCTGCTATTATTAATTGCAACAATGGCGATTAAAATCTGTATAACGAATAACTTCCCCTATTCTATAGCTACGATTTGCCCTAATGTATATCGGGGAAGATTAGAGTAAAATTGTAGAAATAATGAGAAACGTTCTCCTAAAAATTAAAATTAATTGCTATATCGATTTATTCAAGTAAATTTACAAAATATTCTACAAATAAAATAATTAAGGTGTTGACCTATTTGTTATTGGAAATAGTTTATTGTCCTTCTAATTCTCAATTTTCGTAGCTATTGTACCTACTCTTAATATCTTAGGTTTTATCCTTAGGAGAGCGCTGTTTTATCTATATCATGTCGATTACTCCTATCATTACAAAATATTAAAGACTGAATATTATATTATTTTTACGGCAGCGTAGCATTAATAACAATTTTTTGACTGTATAGAATGCTAGCTGATATGTTAAATTGAATTTTTATCGAAATTGTTTACTTTTGATGTTGACTTATTCATCGGAATGAATAAAAATTGTTATATAAAATTTGGTAAATTTGATAGCTTCTGCCAATTCGATCTTTATTACTTTAGTATATTAGCATACCTATTTCTGTAACTAACACGTTTTATACAGTAATGAGAACCTTCGATGCTAAATAGGCTTGAATGGACTTAATAAATTCCATGTTCATTCATATTATATTTTACTGCAAACGAATACTACCATATTTATTTTCTCCTGAATAATTTTATTTTCTGAGACTCGCCTGCCTACAATAGATACCGTAATCCTGCCTGTTGCATAATCTCCTATCAAATTTAGTGTTAGAAGTAATTATTTCTATACTTTTGCCTTTATTTGAAAATTCTATTGGACTTTACTAAAATTAGCCTTAAAAATCCAATCAAATCTATTGCTACAAGTAATTATTGATAAACACGTACCTTTACCATTACTAGGAAATTTTAATTGACTTTATTCCTATACCAGATATTACATAATGTTGATGCCGTGGCTTCAAATACATATATTCTCATTTATTAGCCTCAAACAGATTTTAAAAAGTACCGTTAAGGTAAATGCTCTATTCAACTTTGGATAGAGTATAGGAAATGTTCGTTTATCAAATCGTCAAATAAGTAGATTCGACTTTAGTTAAGCTCCGAGAAAAAATTCTTGCAACGATTCGCTTACAGTACATACTGAGCGAAGATTAGCTAGTAACATTAGAAGGTGGTGACAGACACTACGATTTGAGTCTTACTATTGCATTACTATATTTTAGAATTAACAAGATCTTAACTACATTTGATATTGGAATGTCAGTTAAGCAACTACGAAACTAGCTCAGAATCAGTCTTTTCGTTGGAGGTGGGCTCCTCCTGTTATGTGCAGGCGGTTTGATATGCTGCTATCGATTTCACAGACTGAAAAGGAAACGAATGTATGAGATCACGTCTGACATTAGTGATGGCGTAAGCTCTCAAGATGCAAATCGTGATAATAATCAATCCGAGTCATTTAATCCTGGTAACCAGCAACAGCAATCAATACAACAAGTCGATCTTGCCAAATTGTCTTCTTGGTATAATAGCAAAATAATACAATTTTTAACGACTAATAGGTCATCAATTTGCTGCAACATCGGGACAATACTGTATAAGCCCTTACTTCTAGATGAAACTTGCAATAATATAATGGAAGAGATATTAATGAAGGAAGCCGTTCATTTATTTTATTTTTGGTGATATTCTAGTACTATTTTATAAGCTTTTACTTCTATATGAAACTTCTGATAGTATAATGAACGTCAAAATGAGTAATTAAATAAGAAATTAATTTACGATATCTCTATACACAAGATATTGTAGAACTAGCGCCATTACTACACTTAGTAATCACTACATTTCCTATAACAACATTAGAAGCGCTATAATTAGAACATCAGTAAACGTGTAGCAACATAATCCAGCAGGAGAATCTTTTTCGCATTGCCCATACATTAAAGTCTATAGGAAAAGAGAAAAGTATAATTCTGTTAATAGATATTAATTAAATTTTAAATTGCGTTACTCTAATTCCTTAAAAATAATTGGTCCTGATATTGACCCATTTGCCTATAGCCAATTTTTAGATTAGGTAATGATGGCATTTATATCTAGATAAAGCATCAGGTTATTAATTTACAAACTTCAGATACAGTTTCAATGTCTTAATCATATTAGATAATTAGCAGTTACAGTATCAATAAATAAAAGGGTAAGCTGGTATTATAAAATTTTAAAATTTTTTAAATTTTTATTCTTAATGATTTTATAGAATCGAAAGCTTCTCCTCTGTCTTATACGAACGCTATTGAAATAAAGGATTAAGACTGCAACTAAAATTAGGATACGAAGTCAAAGTATCACTCTAGCGATTATGATCATCATATAAAGAATTGGTAGTACTACGACCATTACAACTAACTGCTAAGAATTAGTCAGTATCAGCTATATTTTAGCCTTTATTTAGAGCTATTCATTTTGTTATAAGCGTATTAGCTTAAGATTGAAAGATCATGTCAGAAGCGTAAATGGCAGTAGAGTATTTAATTATTTGATTCTTTAAAGAACCTTATCCCTGTCTTCCTTCATATTCAGTAGCATTAGTAAATCAACTGAAGCGTTGAATAGTTAATTTTTAAGCAAATTTTGTCAATTTTTAAATCACATATATATTAAAATTTAGCTGATGTCAGTTTAATGAGCTAAGCTACGAAATAGAGTTAAATGAGCTTGGTAGTATAATTTCATTCAGTATGGTTTTAATTTCAGGCTATCGGATCGTAATATCAGCAGCAATGATTAAATAGATTTAAATTACTAAGTGCTGACATTATTGAAATGATTTAGACAAAACACATTAAGCTGCTTAAAATTGGAACATAATTGGAAATATGTCGCTATCATCGTAGCGAGCTTGAGAACTTTGTTTCCTTTGGATTTTGACAGATATACACTACACGTATGTAAATGTCTAGCTGTACGACTTTGTAAAGTAGAGCTCTAGCTACTACCCAGCAACTGGAATAAGAACAAGTAAACTACCAGAAGTAGAACAATTTGTTCATATTGATTCACATTACTGACCGGCATGAACTAAAACCAAAGCATCATTCCTGCTCACGAGTAGCCGCGTTACTCACTATAACATTAGCCAGTTTCATTTACGAAATTAGCGATTTCAATTTGTCTTGTATCGTATGTTAAATTAGGAGTGTTGCATTGAAAATGTTATTCCTTCTTTTCATCCTCGTAATTTAAATAATTATTAACCTCGATAAAAGAGAACTATTACTTACAACTTAATGCCAGGGATGCTCATATTCATCTTCGTTACGGAGTTGATAAATCCTTCTGCTGGCATAAGTTATCCACACATACCAAATTTAAATCCGGGCAACATTCCTTATTCGATTTGCAGGTTTTATTTTCCAATTTGTGACACATATGTTCCCTGTATAACTGTAATACATAACCAGGATGAGGAATAAATCTTCAAATAGTAACTGCTTTGTAGGTAAAATTTTATGCGATAATTTAGGACGGTATACGTATGCTGCTGAAATCTGTATCCAATTCATACTTCAATTAGAAATTTCAAAAGTGATTCAATAGTAATGTGTAATCATAAAAAATGTCATTTATCAATGTGGCATTAGAATCTGACCTTTCTTTCTTCTTTAAGACCTTCTAAAACTTTGTCAATGTCTTCTTGAGATCTCGATATTCGACAATTAGCTGATCTTAAAATTAAGAAAAAGAAGAGGAATACGATAAAGATTTGGTTTCTCATGACTTTTTTTTAATCTTTTGTCAGCCCTTTCGCAATCGATATGATCAATGTATCAACGGATGCAACTAAACTCTTAGCTTTATATAATACCGTACCTTCTTTAATAGCGTGTGCTTCTTGTGTCAGCCTGCTTCAAACAGGGGCCCTACATAGATAGACAGTTTATGAGGCGTAATTGATGAAAAGGTTAAATTTGGATGTTGCTTGAAAGTCCAAATCTATGCATTATTCGTATTAGGCTGTTGAGTCAGTCTGCTATTCACTACTGACGTAGTAAGCGCTCGCTTTTACATTTTTTGCTTTAAAATAATCAATTTGTAAAATTGTTTAACAGCGAAATGCCTAACAATCATAGGCGAGGAAATGAGAATTTTTATTACATGAGATTTAAGTTTACTGCATGGTCGTTGTCATCGTGAAGTCGTAAATTTAACATAATAGTTCGCAATATTAATATTTGTAACTTGATTTTGCTGAATTCCACCGTAAGTAATAGTAGTTCTTTGTCGCCAGTATTTACGGAAATGCCTGTAAAGTTTGCCTTACACTATGCTATATTAAGCTGTAGTCCTCTTCTTTCATGCTTGATAGCAAAGTAATCTTAACAACTGGACTATGTGGCACAATAACTAGCATTACTGTAGCTATCATGCTCTTAAGCTATACTACGACCTCTTTTAACTCAAAATTTTCATTTATCTGGTGTCTATGCGAGACTCGGTAGTTTTCCTTTAGCTATATTCTTTTGCTGGTCGAAGTAGAAATAGTACATAGTTTATTCTTTTGTAATGATACAAAATAACGATTATGCACGTATATAAAAAATGGAAGTACTATATTCTATTTTATAAATGCATTAACGGGTGAAGAACAGTCGTTACCGAGCAAAGGAAACGATAGATCGATAAATTGAGGGTCACCAATATTCGATTTACCTCCCGCTTTTAGCTAGCTTCAATAATTCTTTTATTTTGGCTTCTTATGACCTTCAATTCAGTAATGATTTAATGTTATGGATTCGCTAATGTAGTCGCAATGTAGTCATACCTTGAGGGTAACAAACTCACGCTGTTATGCGTTATTATGGTCTTAATAACAGAAGCTAATCAAGAAAATATTACGCTGAACTCGTACTTTAAAATCCGTAGGGAAAATTCAAGAAAAAATGTTATCCTTATGAATTGTGGTTTTGTATGGCATTATTTATTCTTTTCGTATACAATTATACTCTCTGCCTTATATGAGCTATAGAGCAGTAAACTGCACCAAAACGTACTACAAACATCCTGCCGTATTCAGTGCTATCGCAAGCCACATTATTCATTCTTGGATCAAAAATCTTCAGTGGCATATTATGATTCATACGTATAGTGACACATTACACTACATATTGTAAATTCGTGAGCTAGCCTATGATACCTATTTAATTGTAAAGCCTAACCAGTTAATGGTTGCTGTGATATCTACAATGAAAGCTGACAACACCGGAGATTAATTTAAAGACTAATAAATGACATTTATTGCTTTTATTCATAAAGTCGAATTAATGCGTTACTACCTCGCCCTAACTAACATTTAAACAGTTCAAGACTGCAATATCTGTACAAAATTTCAACTGTTTAGAGCGCTAACTTCAGTTTCTTTTTAGTAACAGAATTACAAAGAGTTAGCATTTTCAGTAATCTCAGAATATGTAATAAAAAACTAACAATTTATCCAGTGAATGATAACTTTACTTTCGTCGCGTCCTGCGAAATCCACCTGTACTTTTCTTTTTTTCCTTCGGCAGTATATCAGCAGCAGAACGACGCAGCTTCTTTCTTTCCTTCCGATGCTGTCGCTGTTGTTCTTGATTCTTTAAGAAATTTCGGCTCTGTTTACGTGAAGTTAATAAATAATTGCAAGAGTCATAAATTGAAACAGATGTTGTAAAACGCAACTTCCATAATGGCAGCGTAAAACTCCTCAAACGGTACTAAATTCTATGAGAAAACCTTTACGTCGAGATTTTAGTAGAAAATTTCGCAGCTTAATTATGTGTCGTGATTAATTTACGATGCTTACCTTTTGTAACATGAATGTCATCTGTTTTGTACCGCCTGAGCTGATGTGCTGTTCTACATTAGCAGGTTCTTCTAACATGACGCGCTGCCCTAAGGACATTCTATTATGGAAGATGATAACAAATTTAGTATCGCAAACAAATCTACGCGAGAAACTGAAATCAATTAAAAAAGCTCTACGCACTTAGACTCCTTTTTAGATTTCACATTTCCAAGATTTAAACTTGTTACTTTTGGATCGCTCTGTAATTCATACATCGCAGGAGCTTTGTTCCGGCGTGAATTATTATCCTTTCTACCGTCAGGTGTATTACCTCTATGTTTGCCGTCTGAATCCGAATCAGATTCACTCTCTTCTTTACTACTGGAGCTGCTTTCAATTTCATGATCCTGTTAATAAGAGCATACATAAACTATTGACACACCCTTATCAGCTAGAGTACTGTAGGTAGTGTTAGGAAAGAATGAAAAGAATTTAAGATACTCGTATCTATGGCTTACATCTACTTGCGTAAATTCTTCAAGGAATGTTTTTTGTTGAGAAGCCGCCGCTCGTTCTTCTCTGTCATGTTGCTCGTATTTGGATATTACGGGATGTAAACGTTTATAATCCTATTCAAAAATAAGAATTATAATAACTGAAAACTCACAACTGTTTAACTACTTAATTACTAAGTGTCAGTGCTAACTTCGTTTTCTTCATCTATTTGGAAATCAGTATCAGTGAACATTTTCTTAAAGCGATCGTCTCCGAGAGGATTCTTCTTTTTAACGCTCTAATAGGCAACAGAAAGAATAAATATCATGTATTGCCAGATTGCAATGATAACTATGTCAAAGTAAGCTAACAGAAACCTCTACTTCAGATTTTTTCGTCATTATTCTCTCTGCTAGTTGTCTATTGACTGACGGAAGCTAAAAGTAGTCATACAATTTTAATTACTAGCATGATTAAAAATTTCAAAGTTTTTACCACTGTGACAGCGAATATTGCTGTCAAGAGTGACATTTTTAGTTCGTAATGATTACAATGTATAAAGTGCTTTAACAACCTCATTCTTTTTGAAGGCTCTGCTTTCACGCTCTTTGTCCAATTGCTGATTAATTCGTTGCTTACGATATTCATTGAAAGCAAAAGGTTCAATTATAGCTTTTGCCTAGTTAAATGGAATTGAAGATGTCACATATATTTGCTGTCATATAGGAGAAAGTACGTGTGTTTGGATAATTCTAATTGAATTATACTGAAAGTCAATAAAATTTCATACGAACTCTGTGGTATAGTCTAATATCGATAAAAAAGCCATGCATATACGCTCGTAATAAATTAGTTCCAATTAAATGTGAAAGTCCTAACGGTAATATAAATCATAAAATACAGTATAAGGAGAACAGCATCGTAAGTATACGTTAATAATTAAAAAATTTTAAACGGTAAAATCTTGAAAATGTAAAAATTACCTAAGGATTCTAAATCTTGAACTGTAACAAACTTGTAATCTTCATAGACTATTTATAAATTAAAAAAAGTATGATAGGATTTTCTTTATAAAAATTTCATTGTTTATCCTTGTTAATACAATAAATGTTATCAAACCAGTAGGTTGCTGATCTTCTTCTAACTCTTCCGTTAAATTATCAAGGAATCCACACCAACGAGGAGCTGGACCTAATTCCTAAAATTTTTGATGGTTTTTATGATAAAATTTAAATACAACTAGAAAATTCATGCCATAGTATCTCATTTAGTGCAGGCAAGTATAAGCAACTAACCGGAATATAGTATACTAGCATATTTGGTGCTTCTGTAGCGAAGAATAATAAACCTAAATTTAAAAGAATAAGGTTACGGAGCTCAGGTGATTTTACTGGGTTAAATTAAATTTACTATGAGTTTATATAAAAAGACTACTGCTTTCCAATTTACGAATAGAATATCACCTGAATTTGGATATGTACATAAACTGTTAATATCTGTTTCTGGCTGTATGTAAGTAAATAGTTTACCCTGATGGAGAAAAAGCCTTGGATTATCATCTGTCCTCTTGTCATGAACGACAAAATTACATGAAAGTATAATCAATGTACTAGTTGTTAAATTTTTACATCCAACATACCGTTTGCCTCTGCCAAATTTTCATAATTTTTGAATCAGCGGAAAGTACATAATCTTGGTCATGGTTAAACTCTAGACTTTTGATTGGTTCTCCATATTCATGATCTTTTGTGACATACGGTCTTTGATTTCTTATATCATATACTAATACCTGTAATCATAATATATGATTTGTAAATCCGTCGACAACGTAAAGATACTGTACTATGATTAAGGTCTTCTTAGTTAAGTATCCTAATAATTTAAATTCATACAATAAATACCTTGCCAGTGCTAGTTCCAAGGGCTAAATTTAAGCCGTCTCGATACTTGACGGCAGTTATTTCGTGATGCCTATAAATAAGACGCCCAGTTAAAAAACTTTCCAGTTACAAATGAAGTACTGGGTATACTGAGGAAGGTGAAAGCTCAATTTGTTCTCTTCACGTTACGTACCCATCGGCGGAAAGATTGGTATCAAGAAGTCCTTCTCGATTCCTGCTGCGTGGATCCCAAACTTCGACAGTCCCCTTTCATAAGATATAAGCGTATGTGAGATGTAATTTTCATAACACACATAATTAATCTTTTAGTCTATATTCTTACATCTTCTGTTCCAATAGTGAGAAACTGATGTTCGGGGTTAATTTGACAACAATTTGTGGCCCTTTTTAAATTAAGAAAATTTAAGCTATACTATTAAAGTAAAATTTCGAAATTTAAAAAGGTTCAATCATATCGTATTAAGGTAGGGATATGAAATGCTAACAGTAAAAATAACTTTACGCCTATTGCTAAAATACTGATTCCTATAAGTAATTTATAAACCTCGAGTTTGTTTTAAGAGGAGCCATGAATCGACCAAGTTCTAAATTTAATCTATATATTTCGTTGCTATAGCGAAAAAGTTACACGAAAGTTTAGTATCTCAATTTATCGTAACTAGATATTTAATATATTGGCCTCTTATATAGTGCTTTTTATGGTGTACTTATATTTACCTGACTCCTACAATATAGAGATCGCAAGATGGATAATGGTATGCCATATCTCGGCCAAAACATGGTATACGGCATTGGTAATGGGATCCACCCTTATGATACATAACAATACCACAATTAACAGAAAATTAATTTCTATTTGCTTATGTATATGTAGTAATATGAGTCACTATAAGGGTAGGTTACCTTATTATGGAATTCAATATAGCGGTCATCGTGCATAAATATCATCTATAAGACACATCAAAAAATAGGACACGAGGCATTTCGTTATAGACTTCAAATTTATAATACGGCCATTTGTTTTATAGCTTTTGTTAAATATATTATCTTAGGTTATTAGAGGAATAACCTATGGTGAATCTGGGTATTTCTAGCAATGCTATATTACAGCCCTACCTTTGTATAGTCATCATTGAGTAGGTCAAATTGGATTACTAAATTAATAAAGATTAAAATTATAACTGGATTGAGAAAGGGATGGCAATAGGCGACCCAATTTGTTAGAATTTTATATAAGACAGTAAGGCAAATATTTAAGTAAAATCATTCATTAAGCAATTATTTAGTGGTAGAGAAGATGGGTTACAACTAAAGAATATCGATCTTTATTCAGGCTTGATTACCTTGGGAATTCATACAACGTTCAAATTTTAAAGATAATTGTGAAACATCGTAGCAACGGACCCGTGGTTGGTAAGTACCTACAAAATTAAATTTGATTACACAACTGTAGATCTACAACAGTATATATACTCACTAATAAATGCAGCGGTTGTACCTGTAGCCAAAATGTACTGGCCATCTCGTGATACTTTGATTCGATGGGAAACACCAGGCATTGTAAAGTCTTGAATTAATTCAATACGACGTTGCAAATCTACAGTACGCAATCATATGCATGACAGGATTAAATAATCGAGCAGGGTAAGAACACTACTATGCATATACAGCATCGATGGCATGAAAGTCAACAGTAGAGTAAATAATGTGAATTAATAAACCACGAGTCGTATACAGTAGTTGTACACTACTTGTAGTCTATATTATTTCCCTTCATTACTGCAGTAAGTTAGTGACATCATTTCACATGACTATAGCAGCCATATCGTCCATTTCCGTAGCAACAAATGACTTACCGATATCTCTTTTAACAAGAGAGCGTCTTCTCCTTTCAGATAGCCACTGCAGTAGAGAGCAGAAAGTTAGAATAGATTAAAAAATAAGCCCAACCCTATACTGTACACCAATGTATCGTGGATCGTTATGATCAGAAAGAGTACAGTAAACGATGAAGTCTTTATATAATTCTACAATAAGCATGATTACAAGTCTATAGTACATTAATTTCCATTTAATGATCTATCCAATAAAGGTAAAATCCAAGGTGAATTGTTCCAAGAATAGTTAATCTCATGCAAAATGATGGTCTAGCAGAGTTCATGGCAGCTGCAATGGCTGCTGAAATGAGCACTTACTTCAGGTAGAGATTTGCCAGCACTTAAATTATAGATCTTGATATCATTAGGAGCTGAGACCTGCATTGCTACTTGTTAAGCTCTAGCTAAGGATCTTTCAAAGTTGCAGTGCAGTTACACTGCTAGTGATTCAATAAAGCAAAGGAAAATAGGACAGTGGAGGAAAAGAGCTCGCTCAAAGCGATTTCCAATAGAAGATTGAATGATTTAATAGCTGACGGCTAGAATTTTGTTATTAATTGATAGCTGGAGTATTGCACGTGAGTATGATTTGAGTAGTGGGGCCTTTGGCGTTAGCATCGGTTTGACTAGTGTGCTTACAAGCTGGCATTTCTTTCTACCGTCTATTACCATATCAGCAGTATGATTTGAGTACCAACACTGTGAAAGTGTTCCTTCAATATGTTGTTGGAAATCGCGGTAGAAAGTGATACTAAACTATAGAATAAGAGTGTAAAAAGATTTACTTGTATAGAAAGAAAAGCTTTACTCTCCACTTCACTGCCTCTACTGAGCTTGGAAATTGTGGCAGAAACTGATATTAAGCGTTGGAGAATTCAGAGTGTATCAGTATAAACTGTAGAGCTATAAACAAAAAACTGGAATCAGCAGTCTGGTATAAATCAATGTATACACATGCAAAACACTATGGTAAAACGACTTCTAGATTCTATCGCTTGTTACTGTCTGAGGATTGTGATTGGGAGTACTAACACTACGAAAGTATTACTCTAGTCTCAGTATCTCAGCCATAAGTTAGCTGAGATACTAGAGAATAGAGATTAGAGAAGAACAAAGTTTGCCGGCAGAAACATGGATTACTAGTATCACTAGATAGATGTACATTGAATTTAAACTGGCATATTTTCTAGTACACGGTAGTCCATGTTTTCAACGATGGAGTTAACAACAGCGTAGCACATTCATTTCTACTTACAGACAGAACGGACTGACAGACTTGCAGTCCTGCCAGTCCATGCAAGTTGATGACCTCTGAATTGGTAGTAACGATAGTATACTGCTCTGTACGCTCGAAATGGTCGTAAGTATTCGTATGCTAGGCCTGATAACCATCATTAGTCTCCGATACAGTCGATCAACTTCTCTATACAGTACTATATTTGCTGCCTAGGTATATTGGAGAGTCAAAGGTAAACTAACCTGGAGTGTTGCAGTTCTTGGGAAGACCTCAAGAAAGCTTTTGTTTTCTTCTTGCGACTTCATCATGAATTAATTCAGCGATCTTCCCCCCATCTGTTGCCTATACCTATCTGATTTCGACGCAATTTGCACACCGCTAAACGCTTCTTCTAGCTGTCAATGCGCCCATAAATGCTGCATGTACGGAGTACTGGCATACATTGATGCTAACCGGTGCAAGTCACCCTTCGTGGCGGGTCATTTCTTCTTCACTGCTTCTTCTCCACTCATTGATTTATTTTCATTCGAAGCCATTTTTTCGCTAGCACCAAATAGATTTTGACTGCTAATACAAGATTATTACTTGCTATCTGAATTTTTTCAAAGAAAAAATATTCAAAATTAGCTCTTGGATAAAATTTGAATGATTTGTTTTTGCCTATCGTTGCAGTAACCAGTAGAATTGTAATAGTGTGATAGTTTGACCAGACCAAATAATGTTAGTGTCATGGACCTCTCTATCCATAACTGAATTGCATTTTGAAATTGTAAAATTACCTAGAGGAAAAGCTCATAATTAGTACACAGGTAGTATTTCAACCTTGGAGTTTCCTCTCTAATTTTATAACATCATGAATGATCAAGACATTGGCGATATAAACTCAGTCCTTCGGTATTTATCCGGCCAAATTTCATTCAATGAATGGTCACAAAGTGGTGCACTTCCATTACTACTGGATGGCCATATCCCTCCTACCGAGTCAGATACAGAAGCTCTTACAGAAGACGAAGGTGCATCGAGTGATAATATTGATGAAGCTGATGATATATCTAATGCATCTGAAGGTAAGTGATAATTTCTAAGTAATTTATCAAACTGTGGTCATAAATTTTTCTAGTATTGAGATCATCAGGAACAACTAGTCCACCATGATTATATTATATTAATTATGCACTTATTAGTCAGTAATTTTAATAATACTTATATTTTATAATGGTAAGAGTCTAGCTTGAATCAAATCAAGCGATAAAACTCCAAGTTTTTACCTTTATGATGTATCTAATGCAATCACAAATCTACAAGAGTCATTAACTTTAAAATACGATGTTATAGTGTTTACAAGATGTCACAGTAGAAGGATCAGTAAATCTTCCTGGAAACCCGCGTTTATTCCAATGTTGTAGCTGTCGTGTTGAAGTAAAAATAATAAATTCCTTTCTGTAATAACTTACTTTAGATACCGACGAAGAACCTTTACTACCGATGGCAATATCAGAAGATGATGAAGATAATTACGATGAAACAGATGACGAAGAGATAAATTTTGATAACATTGGCGACGTTGGCAACCTTCAAGACCAAAATTTACATAGAAATATTGAACCTCAATTAGGTACGTTGAAAATTGAAGGCACTTAAAGTAGCATTTGCATGTATTTATGACTAATGTTACTACAGTAATTGTCGATTACAACTGTGACGAGGATGTATCACTTGAGAACTGAAATGATAGTCATACGTAAAATGTAAATCAAGAACAAACTATACGAGCATGGTTATTAGATCATCGCACTCGGAAAAGGTAGATTTTGTGTCAAATTATTTCATTGATATTCAACTTGTAGGCAGTATGGGTCATGCAGGCAATGAAATACCTAATAGTGAAGGGATGGAATCTATTCAAAATTTGAAAGTAGGCAAAGGAAATCAAAATCAAGCTACTAGTTCTAAAATATATCAAAATAGTAAGTTACTCTAAACATGTCGTTAAATATTATTGCAACTACATAACTGAACTATGCTAATTATCAGTACACTGACAGCTACTGTAACTAAAGGGTTCTTAAATTTTTCATACATTATAGCATAGTACTATAATTGAGATTATAACCTAATAAAATGCGGCTGTCGTCATTTTTCATGCTTGACTGATTTCTTTGCGTATCGTACTTTAAAGGGAAATACGCCCGAATGATGAATATTGGATCATATATTATATTATATTAAAATAATGTTATAACCTTTATGAAAATGACAATAGAGGAGTTATTAATGATGGTAGTTCTGCAGATAATAAATACGATTTGCCTCCCTAACTAGATTGCGCTGCAGATTTCACACTCTAGTTCTGTACAGCGATGTTATTTTCTGCTTGACTAGTAGCTGTATAATCAATATTATTGATTTAGAATTTCTTATTAGCTTTTTTGAGGTACATTCTAAGGTTTACTTTATTTTAATATTTTGTCCATTTCATGACCAATTGTGAAGAAGAACAACAAGTTAAAAAGAAACGCGGAGTAAGGAAAGCATTTAAATGATATTTTAAGTCGTTTAAAGATGATAATTATTAGAATGCTAGAAAGCACGTATCAGTCTTCTCTGTCATTCCACGTATGCTCCCAAATGTATTAATTGAAAAGTAATAGAATTACCTGATTTACATCTAATGTACGTCCATTTGCTACTTTAAACGTAGCCATATCGAAAGCGAAATCGTGTTCCTGATTATTTAACTGGATTGATGGGAGAAGCTAATTTATGCCTTGCGCGTGGAAATTTAACGGAAGCTGAGAAAATGTGTAAGGAAATCATACGACAAGGTGTGTTAAAATATTATCATAAAGACATCTCAATTGGAATTACTAGTTTGATGGACACGTAGTTACTTTCAAGTTCTAGCTATTAATAGCAAAGTTCGAATATGTATTCCATTTGTTGCCTAGTCTTAAAAATGATTTTGGAATTGCTAATGTACTTTAACTTTTATTTCAGCACCTCATGCTTCTGATCCATATGAAACATTAGCTATGATTTATGAAGAAAACGGAGATGAAGAGAAAGTGGTTCAAGTAAGTCAAAAACTAAAAAAGTTCACTTCATTGCGCGGTATACGTCAATCACTTGCAATTATACCTTAACTTTGGTGGTAAAATAAAATTATTATTCACCTTACTACCAAATCATGCTGCTTCTACCTAATAATCAACTTACAAAATATCCATATTCTATCTTGTATGTACGCATGAAAACAGTTGCAGTTAATTGCTGCTTATTTAAATCGCCGTGACGCTTCCCAGTGGGTACATTTGGCTCAAATGTCATTGGAACAAGACAATAAGAAACAAGCGTTATGGTGTTATAACATGGGTATGTCTCCATATTTGGCAAATAAATAATTATAATATTTCATCTCCGATTTCATAATTTGTTTTCATAAGGGTCTTGTGTAATTATCAACATATTTTAGTTTGTAAAATTTTAGAACCCTTTCATGTTTACTTTTATTTATCTATACAGCTGTGAAAGCTGACCATGGAAATATACAAATTTTAAATGAGAGAGCAAGATTATGCATTCAAATGGACAATATTAAAGGGGCAGCGGAAACTTTTGAGATGATATTAAGAGTACGACACTTTATCATACTTAAATAATTTCGTTTTAATAAAAGTATCTTAACGTAATTGACAGTATTAGCAATAGTTGATATTAAATTCTTGGAATTAAATTACAATAGTAATAATATTATCGTTACGCTATCATTTTTCTAAATTATAGATACTGAAAACTCATCAAGGAATGGATTATTTTGATTATTCAAAACAAATAGCTAAGGTAATTGTTACTAACGTTATAAACATAAGTTCTTTGAAGCTTGATAACCCCTTCAAGATTTTGATACTGTTATTGATTTGATAAATGATTTGATAATTAAATAATTATTGATCTTGCTTAAGCTACATCATTCAAAAAAGCGAACTGAAAAATCTATTGAAGTTTTAGAAAGGGCCTTTAGGATACATCCCGAAGCAAGTCATCCAGAAGGTATGCATACTTCAATTTAGTAGTTTAACTGTCTCCCTACTACTATCATCTGAACTTGATATTAAATTTGTTGCAGCTATTAACATGTTGGCTGAGTTGTATGTTGTCAAGAAAGAATATAAATCTGCTTTAGAGGTACTGCCTTATCTCATTATTTATTCCATGTATTTAAATATATCTGTATTACGAAAAATTATGTTCCATGTCATAACGAAATATATAGTTCATATCAGTAATACATCTTCTCCTTACATATTAACGATGAAGCTAAATTTATAATGGTTGTAATAATCTCGAAATTTTACAGCTCATCTGCTGCAATTGTGGATTTGAGTCACCATTTACATTGCTGTTAAGGGACTCGCAAGAGATTAATCGCCCGGATGCTGATAACTATAATAGTAGTATTAAAGAACCGCGTAAGTAGATGAAGTTGCGATTGCGATAGTAACTAATTGTATTAGATTAGTATTTACTATGATAGTCATAATTATTTACCGATGGCTAACAACAGAGGAAATTTCCTTTATGACAAGAAATAGCTAAACGTTATAAACCGCTAGCTATCGTTAAATAACTATTTGGTGAGTGTATTAATAATGAATTAGTGTATTCAATAATTTTCGATATTACTCTACAGAAGGCGATCGTGGACTTTCCATTTTGGGTGAAGCGGTACGCATTGCTATCGGAATTGACGAATATAGTGGATCTAATAGTGAGATTATAACACCAAATACAAGTGACAATTCAAGGCTGGTTTCGCAGTGGAAAATACCTAATTCATTGCCTATCGATTTAAGGATAAAAGCTGCAGTCTGTTTACTTTATTTAGATCAATCGCAATTCGCAGAGGTTAGAAATAAATGTTAAATTATCGTCTCTTATTAATGTCGAAGATGTTATTGGATATTAAAAGTTCGAACTTTTAATTTAACAATAAAAAGAAAATACTGCAACCTCTGTATCTTGAAAGTATTGAAGAAGTTGGCGATTTATATCTCGATATTGCTGATGCTTATTATGAAACAGGTACGATGATTAGAAATAGTGTAAGTGTAACACCGTTGAGTTTCAGTTTTTATTAGTAAATGTTGTACAGTAGAATAACAGCTCTAAATGTGTTTCTTGTAAGCTCTGACATACTGTACGGACAGCATGTAATATCATGTAAATCAATATTCAATTAACAAATGCGCAATAGTAATAATTACATTCAAGATAATGTATAGAAGTTATTTCCTGAAAAACTCATTAGGTTTCTTTTCATTACCTCATAGGAAATTATATTTCTGCAATGCATCTTTATGAGACCCTTGTAGGAACAGAACAGTATAACGCCGTAAGTTAAACTGGTTTATGTAATCCGTGTACCTTTGATCGATTTCTATACCTTATTGTGCTAAATTTTTTTAGCCTGCAGTTTGGTTAAGCCTGGGCAAGTGTCAGATTGCTCTTAATCAACTCGAAAATGCTGTGGAATCGTATTCACGTGTTGTAGGAATGGCTCCAGAACATTCAGGTCCTCGCTCTACATTGGCTTCATTATACCAGCAACTGGGTCAACCACAAATGGCATTACAAGTCTTAACCGGTGATGCTTTACTTTTCAGACTGTTTTGCGGTTGCATAGAACACTACTATACCAAAAGCTTAGTATTAAGTATTGATTAAAAATATTTTATTTAGAACGCAGCACTGGCGATGAAAATTTCCATAAACAATCTGATAGTGCTGAAATTAAACTGGTATGCGGCGAGTAATAATATTCATGAGATGTTACCTCTTCAAGTATCGGCTTGAATGTCTTTACCACCACTATGATTTCATGACAGCTATTGATTTGATTTCAATCTTTTTCAAGGATCTTAGTTTGTTAGTTCAAAAGTGCAATTTACTATCATCGCAGAATAATTTGGATGAATTTGCAGAATGTGGACTTTCAGTGATGGCTTTTTATCTGCGAGAGTCATTTGGTCAGCTTAGTAAGTATACGTTATGTCAAGTACGAATGACAAAGAATAATACGGTACAAATGCTAATCTGCTTTGAAATGCTAACTTACATATATTCTGGAACAGATAAAATGGAAGAGATTAATTCTCATAGAACCGAAATTGCCTCTAGAATAGGTATTTATGCCTTGCAGATTGAATAACTTTGATTCTGATATATGTTGATAATACGATATTACGATTAAGACGAAGTATTCATCCATCAATATATCCTATTTTACTGTATTTTAGCTAATATTGTAGGTGATGAAGCCATAATGACTAATGATGAATGGTGGGCACTTTTTTTAAAGGTCTGAATGAGGATCGTGTATCGTTTTAAAATGCTCCGTAACATCTCGCGTATTTAGAAGTAGTGAAAAAATTCTTATCAGTAGCAGTGAAAGCTTTCACTGGACAGTGTCTTTAATTTAGTAAATTTTTCAAAATATTTTACTGTTTCTGCAGGTTTGCCTTGCTCTAGACAAAACGCATCGTTATGCCGATTTGCTCCATATAGTACGAGCAGCTAAGTCATCACAGCAATTTATTAACATTAGTGATAAAAAGGAGAAGCAAACTGTAATCATTAATTAATTGCAACTGTAAAAATTTTACAGTTGGCAACTTTGCTCTTTTACGGTTTATTGCTGGATAATTGTTTGTATTCTAATATTATCTAACATTTTTTAGGATCTATCTATGTTATGTGCTTCAGCAAGTTATTTAAATAGTGAATATGATACTGCGTATCTATACATCAAACCTATTTGTATTGAGGTAAGGCACAACCCTCAATTTTTAATTATATGATATTATCTGCAGCTATTGTTCTTGATCTGGTAAAATGAAACTGGTACTTATGGGTTAGTGAATATAGTGCCTCCAATTAAAAATATGTTCTTAAATATATTACCTTCGATTCAGAACTCAAACAGTATGGCAATTTGGTATCTTTTTAACAATATTGTATTGAAATTGCGAGATATTCGACACATTCGCTTTTGTAATCGCTTATTCGCGAAGGTATGTCAAATTTTATTCCCTTCGCTAACTATAATTAGGGTGTTCTATTTCTATTTTTGTTTGTGACTAGTGCTTTCAACGGTTATACTATTTTTGGGATTTTCTGATGCACTTAGAATTCATCCAGTATCCCTTTGTGTATTTTAAATGGACATAACAGTGTGGTATCGGGAAGCTATAAATTTGCCCTGGGTAATGCATTGTTAGTGCTTAAATATATTGAATGCCGTATCTAGAATGTCACATTTTTGAACTTGAGTCGTACTATAGCATGTATGGTTACTAGATCTTCATTGTTATTGATGTGAATTAATTCGGCTTTTAAATTGTCGTTTCAGCTGATTACGTATTTGCCTTTTGTCAAATGCCTGATCAGCCCTTGTTGGCTTTATGCATTGCAAATACGTATTTACACATGGCGACACAAAGAACAACTGCTAATAAAAATTACTGTATTCTTCAGGTATAATCGGCCATGGTCATAATTTATTTTATTTCGTAAACTTTTATTGAGACTTGATGTACGAATCGCAATGTTTATAATTAACTATTGTTACTAGGGTATAGCTTTTTTATATCTTTATAAAAACCAAAGAGGCTCATGTCAGGAAGCTTACTATAATGTTGGTAGGGCTTATCATCAATTAGGTAATCAATATACGGCTTTTGCATTGATTATTGTAAATGATTGAAGTCGATATTTAGATAAAAATGAAAATTTAAAGTCTGAACCTTCGCTCTGTTCTTAGGTTTATTTCATTTGGCGGTTCATTATTACCGAAAAGCTTTACTTACTCCAATAAGTCGTAAAAATTTTATTGAAAAAAATCAAAGCGATGTAAGGCCGTTTGCATAACTTCACAGAATCCGATTTTACATTAATTCAGGGATTCACTATTCATTACAACTTTAATAGCTTTTACTGTTTTCAAAATTTTTAAGGTGTTAAAAAAGTACGATTTATCCCGTGAAGCCGCCTATAATTTATCCTTAATTTATCGTAACAGTGGATCCGAAGATTTAGCGCGACACATTTTGTATACATATTGTTCTATCTAGCTTTAATACAGCAAAATTTATGCTAATATGAACTTACGCATACTGTACATTAGATATCCCATACTAGCATCAAGTGAAAAAGAACTTTTCGTAAGAAAATTATCTTACGAACGATATTACTAGCACTAAATGCAAGCTCTCTTTCTTAATTTATACGCACATGTATATGCGTTCATGAATTACCTCTTAACTTATAATTGAAATAACATTGTATATATTTGAATTCTTTAGCAGCAAATTGGATGTACAGGTTTGAGAAAGAAATTACTATGAATACGTTACTAAAGATTCTTGTATATAAAATATTACAGTAAATTACTTCTTTGATGACGTTAAGATGACGTTAAGGTTGTGATTTAACTATTTATACGAAGATGAGTCGCATGCCTCTCTATGCATGTTTAATGTGTTATTAGCTTTGTCTGTACCATGCTTACTGTAAGTTTATTTTTTTCTTTAATGCAAATCTGCTGCTCTTACTAACTTAAGTGTATTAGTAATAAACAAAATCTATTTTTATTGTATATAAGAATATTAGAAATATTATTAAAGATTCACCCTGTAATCAATTATAGCTAGCACGAAATGTTGGTTGACTTCACTGGAAGTACGATTAAGTACTGTTTAAACTTACATATATTTTAGAATGTGAGATCGCATGTTGAATTGGTAAAACAATTAGGCAACAGATATGTCCTTAAACACAATTTATAAGGTCAGTTGATCAAACTACTCGCGCTTATAATTTTTTAATAAATCTTTTAAATGCATGCTTCGATTTATCAAACATAGCTGTCATCTCAATATCAGCTTCAGTGCAATATATGAATCACTTCACGTTAATAACTAGCAATACTGCAAGTTATTTTTTCGTGTTTACTGAGATTCCAAAGGATCTTATGCATTGTTGATAAAGGTTTTTATAAATGTATTTCATGGCACAGTAGCAGGTGAAGCGTACACAATTGTCCATTCTTCGAACTGATCTTGCGTTTTGATAATTAATCCAAGTATTTGTATTTCCAATTAATTCAGAATTAATTTTTTCAATTTTATGATAAGTAATGGCATTAATTCCAGATGGATAATATTTGATAAATTCATATTCCAATTGCCATACAGCGTCGTTGTGCACCACTACCCGTATGTATAAATAAAAGTTATGCATTAAAATCTTCCAAATGTATTATACACAGCACATCAATTCTTTTGTCTTAATTAATAGCTTACGAGTATAACAGCTAATGAAGAGATATATTGGTAATGATTTTTTTTAAATAAATATTAATTACAATCAATAAAGACGGTACGCTCAATAATCTGCGAACTTTCTTCGATACTCATAATTGGATATAATCATTCAGAAGGTCTAGAGGTTAAATAACTTACTAACTGTATTGGTAATATCGATATTAGTTTAAATTCTATTCTTGAGGGATACTCTTTATTACTGTCGCAGATGTTAAATTTACAAATAGTATCTGATCCATACGATATAAACATTGAATATCATCTAAGCGGGCAATGGAGGGGAGGGGGTATTGAGCAATCGTAATAGTTTCATTACCTGAGGCTAGTTCCAGGTCAAGAAAATATTGTAAGTAGTTCATCACTGCAAATGTCTTTGGTTCGAATAGAACCAATCGATAGGCTGGATTAGTGTTGTAAATGGGTGATAATGACGGAGAGATTAAAATGAAAGATCCTCGCTGTTGATTGACATCTGATGCTAGACGGAAATCATCACGGTGCAGAGAGCCAAAGAATTGTCCTAATATCCATAATAAAAATTTCATAACTTAAACGGTAAGCTATAGCTATTAAATCGACCTATAAGATCTAAATAAAATAGATAGTTGAATACTCTATAGCCCCATTTAGTTAGACCAGTATAATATTATAATTTTAAATTACCTACTCTAGTTATAAGTAAAACAGGTAAAATCAACAATACTCATCCATTTCATACCAACTATAATGTCATCAAAATCTTGCGAGACCAATTGAATATAGTCAACATAACGACTTGCCACCCAGGTATAATCCATGGAAATATTATTGCTCGTTCTTATATTGACGCTAAATATGAAATGACGAATTGGAAGAGATGTTATTATGAAACTGTACAAGCAACGTATCTAAAAATTAACAATTGATCGTTACATTAGAATATATTGTATTTTTGGAAATGTCCTAGAAACTCAGAATGATTAATCAGCTGAAATAAATTGAAGTGGCATGCTAAGTTTTAGGCAGCAAATAAGACTTTCCATTTCTGTGATAATAATGCTGTTTATCATTGTATTTACTATAATACGTTATCGAAATTAAATATCCTATTATTTGCTGAATTTATGATATGCTCGTACTTATTCATAATAGATATCGTAACTTACATTATTTGTAAGTTGGCATATTGATATATCCGATGTTCTATGCTATAGCAATATGTAAATATACGGTACAGTGTATATGTACATCTCCTATACTTTTGATCTCTATCTAGATATATCTTATTGATATGCTTTTGCAAATGGTGTAAAGATATATTGCACTTAGGATGGAGGTAGAAGTCCTGATTAATACGATAAATAGCAATAAGTAACTGGCATTCAGCTCCCGGAACTATGCTAATTTCAATCTATTAGAGTAAATTAATCATCGCAGAGCAAGTTCTGTTATTGCCAGTCTTTTGCTATAGGATGGTGATCTAGGTATGTTTATAGATAAATTAATTATACTCGTATTATAATAGTCTGAGATATCATTCATTTTTTGAAAAACTATAAATAAATTTTACACTAACCCAGGCGGTAAGTGACCTTGGATAACCACTTTGAAGCGTTGACGCCTAGCTGTCTGTAGTTGCGTTCGTAACCAATTCATTTGTCTATCTCCTGCATACCTAAAGTATGCTAGTGAAGCATAAGGAATTCTATTTTGCACTGACTGGTCCCAATATAATGTGTTTAAAGTGACTACCATTAAAGCTTGTTTAACGAATTGAACTTGATAATAACCTCCAGTTAAAAAATTACTTTCAAAAGATGAACTAATAAGTGGCCGATGAAGTGATGAGCAATTTGAGCAGGTAATCATTGGTTGCCATAATGTTAATAGCCTCCGATACCATATTCTATCTTGTGCTCGTTGTAGGTAAATGATGGGAATATCATGATTGCCAACGGCAAAGAGAATCGATCGTCCATTCATTAAACTTTCAATTTTTTGGGTAACAGTTAATAAGTTACGATAGATGTCATCTAATGTTGAACATAAATGGTCTGATTGGCTTGATTCTAAGCTGCAACGGTTAGCAATAAGATCACCAGATATTAGAAAAAAGAGTAGATGCCAATTGCGATTTTGAACGAGGTTATTAATGGATTGAAATGTACTATTAACCAAGAATGGTGACGAATCGCATCCATAACGGCCATAACGGCCATGATGAACTCTTGATGTTGAAGCTGAACCAGCAAATGGATCATTGGAACAATTACTGTCATAGTATGGATCCAGATGTATATCAGTCAAATGGATAAAGTAATCATAAACATTCGATTCATTAATTTGTTTATAGCGATCACGACGAACGTCAAGCTGATTGGTGTTAACCAACGATAAGTAATTTAAGAAGATAGCGATTAATGAGCCAAAAAAGAAGAGCGCACCTAGACAAACTAAAGACGTTTTCGAGCAATATCTGGTTCGTCTTTTCATAAAAGTTGTTACCGCGGTATGTTTCTGCTTGTGGCTAATAGTAGGCATATGGCGTAAATTAGGTATTTCAGCAGGTATAAAACGGTTATCAGAAGTAGGCATTGAAGTTGCCGTAGGCTCTGGAAGTAGAAATGAATTCATTGACGTGCCAAACTGGAAAGATACCCAAGTAGTATTAGATTGACAAGTTGGGAATATCTTATAATAAATAGGTATATCAGAGGGGGATTTATTTTATAATCTAGAAGTAGGATGAATCAGTTTGCAAAGGCAGTCGGAGAATTCTCTAAATATTCTCAAAGCTTGCTTGTATCTTAATACTGCAACTGATGTAATAAAATGGTAGATAGGATAACATAAAGAGCGATAAGACTACTAACGCGGTGATAAATTGTTGGCATAAACCGGCAACAGTCTTTGATAAAACGGCAGTATAGACTTAATAAAATAGCGCCATGAACTCGATGTAGAGGAGAAATTGGTGATGTTTTCCCACAATAGGAGACAGATGGTAGGCTCTATCACAGAAAGGAAAATTTTTGAATATTAGTGTAACGTTGGTATATCCTCCGACTAAATATTGAAAATAGCTTGAGGAAAAGTTTTTAATAAAAATCAGTAAAGTTATAGTATAAAGTAGCAGGTAATGTTTATTAGGCAGGGGAGAAAGAGTAAAAGTTCCAAAATAGGAAACCGAAAATTCTCTACGACTAGTAACGCACTATGGTAGCGTTATAGATCATAATATGGAATATGCAATGTTAGAAGTAATTGAGTAATGCGCGTACCTGTAGTTATGAATACAAGACAATTCTTTATTTAGATTTTTTCAATATGTAAACTTTTAGGAATTAATCACATTTAAGACGGCGATAAAATTGCGGCGAATTGCGATATACTCATTTGGAATGGAGTCAATGATCCACAGCAGTTCTGTAACATAAATTAGGCAGTGGTAAATTGTAAGTTCTGCAATGATAGCTTTTAATTCTTTTCGAGCATTAAAGAAAAGATTGATGAATGGGCTTTCAATTTCACAGGAAATTTATCGGAAATGTTGCTTGATACTTTATAATGATACATTAAATCTAATAGTAATATTCTCGCCGTGAAATTTATACCTGGCACTGCGACACTTACTAAATATATTACTTATCTAGAAAGATGCTACCTAATTTTGATTGGAGTAAACGGGTTGCTGATTGCTACGACCAGATGTTTCTGGAAGCTGACAAAATATAGTCCGCTTGCAATATTTTAAAATTAAAAAAGTCAAAATTGTTGAATTATGGCTAAATTTAATTAACTGTAAAGTATTGAAAAAATAAACCTATTGAGACCAACTACGCTAATGTATTATACGAAATATTATTAGATTTATTAACCTTATGGTCTGAGTTCAAATATATCATCTGCGATAGATACAAATTAAAATCCATTTAATGTAATTAGTAAACGCTTTACGATGTTTAGAATATACGCTAATTGCTTGTTTCAATTGCAGTAGGTCTCAGTTTGAGACTAAGAGATCGCGTACTCAAATTTAATTCTCGTCGTATTTGCGTACTGCTACTATATTAGGTTTAAAGATTTTTCGCCGAATGGATATGGAGATATTCTTTTTGTGCTATAGTGTCTCTACATTTTCAAAACGATTTCTTGTGAATTTCATTTTATTGCAAAATTAATTCGTTTACCAAGTCAACAACATACACATCGGCATTAAAAGCTGCAAATACTTAATATGAATATTATCTAGTTAGAAACTTGCGCAATCTAACTTGCTCCTTAAACTATTTTCGCGCAATAACCTCAGTTTTATGCTAATTTTTGGGTTAGACTACAGTATTCAACAAGATGAATGACTATCTAACCTTGATTTTGCTATATGAAAGGGAAGATATTTTTAGTAGCAAAATAATGAATTATACTTATGAAACCTATACTACTCTAGTACTATCATGAATGATACTCTCTACGTTTGTAGATAGCAATCAGAATGATAAAGAATGGAATATTAATAATTTGAGGTTGGTGACTAATAGAAACAATTGAAAACAGTCATTACTTAATCTGAAGGATAGAGAATAAACGTTTTATTAGCAGAGAATATAAAATTGAGCTATTGTGATAGATCTTGTTCCTGTATACTTGTATAAATGAATAGGATTGTCACAATTTTTGAAAAGCAACAGGCGACTATTTTACTATCTAAGAAGTGTCATTACAACCTTAAGAAAAAAATTTCCTTTGGTTTTGTTTACTAATCATTTAACATCTCTAAATGTTAGAAATGCATTATCAGGTGTACTAGGTACACTGTTCAGTGTAATATTCCATAATCTTAAAATCTTTTATGACAGTGTATTTAATTATTAAGGTTTAGGAGCATTCTGGCTTTAAAGTTGTCTGGGTTAATTGATTAAAATAATGTCTAGTTCGTGTTTATATAACACTGGCAACGCGTTGTAGAATAAGCAAAAGCGAAGTACTGTCTATACGTATTGAAGAACGGCTGTAGTATTCTTTAATGAGTCATATTATGATATTGTCTGGCATTGAATTAGATATAATTTTAGTATGAAAGATAACGCTAGTCCGCTTAAAGCCTAATTCACATGATGAGCTTCAAGGCAAGTAGTAAAAGATTGATGTCGAACAAATTCAACGGCACAGTAATACACAAATCGCATTTTTGAATAAAATTGATACCGAACCTGTCGAGCTACAGCATAATTTAACCAATATTTAACTTTCAAAGGATTAATTAAATTACTGCTAAGTTCCTCGATTCGATCAGTATTAATATATTTATTCTTGGATGGATAATTAGTGGAAAATCGATATCCTTCTGCCCATTCAGTTTGATTGTAAGCTGTAAGAGAATATATATACGTAGAAATTTTAGTAATAATGAGTTATAGCTTTAGGTATGTTGTAGCTACGTAAACAAGTACAAAATAAAGTATTATCTAAAAATATACAAACATAAAAGGCGCTTGCTAAAGATTTTTTAAATAAGTAGTGCATTTATATTTGTTTATTGATATTACATGTATTTTGCAAACTAGTTTGTAACCTTACCCGTTGTTAAGTCCATATCTAAATAGTATTGAATGTAATCCAGTAACTTCCATTCTTTTTTATCCACCATTAACATGCGAAATGAAGGATTGTTGGAATAAATGGGTGAAATAGACGGGGCTAACAGCATGAAAGAACTCATTCCATTGTAATCTCTTAATAGTCTAAAATCGTCCTTATGCATATGGGCGAAGAATTGACCTATACCAAATTACAATCAATTAATTAATAGAAAGGAATTCGACTTGAAAAACATCCATTGCGGCTTATAGTTGCGAAATGTAAATAGTGTATTTGTACAATCTTTCTAAGATTGACGTGTAATTCTCGCCTGTGTTTATAAAATTTAGATAAAGCATCTTTATCACGATTAATATCTTACAATACTCAATGTTATATGTATTTGCTATGACAGTACATCCCGTAATCCTAATAAATCACTTTGCAGTTGCTATTAATGTTCGAGTATGTTATTTAAAATGTTTTGACAAAACGTATATTCGTATGTTTTATATCTAGGTGCACATCCTCGCAGGTGCTGGTTATATGACAATCAGCAACGTGTGCTCATTGGCCTGATTCCCACCTTGTCCCTAGCTATCTTTTGTTGAGTGGAAATCAGGTCAATGAACGCACATTTCTGGTTGTCATGTAACTAGCAGCCTTACAATATACTTTAGTTTAAGATTGCAATATCTAAGCTACACGCTATAACTTATCCTAAATTATGTTATATTTTATACATTGTCCTCTTTACGTAAGTGTTAACACTGTATATAAAAATAGAATTACTAGATGTATGACTGAATACTTACCCATAATGACATGTGGGTATAGAGAGGCGACGTAGTGAGTATAAATATCGGTATAATTATCAAACCAGTAGTGTACATAATTTTTCTTAGATCCAAGATACGTATCCACTCTACAGAATAGAAAGAACGATTGTATTTTAATTTCATTTTCATACCAATACATTATCGAATAAGAATACAGCGGTGGTCTAATCATCGACAATAATAACATAAATATTACAACACGAGCATATACAGTAGCAGTAGTATTAATTGGATATTCGTAAAAGTGGACGAATCTAGGTCAGCAGCAAATAAAAGAGTTCATTTCACGTATTATCACTGTTAGTATGGAAACAAAGTTACCATTAATCAATATAATTGCAGCTTCTGATAAATAGTAATACTTGGCTAGAAATAGAACTTTTGTAGATAAGTCTAACTTGTCGACTACAGTATGGTAGCAATCTACCATGTTTTCAAGACTCTATTTCGGAACAGTATTATATTTACATTCTACTGTATTTCGTGTTCAAGATTTTACTGCTTATTTACAGATGTACTGAGGATTATTAAGCAAATTTTCTAATCTGTCACTTAAAGAGATTACTACTGTAAAGTGTACAGTTATGACATCCTTGACAAGAAGATGTCGATGTTGAGTCAGCCAAACTTTAGATATTGGCTAGTCCTGATTAATTTATCGTTTACAATAAACCTTAGTTCACAGTATAGGTGCGTTATTTGATCAATCGTATATTTTACAACAGTAAGCATTAAGCAAGCATGATATACTCGAGTCTTTAACGTAGAATATACGTCGTACATGTATACTGTAAATGCTATTTTAGTATTCAAGAACAATAACATTTCAATCTTTCAGTTAGGTTGCACTATATTGTATTGTATATCTTACTTCTCTTTTACCTCTGGAACTGACAACTACAATAAGCAAGGATGATGTAGTCCAGTCGGTCGCATAGAAACATATGTTACCGTCAATGTCATATACTACTATGTATGTCATATTTTGATATTCGAGTAGTATACTTTCAATCGTTGAGTTTAGCCTGTACTATATGCCTATGGTATAACTGTACGCATACTCTAACCTATCACATAGTACTGTATACATGCCATACGCGTATATGATATCTTGTTATCGTATGATAGATTGCAATCTTTCAGTTTAGGCTCTAATGTTTTATATAAATCTATCTACAATGTCCACTCGATAACTTGGGGACTGATAGTCTACATTCACAAACTATACGTATATGATATTCTAGTATTTGTATGATACATTATAATTTTTCAGTTTAGGCTCTACTGTTTTTTATATAAATATATATCCAATGTCTGTCTACTTGATAACTTGAAGACTGATAGTCTCCATTTCTATAGTAACTATGTGATATCCAAGTTATTCTTTAGTAGTAGTGAAATATCATTAGACCTTATGCTGAGTGTAAAGTCTAGAGATATTTTGAGTTTTTCACCTATAACTAAATCGAACAGATTTTATTTATGTTCGCATTAAGCTTACCCTGGTGGTACATGACCTTCGATAATAACCGATTGACTTTTATTACTTGCAATCTCTAGTTGTAGTCGAAACCAAGCTAACTGTTGATCAGCAGCGTGGAAGAATTTCTCAGCTGGTATAGAACTACGTTTAAGTGCCTCAGTATCCCAATAGAGTGTATTTAAACTGATAATGGCTAATTTACCATCATAAATTTCAACCTTATAGTAGCCACCTTGGAGGAAAGTTTCTCGAATAGCATTGAATGATGTGATAGGACGTAATCTGTCTGGACAAAACGGGCATAAAATCAAGGCTGACCACATACTAAATATTGTTTCATACCATTGGCTATTAACTGGAATGATATAATCACCAATCATATCGTTATTGCCAATAGCCGGAAAGACAGGAGTAGCAGGGAAAGCTTCCACTAGACGTGTACTTGTATAAGTGATTGAATCGCGCACACGACGATATAAATCCGGTTGTGATAATTCATATAAACGATGGCATACAAAATCACCAGAAACCAATACAAAATCGACATATTGCTGTGTAGTAATTGGAATCACTTTGGTTGCTAGTAATGAATTATCAATTAAAGTTTTGGGTGAATCACAGCCTACTCTACCATAATAAGCTTTCTTCTGAGTTGGTTGAGCTGTTCCATTAGGATCATCAGGGGAACGGCAAAAGGTGGATGATGTCCATGATGAATTATATTCTAAATCTAGATGGAAATCAGTCAAGTGATAAAAGCGTGCAATATTGCCATCATCGGCGATTGTCGATGGCATAACACGATTGTAAAAGATTACAATCATAGCTAATGAGACACAAGCTACGGTCAGTAGAAATGCAAGACATGCTAAACATCGGACAGCAGTACATCTTCGACGTTGTCGTCGTACAAAGGGTGGATCCCGAATGCCAATCATGGCAATTTCTTCATCATCGAAGATGTTATCCTTGAAATTACACGTGTTATCATGACTGATAGAGGTGATCGTTGTCGACGGTGTAGTTGTCTTGCTTGGAGTTGTAGTCGAATTTTTGTCGCTATTTTGAATTAATGGTGTCGAAGCGTTGAATTTATCTTCTTCTTCTCCTTCGGGCATTTTCCTTCAAGACTGTAATAGATTTAGTTTGGTCTAATTTGGATTAAACTTCTTGATATACTTGAGATCAGTGCCGTAATAAGTGTTATCAACACTGGCAAGACTTGGATGATGATGACTGTACAATATCTTGAATGCTGTACGAGTAATTGAACTTTGTTTACTTACGGCTATATGGTGGCAGTAGAGTCACTTGACCGGTCGTATGTTGTAGGATAATAATTGGCTTAATTTATTGGATACAATGGTTGCAATGTCCATAAATTAAGTTCCATATGACACTATAACGTCTAAAGAGGCACAAAATCAAGTAGTCTAGTCTCTCTTAATCTGTCAAGGTGATAATCTACTCATGGATGGCTTTTAATTCTATATAATCAATTAATCTATTTTCAATGTAATTATTTGATCTAGTGTTAGATAACGGTTTGCTCCTGCTGGTGCTTTCCTCTCCAGATGGACCTTACTACAGTCTTGCTCAAGTTGATCGCGAGTAGTCACTAGGATTTCAAGTAGTGTCTTGGTATCTATGCCAACTTGCCTGATCAGTGATCAATGATCAGAAATGGTATATATAGAGAGAGAAAGGGAAAAGCTTTTGGACTTTCCTTTTTGACGTTGCCTTTAGCGCTGGTGAGAATTGGATGAGAAATGTGTAGACTGATTATTTTGGTGGTCATTTTACTGTGCTCTAGCTCTAGAGCTGTGCACCAGACTAGTAGGTAGTATAGCCCTGAAGTTGGATGTATCAACAGTACAGTGTTCAATTACAGTGGTACGTTACAGTTAAAATGACCAGTAAAAATTTGGCGATAGACGCTTTGCTAGTATCAGCAATGAACGACGATGACCCAGGAAAGGGACAGTATGGTATGGAACGGAACGATATGGTACGGTACGGTACGGTACCCATGACATGACCAGTCGTTAGACTTACGTCGTCGCCGACACAATCTAATACTGAATCATATACAAAATAGACTTTTATGAGTACCATGATAGCGCGATCTTAAAAGAAATTATCCTTTATCTATACTATAACTGGGAACTAGTGAATCAACATCATGATAGTGCTTAGACTCAAGTGAGACAAATGCATTGGGAAAGGCGATTACGCGCCAAGGTCAAATCCAACTTAATCGGGATAAGGATTACAGGCTGGCTAATTCTAATTTCTCCCCTTTTTCTTCTCCAATCTCCATTTTCCTCTCTGCTAGGATATTATACAGGTTACTGTAACCATCCATGGCAGAAGTAACATCACCGATTTCCCCTTCTGAGTAAGTGGATTGTGCTTAGGCGTAGGTTAATTATTATCAATTGGATGATAGCATGTCCTTTTCCATCTTCATCATCAAGACGAACTAACCTGTTGATATCTTGTATTATGATCATGGCGAATAGGCTTCCTCGTGAATTTCATGGACCATTGGTAAGGATTGATGGTAGAAATAGTCAATCATGTCATCCTATTGTAATGTCTTACTTTCCATAAAACGTGTCCTAATCAGTATTGCTCATCAGCTCTCGGTACGGTAGATTAGATAATCTGCGGACATTACAGCCGATAGTTACAATTGAAATATTGATTGATTTTAACCTAATAATTGGATTTCATCATTCTTCAGCAACAAATTGACAAATGATATTCTACATGGCTAAGATTTATCCTATGTCTGCAATAGACTATCGGGCTACAAAATAGTGCATACTTTAGTCATAAATTTTGTAGTAAATTGATACTTTACACTATTATATTTTACTGCCAGGTCTTAGCGAGTAGTAGGAATTATTCCACCTTTCCTTGAACAGGTAGATGGATTATAATTATAATCAGTTTTATAGCTAGTAATCGTCCACAGATAGACAATAACTTACCATATAGCTAGTAATCGTCCTTGTACAAGTAACTTACCATTCTTGTATGTCACATGGACACACCATTTTATACCCACTTAGTAATTAATTATAATACATGACATCATCTACTTTACTATTAGGCCATCATTTTATCTTTCCTACAATCATGATAGATACAGTACAATAAAAGTGCGGTACAAACAATTACTGCTGTATGATCATGATGAAATACATGGTGCCAATTGGTTTAATAAAGCTTTGGTAATGATGGTATAGATGTAAGGGAAACTAATGTATCTAAAATGATTGCTTTACATTTTTACAGGTCAATGAAGATTCTATTGGTTTTCAATTTGATCGACGTCGTAGACGTCAGGTAAATTGCTTCCACTTTGATATCTTAAAGTAAAGAAATTGATACTGTACTTGGACTTGGATGTACTACGTAATACGTATAGCAATGTTTGCTACTGAATGACTGCTCGATTACTGTAAATAATACTGCAAAATAAATTAAAAAAAAGCCCTCCTGACATCATGATACTCGTATTGAATTGTGATAGCCAGTTATATTAAACATGACATTCACTTTACAAGGCTTTAACACCATCAATACAGATGAATTTAATCTACATTGTTGCATTGTATCGCATTTTAGGAAGGAATGAAACGTAAGAAACGGCGACCATCTAGCTTTCACATGAACAAGAGTGAATCAGCATCAATTGCAGATCATGTTCTGCAAAGTATATCTAAAAGTAAGTACACGATCTATCTTTCCAATCATTAAATAATGATGGTAACTATTAGCTACTTTTGTTTCGGTATTCAATCAACTTTAATGTGCATTAACATTATTCCATATCTCGCCTAAGCAAGATAAATACATCGTGCCAATGGACAATGCTCTGCATAGTATTTTATACATGTTAAAATCGAGCTCAATGCCGGTAGTTCATGATTCTATAATGATACTTACTCAAAAATCGCACGTTATTAACACGATCGCTAACAAATTACATTAGTAAATGCAGTCAATATTAGTTATGATCAATTTTATATCAGTAAAGTATGATTTACTAGTAGATGCGATCGTGTGGAAGCTAAGAGTTGATACTTTTAACGCAGAGTAAGCGCATTGAAAATGTGTAGTAGGTGCTAATTACAATCACATCTTATGCGACAAATTATCATACAATTAATTATTCACTGAATAAACTAGCCTAATCCTCAAAATAGTGTTAAGATAGTCAAACATCTTACATGTTCTGTATGAAAACACAGGTAATGTGGAAGCGGAAACCCAGCAAGTTGAATCAAAGAAAGAAAATCCGAATGAGATTGTTACGACACCTATTGCTGAGAAACTAATGAGTATCGTCCGAGATGTTTTGAATGTAAGCCAAGCAGAATAACGTTTTCCTAACTTGGATTTAGAAGTGATGTCTGTTTTAAGCCACAGCTATTATATATATATATTATTGTACTTTCTTATATTTTGATTTCAATTTTTATTGATTCACTTATAGGAAAGTTTAATTGAGATATCGGCACAAATTGACTTTCAAAGTGATGGTAAGTAAATCTGTTATGCTGTCATCAATATATTACGTACATTACGTACTTGTCAATAAAGCAATAATTTACTCAATAATCTAGCAGTATTACTAGTATTATAGTCAAGATCCATTTTCACCTTTCCTTTAAATTAATAGCATTACCTAAAGTTAATCTATTGAAATGTTTAAATAACAAAATAACATATTTTGGGTTCTTATTGATCATATAGACACAGAAAAAGTTTCAAATGATGTTCTGGAAAATATTACAGCTGAACATATACAACGTTTATTAATAGAGATGTAAGACTATCGTGACTTAAAGATAATGTAAACTTTGAGACATTTCCTGCAGATATGGCATTACATTTCTTTCAGGCAACAACAAGATGAAGTTCGCCAAATTCTTACCGAAAGGATTAATTGGTGTGTTTTTATAACATTTTGCAACGATTCAGTGCGCTGAAAATTTTATCCGTTTTGTTTATATATTTCATACTATGTTAGTATTAAAAATGAACAAGATGATTGGAAAAATTACGAAAAAGGACTAGCAGATCAAGCACAAACACAAAAAGATGAGCTTGAAAAGTTTGTAACATTTTATCTTAAAGAAGAATCAACAAGTGTTCGTATCGATGTAATTAGCTATTAATCACGTCTGTCTGTATATTGGCGATTAGACCAATAGACCTGGTATCTTTAGAAAAAGACATACTCCCTGAATATCAACAACTTCTATCTTCAAACCTGGACTGTGAAAAGTTACTGAAAGAACTTGATGAAAAGAGATCTAAACTTAGTTTTGAGGTATTCTATTAAATCAGTCATAATTGTAAGTATGGTTTGTAGATACAACACCTTTTGAAATGCCCGTTAAATAATTTTAGTTAAAGAAACTGAGAGATGAAACATTAAGCATGGCTACTGAGATTATTCCTCAATGCGAAGAAATACAGGACCAGTTTGAAAGTTGTGGTGAGTGTAATTGCAAATACGAGTATGAGAATCGTAGTGAACAAATAGCATTGATACAAGTATTTTTAACATTAATTAGTACGATAAGTAACGACATAAAATCTGTTAGTGTGCAGATTTAGACTTAAATTACAATACTATGTATGCTAATACTCTTTGTTTCTTCTAAAGTTGGAAATCTACCCAGTACAACTACAGCAAAAGAACTAATGCAGAACATACTGGATGAATCGAGCCAGATACAATGATGGAAATAATTGTTTGCGAAGGTTGTCTATAGCTTTACACATATGAGGCTGATATATTACAGTCAACTGCTACGCATAGTATATACTCTATAAATGTACAGCAAGTTCAGGTATTTGGTAACAAAATCCTAATTTACACTTCAATGTGTAATATTATACTATATAATGTAATTTAGTAAGGATATTCCGGCAATGATTGATAGCTTATTTGACAATTACCATCTTAATTTCATCAGCAATGTAAATTAAGCTACTGGAATCGATTTTATTATTTTTAATTAATATCATCAACGCAACAGGTCACTTAATGTCATGTGTAGTGCTGCTTAAACATTATTGATAATATCTTTATTGCACAACAGTGTACAGAAAATAAAAGTTTTCCACAATTTCCGAAGTAAATAATGGAGTGCTAAATGAACAGATTTTATAGTATTTCTCTCGTTCATTTTGTTGCATTGCTTTAACAGAGTAAATCTGATAGTCATGACTTATCAGCTATCTAGCATACTGATTTTGACCTTTTACTAAGCCAATCAGCAATTTTCTTATTATTTGCTATTCGATCGAATAGACTTTTCAATCGAGGGCAGTTCTCAAACAGGCTTTGATTTTGTTCTAATAAATATTCACTAATACAGAAAAATTCTAGATCGGCCAAAGTTATCTACAAGAATAGAGGTAAATTCATCATCATCATTGCTTTAGTATTCTTTACTTACTTATACAGTTATACTAATAGGGTACCATTTCAACATCATCGCAAAGATAAAACTTAAACTACGCACAAATTGGTAAAACTTCGTTGCTTACCGTGTTGCCAACCAAGTAGTCAGATTCTAGGCCTGCTTCCAAAGCCTTCAGCCATGTTGATTTATATTTGCAATAATCTTCTTGAAGATTTCGCTATATCAGTATTAAAATACGTTAACATTGGCAATACTCGTATACCATCAGGTATTTGACATTTTATGGAGGAAAATGAAATCGCAATACTTTTATAAATATAAAGATACGAATATACTACTATCATTGATTACATCCACAGATTCTTGTTTCCGAAAGCTGAATATTTGCTACGGGGATGTAGTATATAAATATGTTCTCTTGGTTTAAGATAATGTTGGATGATTTTTATGGTTAATGTTGAGGCATAAGGTTTTACAATTATTAGTATCACAATTTAGAGTCAAGTACAGTAATTTGTACATACTTGGTTGGTAGCAGCAAATCTAAAATTACACTCAAAAATTGATCTACAGTATGCTACTGTGTTACGGTCATTCTTAGTGGGAATTTTAATTACAAGAGAGCAGTCTGCCGTATAAAATCGATTTTACAAGCTGCCATATACCAATATACGTATGGCATGCATGCAAGTAAATAGTACATCATTGTATTTATTATGGTTATAGAGTACTGCATGTTAATATAGTGAAATTTTGCACTGCTGAATTTGTTGAGCGCTGCTGTGTATCGTACATCATATTCTTAAAGTGACGGGTTATAAGACTGCAGTATCATTTACTATTCCTTAAGGAATTAGTGCTCAAGATTAAATTCTTATTATACAGAAATGATCAGTTATGAAATAATTGGTTGAATAATCGTAAAATTATTTGGTGCCAACAACAATCAAACTTAAGCTGACCTTTTTTTCCTCATCTGGCTCGAATTGAGATGTAAACATTTTGGTAAACATTTCGTCGACGGAATAAGTTATCATGTCAATCTTGTACTTCTCCCAATTATTCTTGCCATGAAATCCTAATGCAAATATGATCAATCTTTAATCATACCAATGCCGTTAATAAACTAAGGTTTTACTTCTTATAATTCAAGCGTAAAGTATACTGTACATGTTTACAATACGCCACGCCACCTCTGCGCGATCAGAACTCATGTACCTGATTCTTTATCACAAATTTATCATTAGATGTGCAATCCTATTCGCACATACTATACGATATAATTATAACCACCATATTGAGCGTTATGAGGTACTTTTATTTGCTCATTACGCTATTATTTTTTATAGCAGATTTACAATGCGCATAGCAACTATGATCTTCCATTTAACTGTAGGGGTATTATTCACCTACCGAAAGTCAACGCTAAATAGCTTTCAATTGCAATGCTTTCGATAAAAACTTTACCATCCACTTCCAGAACTGGCAATCGGCGAAAAGGGTTCTTCACAGCTAATTTTAGTAGATAAATACAAAGTCATCACCCTTGAGCAGAATACTTATAAGTTATAATAGACTATGCCAAAGCTAATTTGATCATGCAATACAAATTTTTTTCAGCCAAAGTTATTGTACTCTAGTGGAGTCGTCAGCATAGTATACAAGTACGGTATACTGCACTTTTAACAGTTTAATGATCAAAATCTGCTGAATTATAATAGATTTAAAAGAAGTTAACGTTGTACAGTATAATGAATCCATCAAGGAAACGTCGGCATAAAGTCAGCTGTTAACCAGTTGCTACATACAATAGCAGACTGCAGCTGCCTTCTACAATGCAAAAGTTGCAATCACTAAAATCAGGAGAATACAATTTACATGTAGCATTTTATAAGCACCATCCAAATAGGATCAAATTCGACGATGATACAGTGCATTACTTTGTTTATAGGTGGGCCAATCTTCTTCGGAGATTCGTTCGTCAATAAATGGAACATCAGCTAAAACGAATAGGTAGCGTGCGACTTCCGCTCGTGCACGGATGTTAAAGTAGGTAAGTTTGTAAGTTGGCATGGTATTGTACGTATATTTATTTTTAATTAGTTAATGGCGCTATTTCACTTTAGATGCAAGTACTGTATATCTAAGATTACCAACCAAGATGAGCTCCTTGCAACTGTCTCCACACGGCCCATCAAATGACTGCTGCTGCATACCTAGCTACAATAACTGAAGAACTTTAATTCAAGAAGTCCTGTCCTGGCCGCCGTCCATTTGTTTCAATAGTAAATACAGTATAGAGTACTGGCAGCTTGACAAGTACGAACATGTTGCTAAGTTAACATTGTACATACTGTATTCATTTTCTCCACGTGATAGCTAGCTATTGCTGTACTAATTTTACTATTTGCATATCTGTGAGGGTTATGCTTGGGAGGAGTAGCTTCTATTTTTGTTGACAATACAGTATTCATATTTGATCTGCAGCTCAAAACATAGTTCGGATGGAAAATTGATAGCGGTAACATGTACGCTACTTTGATCTTATTCTTTGATGTATCGTTTTGTGGTAACGACAGCATAAGGTCGTTTCATCATAAGGTGCAATGCGAAAAAGAATTGAGTTAGGAGCTAAACCGATCGATAAATAGATCTATAATTGCCAATATGTTTATTATTTATTAAGACTCACACGACGTTCACAGAAATCAGTCGAATGTAAAAATGATTTCTCAAACATGTTCACTTGATCAATAATTAAATTAGAAGATAAGATTAAGTTATACTGTCTACGTCAGGTCTAGTCTACGATCCAAATGACAATAATTAACCACAATTTGTTGAGCTGTATTGAGTTTATTGGCACTTATAACTTAGAAGCAGCTCCAGGTCACGCATACTGCACATCGCCAAGAGCCAGAAATGCTAACATCATTACGATGACTGATTCATTTTATTAACTTATTACATGTATCCTACCATTGTAACCGCAATAGCAATATTTTTAAAATGACTACAGTAAAGTATGGTATCGTACTATTCCAATAAATGGATTAATAGTCTCTCTTTGGTCTTTTATTTCTCCATTCCGCGATTTCTTTGACATTAGCCACACGATCGAACAAAACCTTCAAACTAGGAAAATTGTCAAAGACATGCTCATCATCGTCCACTAAGTATTCAGCTCCACAAAAAAATTGGAGATCTGCCAAAGTTAACTAAAAGAAAAGATTAATATTTAGTAGATGTGTTAGCATATCATCCTCTCCTTAGTCTCTTATGCAAAATACATATATTGACCATCCGATATCAACAACGTTTTCCTGTCATATAGAGTCTAGAACGGTACTCGTTTGTCATTTGTAGCGACTTACCCTATCGCAAACCAAGTACTCGAATTTGTTACTTTGAAAAATTGCCTCCGTGGCCTTTAGCCAGACCGGAAGAAACTTTAAATAGTTATTCCTGCTAACTTCCTGCAGTAACATCAACATCAAATAAATATTGGATCGTAGTTCATAAATTGCCGTTCATTAGTGCATCCAAAATTATAATTATATATATATATATAATATTGAACCAATACGGCAAAGTATAACTGCTAAAAGCAGCCGTAAGCTGAAATTCTGCTCAAGTCAGCAAATAACTATGGCCGCATAGGCAAGAAATTATTTCTAGTCTTGTATGCTTCAAATATTCTAACCCTTCTCTTTTCATCTGTTTCAAACGCTGCTATCATATATTTTTCTATCAGATCCGTAACAGCGGACGACACCATATCAATCTGATATTTTTCGTAGTTATTGTTACCATGAAGACCTAATAGCAAATTAGGAATCGGATATAATTATTACTTACTTATTAATTTATATGGAAACTAGAATTCGAATTGATTGAGATAAATGCAATTTGCAAATACATAAACTGACGTACCGAAGGTTGCAGCTAAGTAATTCTCGATAGCTAAGCTTTCAATGAAGACTTTACCATCAATCTCTAAGCAGGGCAGCTGCTTAAAAGGATTCTTTACGGCTAATAACGATGATTGCAATAGTATTAGGAATAATAGCAAGAATTGCATTACATTGACATTACAGTACAAGTACGCGTGTACTGTGCAATATGTAACTGTTAAATTTGAGCAATGAATTTGATCGACATTACGTCTAACAAATGAGCTTTCTGCATGAATACAATTTCCAGTCTTGCTTTTTAGCCTGTATCATTCAAGGACTATTAGAAGACTCTCTCTTCTTCTAGTAGTCATTCAATCACTCTATGTTGATGTCTAATCATATTACAAGCTAGTGAAAATAAAAGACGTGCGGTTTTAAGCAGAAATTTTATAGTACCAATGGTTGGAGCTCATAAAAGAACCTGACGCAATCAGCATGTTTCACTATTCAAGAAGAGACACCGAAACGTGCCATATAGTACGTTACAGTAGATGGCACAACACAAAATTTGCAGTCATTGCAGATATCACCATAAGGGAAATACACGTAACATTTTAATATTTGGCACGGCTAGCTAAATATACATGGTTAAGCCGGCTGAGGCCTCTGCTTACTTGGTTTAATCTTGGGCCATTCTTCTTCGGTGAAACGTTCGTCGACATAATCAATACCTGCTACTGCTAAAATATAACGGCTGACTTCAGCTCGGCCACGAATATCAAAATAAGTAAGCTTATATGATGGCATCTTTGCAATTTGTTGGAATGCAGTAAAATCGAAGGATCACTGATATATGTAATTTAATGTACAGAAAGTACCAAAGTTAGAACGTTTCAGGAGAAAGAGCAAGCACCAAATAAATCAATGCAGCACAAGATCGAAAAAATGCTCCGACCGACCTTTTATTAAATTCAGAAAAGTTTCTTATGTGTTGATAAAATTACTGTACTGTACTATCTATCTGTCCATCTGTGGAGTACAGTACAGTACTGTACTGTAGTATACAGTACTTTCCACAAAAACTGCGCTGGCAGCGCAGCTAGTGCAGGACACTGCAGGTTGCTAAGAGCTCGGACTCGACTAAAGGGAATAATATTCCGATGCTGAAGGTTTAGGCACCTAAAACTAAACAAACTTCTATTTGTACGCGTATATTAATTAATTCTATTTATTTATTTATGCACAGTTAACCATTGAACTTGCAGAGTCAGGTGACAAGGTACCGCACAATACAGTAACTGCTATGTGGCATTGTGCACGTTTGTGTAAACCCACTGCGGCCTACAATTGCTACAATACTCCCTCCCTCATTTAGTGTGATAGTAAATAACGTCCTAGTTCACGCTGCCTCAGCTAGGCTAGTCTAATACTGCGCAAGGATTACCAACTTTTCATTTTACTCGTCTTTCTTCGTTGTAAGCTTTGCAGGTTGTTTTTTCCAACGCGACGTTGACCAAGCTTGAATCAGAATGCCTCAATACAAATTAACTTATTTCGATATTCGCGCTCGTGCAGAAGTTGCTCGATATCTATTTGCACTTGCTGGTGTCGAATATGAAGATAAGCGGGTCACACAGGAGGAATGGCAAAAGATGAAACCAAGTAAAACCCACATCAATGCCTAGCAATGTAGCAAATATGTTGTGTAATGTGTACCCTTGAATTCAAAACGATATTCTGCAATGATAATTTTAATTTTAATTTGCTAAATCGAGTTGGCTAGAAAAAATCCATATCATAATTGAAATCAATAATTATAATTGCTTCAGTCAAGAAAGCTGAAACAAATGCAGTCAACTTCCTTAATGATATTTACTGGTGTTAACGCCTTTAATTCTAATAAATGTAGACGTCCCCAATCCATTCCGTCAACTACCAATTCTGGAAAAAGATGGGAATGTCATGATCCAAAGCAATGCAATTTCGAATTATCTTGCCATGGAATTTGGTAAGAGGAATCACTTTCATCATTTTAATCTGAAAGTTGTTGCGGGACAAAAACTAGAACGTGTGATAAAATGTACTTGATTGCAATATTCAATCTCACTTTAAACAACCAATGATCAGTAATGAGCTGCTCCCTACACGCTTTGTAGTCCGTAACTGTTCATGCCACACTGTAAATTTTAATATAATTAATTAATTAATCAGAAGCTGTTATTGGCTCTAGGAAATGCTGTAGTTTCTATGTATGCAATTCACTACTTTCAATAACAAATTACAGACTTTTGCTTTACGTTGACTTAGCTCTTGAACATCGAGCTATCAAGTCTCTTTGTTCGTCCACATGCTAACTTTTCATGAACTATAACATCAACAATCTCAATAGGTTTCCATGGAAATGATAACATGGAAAAGTATAAAATTGAAATGGTTGGAGAAAGTATTTATGACATGTCAAAGGCAATGATGACGGCGAATTTCGAAAAAGATGAGGAAAAAAAGGTAGCATATCGTACCCTTTTCAAGTAGACCCTATCATTACGTATATCGTCTGCATCTATCAATAATTATAATATACTACATTACACTATGCAACCAAAGGTAACTTCATATATAATACTTCCATTCAAAGTATGATTGACATTTTTTAGGCCAAGCTAACAGAAGACTTCTATGGTACTTTTCTACCTAAATGGTTATCTGCAATGGAAAAGATTCTAAAAGAAAGCACTGGTGACTATTTCGTCGGCAATAGGGTACGTTATTAAAATAGATTATTTGTATTGGCTACCTATGTCTGCCTCTATTGTCAATCAAGAATACCTACGATGCTGTAGATTGATTGGATTGTGTGAATTCAATAATATTTTATGCAAATAGATAAATGAGTTCAACTTTAATCTAATTTGAATTATAAGGTAAAATAGCAGAACGATAGATAGGTAAATAACCTTATCCCCTTCTGATATTTTAGATCACCTTGGCTGACGTTGGATTTATTTTCTCCTGTGATTATCTTCTCGCTGCTAAACCTGATGCTTTTAAAGATCACCCGGGACTTAGTGGATTATATGATCGTTTGGCTGCTAACCCTAAGATCGCAGATTGGCGGAAGAATAGACCTCAAACAATGTTCTAATCTAACAGATACAGAAATATAAAGCGACGTAATTTTGAGTAATTGCATTTTCGTTTAGGGATGCAATTTTAATTATCAATAGTTTGTCTTTCTCTTTCTCGTGTTCTTCGTGAAAGTATGAAAATCTTTGAAATAAATGGTACGACTTAAAACCTCTCCGGCAGTAATCTTCGTATGGTTATTATTAGAAATGACAGTAATTTTATGGCCCTATGACTTGACTCTACACTGTAGTATAATAAAGCCTGTTCAAGAGAAATTTTTCGATTTCAGAAAGTTGGTTCAACTTTTGCTAATTTTGAACGCATTCTTATCACATAAAAAATTGTAATTGATGAATTTCAACAATCTGATCAACATTATCATACAATTAAAGGAAAATTAACCTTTGACGACTCCGAACTTAAACAGCTCATAATAATCATTCAGTTTTGGCATGAATGCGAATTACCCATTTATCACGGTATTTTTGCACCGAATTAAGACAAAATATATAATACTTTTAAATTATGTCTTCTTTAAGGGTTAAATTTATTATTATAGTTTTCGTATTAACTCAGGTGTAGTACAAGTTCATTATTAACCGCCAATCAAATCAAAACATGCTACTACACATAGCATAATATCAACTTGACATAACCAAAACATAAAAGGCTAAAGTTAGAAATAAGTAAACAATTTTGCGCAAAGATATTTTTATCCAAAAATGAAGGTTATGCATCTTTACTGGCTGGAATAACATAATTTTGTAGAAAATTTATCATATCGCTATTTTCGAGATCTGTTTCAAGGAAACGGTCTACAATTGTTGAGTATCTAAAGGAAGTTAAAACCATAAAAAATGTTAAGTTAGATAATAACAGAACAACTTACTATTGCCCCTATAATACTTTACGGAAGTTAAGACGATATTGTACACTGTACAGACCTAAATCTATGGAAGAACTAGTCTCGACTGATATATATATATTATACAGTATATATATATATATATACAAAAAAAACTAGATAATTTTACTCTAATAAATTATTGGTGAATCAGTCAGGCGTAACCGTTAAATGTAATCTACAGTTCCGTAGTGTGATACATTTTTAATCGCTCCGCAGTAGATTCTGAACCACTTCGGGTAATTGCATCTCCCTGGATTATCGCCTCGGCAATCTGTGATTTAAATAATAGTACACGTATTTTAGAATTGAAAAGTAGTAGAGTGATCTATGTACATGTCGTGCATTAGTCAAAGCACGAAAAGTGAATTTTCCAAACTACTTCTCTGCCTCGAGATAGGACATGAGTTGGAATATGAGCTACAGCTGCTACGTGATACGCTAGACTTCTAGAAGATAACCCATCCAATAGCTGATACAAGTATGCAATGTTGTCTTTTTCTATCAAGGTATCCATTGTCTATGTAAGATGGGTAATAAATAGGTTAAAAAATATTTTTTTAAAGTCGTAAAGTCTATATCCTACACGATAATTTACTCCATTCATTAACTTCTCATAGTAAAATGAAAATAACACCATTAATTTAGTAATACATCAGAATTTCATATTTTATATCTTAGTTTATATTAATTAATTAAATTAAACTAAGTCTATGTATAACGTCGACAAAAGAAATAAAAATTTTCAAAATACGTTTAATACGTACCTGATACTTTAAAAGATCTGATTGTGGTAGAATATTATGTTTCTGAATGCTAGTAAAGTGAGTTGATATTAAAATTTTTGGTGGACATCTTTTCTCCAGCCAAAATTCAATAATGGCAATTGTAAGGCTTAAACCATCGATCTATATCACGTTTCATTGCAAATAAAAGGTCGGTTTTATATTCTATAGATAATTTCGAGTTGGCAACTTCTATACGTAAATTCGAGATATAATTCATAGAAATCTTTACGTAAGAAGGATTTAACTAACTGGAGAAGTAAATTTTCCGAATTCGTCAATTAATATTAAAGATTTTTCGGTCGCACCCATCAAGCTAGTGGCAATCTAATTATTTTATAACAGATAGCATTTGGACATTAATCAATGAACTAGTTATGGTAAAGAATAAAGATACAGTAGAATAATGCGATATCTTCGAATATGTTGTACGGTAAGATTTCTGCGATCGAGGTTTACCTCCGTTAATTCAATTGCAAATGCTGATAAGTTTACGGAAATCGTCTCGTGAGTTTGGATTCGAGTATAAATTCTATCTGAAATGCCAATTTCAGCCTCCTCTGCTGGAACAAAACTCCCGATATGTGCCATATATACTATTAGACCGACCTTACGGGGATATAATTAAAGTATTGAAATAGAACTATTTTCAGTTATTCCATCTTTTGATGTGATAGTTAAACTTATATCAGTACCATACATTGAGTGTTTATTTGTTTAGTACCTGTTTCAGATACACACTCTTTCCACTGGCGTTAGGACCGGTGATAATGTTAATTCTGTCTTTTTGTTCCTCTATATATGTATCATTCGGAATGAATTTTCCGGGATCAAGGCAACATTCTTGGAGAGGATGCCTATAAAATTTGACGTTGACGCAAAGAATATTTTATTATACCTTAGCTAAACTCTAATAAAGAAAACAGAGTCTTCATTTATGTAAGACCGTATTGCTGATGATTTACTTATTATATTGAATAGAGTAAAAGTTTACAGTTAATAAATAATTTGCTATATGCACAGTACTATGGTATCAGGTTGCACTTCGATATATTCATTAGCTATGAGAAAGTCAGTAAATATAGCGTGACATCTCACTTACTATGTAAACTTTATAACACAATATAATTTAATCTTAGTTTATCTAGCAATCCATATGAAAGACATACAGACACTTGAATTAATATTTAGCATACAAAAGTTGCACAACTGACACAAACTACGATATGATTGTTATAACATCACAGGTACACTTTACTATAGCACTAAGCGCTAAATAAAATTAGTAGTACTATTGCTGAGCTATAGGTAATGAACCTACCTTCCCTTTTTAATAGCTATTTTATTTGCTTCAGTTAACTTTGGACGAATGAAATTATTTTGCTTAGCTAAAATCGTCAGGGCAATAAGACTAACACAAAATAGCATGGGATTTTACAACCACTTCATTGAGCACAGTACACAAAATACAACTGTATAGATATCTGTGATATCTACCAATCTAATTCGGCGATTTTTTCGAGTAAAGAGAGAATATCATCTTTATGTTGTAATACTACTTCCTGCAGCTGAAGCATAATTTCTATTTCTTTATCTACAATATAATGGATATAGTGTAAGGATTCAAGCCATCACTCAGCCCATCTGTCTATACATGCGGTCACATTTGTTGATAACCAGTAAATAAGTGTAATAATGAGTGGATATAAAATTCGCATTTTATTTCTCACCTAGTAATCTACATTGAGTATCTCCTAAGGATTCATCCAGTTCTGAACATAAAGATTATTTTAAGAATTTATTAAATAAAGTATGGAGTATCAATGTCTAATCAAGCGTGAAATATGATATTCCAGACTATCGCCATTCCTTAAATTAATAACTGTACCTTTGGTAAGAGGGCTCTTATAGTACGCCACATCGTTGGAAACAAACTAATACCGAAGCGTAAAAATAAGCAAATAGAGTTTGTTCAGGTAGATATAAAAAATTGTAGCATAATCATTATATGCATTTACTTGAATAACTTACCATAAAGTCGAGGCCATCAATAAGGAAATCACTTTCAGAAGCATAAATGATAATTTTGCGATGGCTAACATGAATCCAAGCTGATTAAAAGATGATAGGATTTATAGATATCATTCTGATATAGCGAGCGATACGGTAAAAAATATAACATAGGATAATATCGATTTTATTAATAAAGAAAACACATTTAAATTGAAATTAATTAAAATTATTGTTTTCAAACTTTAGTGCTTCTGCTTGCGATTGATTTCTAGTTTAATGTTAAAATAAATAATCAAAAAAGTTATTACAAGTAAATCGTGTGTAGAAGGACCTGTGGCAAGTAGATAACGCTGCATTCATGGACTTGATTATCTAGTCTCTCTAATTCTTTCGAAGCCACCTTAGTCAAAATTTCTGGTAATCTATTGTATGTACGCCTATCTTTAATAATTATATCAGACACAGAGGGAAGTTAGTTGGGCAACAGTTATTAGACTAGCTATACTGTATTTAGTTTTTATTATTTGAAGTAAAATCACCGTTATCAAATTGAGTATCTTTGCCAGGTCTGATAATGAATCGTTTCTGCTTTTTAGATTCTTGGAGGTCAATCTAAAAAGATTTTATTTGATACTTTTTCAATATAAAAGTAATAACGAATTTTTACCTCGAATTAGACAGTTTAAAATTCTCCGTTAGAGTGATTTAATTGATACTTATCAGGTCTATAACTTCTCTGATAGACGATACCGTGTCGGAGATAATCTTCGCAAGATTTTGATTTGTGCCTGTAGTGCAAATTTTAACAATCTAGAAGTTGAACAATTGGAAACGTTAAGCATAAAAATCTTATTAGCTAATATCAAAGAGTTCATTAATTCTAATTAATAAAATTCTACTTTCAGGGAACAACTCTTAAGCTTCGAATTATAATTCATTATGATTAATATTTTTTAGCCGTTTTTCACATTCTTAAAATACAGCTTTCTAAGTTAATAATTAAGGTAAGCTAAGATATTAATAGTTTAATTAACCTAGATCATATAAATTGATTGTCAAAAGTTATCGTACCTCTTGAAATAGTGGTATAGACTGCGGTAAATGTTGGCTTAATTTTCCTATTTCAATCATTGCTTGTATAGTCTGCACGTAGTGAATATATTGATAATAGAAATAATTCTAATGTTTTAAGTTTCTAAAAGTGATATTATTGAATTTGCATACCGATGATATTAGTTTCCAATCCTCAATAGATATTTTAGCTATCATCATTCGAGAAATTATACGCTATAATGAACATGAGTATGTATGAGAGACGAAATTTGCGCATTTATTCCTAATTTCTCTTGCAGATCAATATGTACCATAATTACACCGTATTGCAATTATATTAAGGGATTATAATTTTACTTTCTATTACGATACATACTGATATATTCCTAATTTTTCTTATATGTAGATGCAGTTCCATTGCAACATCGTATTGTTGCACTCCTAAGAAATATGAGATGACGTCGTATCGCTTTCGTAATGCATTCATTTCACAGATAGGGCGGATAAACCATAACCTTATAAGAATGGAAGCAATTATGAAGAATTTAAATTCACTTGGATTTTAGTGAATATAAAGGATAATGCTTAATATTAAAACCTCAGAAGGCGGGATCCAATCGTAGATCGAGTATGATTTGCCATTTCTAAGACGGTAGTAATAGGATAAATAATTATATTGTTGATTGACTAGTTTTACTAATTTTTAAAGATTATTGTGATAATTGTGACTTTTATATTTAGATTTGACCGAATCTACCGAATAATTCACTACAGAGGCTTAAAGCCTACACAACTTCACATTTAAACTGAATAAAAAATAAGATAGCTAACTAAATAGAGAGAGCTTTTTATGATTATGTTCGATTTTATCTGGTGGACTTTGATCGTCGAAACAGAAAATCTGTAGAGCGCTAATTAGCAATTCGAAATAAAATTGTCATTAATATTTCTGAGTTATCCGGAAACTTTACTCAGAAACAGTGACGTTACCTAAATGTATGTTTATCGATGTGCATAACACCTGCTCTATAATGCGTAATAATAATTAGTTAACATCATTTACTAATGAATCAACAATTTAAGCAGCTAATGATCGAACTAGTTTACGAACAGGTAATATTTGTGTTATAAAATTTGACATACAACGAAAACATTTGCAAATCGACGACATGAATATGCGCCTCTGATTCGCTTAGTTGATTGCTGCCATGTTTATTTTCTAAGAATGTAATGAGTCCGCCAATGGCTGAAATCTATCAGAAAGAACGTGGATTATAAACTAGATGTAACGATTGGGACTCATTTTTGCCAAATGGCTAACACTGCAATTAATACAGTACTTGATATGGATTGGTTACTAAGACTTTAAAGTCGATAGATCAGTGCAAACTAGAGTATTATACTTATTATTTTACTCCATTATTGTACCATAGTAACGTTGTTGAATGAAAGTTTTGCTGATATTGTCATTAACTCCTCAATTTCTAGCATATCAGACTGATTACGGATGCGGCTAAGTAGCGAACCAATACGATGTTTTGCAGATTCTGACGCTTTATAGTTTTAAATAATATCATAATTATAAGGTATAGAGTTATTTTATGTGACTGTTAGCATTCATTTCCGTATGTTGTTAATATCGTATCTGCTAGGTTACTAGTGTACAATATTAATAAAAGTCTTGTTATTACAAAAGTATACTCAGACATTAGATCATCTATTCTAAACTAACAGAAGCTAGCTGTAGGTAAGACTTCAATTTTATAGAGGTCACTTTTATTGATTCGGCTATGTTCAGCTTTGATATCTTAAATAGGAAGTAAAGTGATATCAGAAGAATAATCAGCATCACTATATAGGATTTAGGTTAAAGACTGTGATGCAAAATTGTATAAATGTTTACTCTATCAACGTAATTTATTTGTCATGCTTTACAGATCGTTATTTTATACCTTCCAAAGCTTGATAGATTTTTGTATCTTGGCGTGCAAAAGTAAGCACAATATCTGGATCAATCTGAGTAATAGCTAGAGAAGTCAGAAGTTACTTCAATATTAAGATTAAAGACATCTATACGTTATACATGTACAGTACATGATTATTTATGATTAAGGTTAACTTATTAAATTCACTTAATATCCGTTGCTATATGGGTCATGGACGTATACTTTGTTTAATTTAAGTACTTTCAGAATAAACATGTTTTATATTACGTAAGTCCGATTTCAGTAAGTGCTACCTTTCCTTAGCATTGTAAAGTCTTCAGTTTCAACAATATCAGCACACATATTAATGATACAAGTCTCTGCATCATAAAATGCGACTCCAAGTTGACTGGATTTCCAGCAAACGCTCATTATTATGGGCTGTAATGATCGAGAAATAAATTTCCTCATGAGGACTTCTTCCTCTATTGACATAAGCTTGATTTAGCCTGTTTTTAATTGTATCAGAATAACTAACCGTTTTAGGTTGCACCTCGTCATCCATAAGTGAACCAGTATTGCTTGCGAAATCTATAGGGTGTATACCATCTGTCACATTTCGACCATGATTGCTGGATACTAAATTCTCTACATATGAACTTGGTCTCTGATTTAATTGGCTACCATGAATAGAAAACTCATCATTTGTGGTGGCTATATCGAAGAAATTGCTTTTACTATTGCTGCGGTCATTACTTGACTGTATTGTCAACCGAGATACTGTAGAAGATACACTAAACGGAGTTGAAATGAAAGGCTGTGAAGAAGTCATCCTGGAGTGAAGGAGATTTTCACTGTCTGTGAAAAATATCAAAAATTGAAATTCTGAGTACGATTACCAATTTTGCAAGTATGGCTCTACCAATACATGGTAAGAAAAAAACAACGTTTATTTACTTATCTGTATAATGAATTATCACCCAAGCATACATAGATACAATTTACTACCTATTAAATTACCTAATGATCAGATAAGATACCGTAAATGATTGAACGGAGAAGAAAGTCTTGGAATACGCATATAAAATGGCGAAGCGATTGATGTTTTAGGCTTTCACTGATTTCAGTGAAAGTAGAAGAATTGACGCATAAAAAGTGACTCAGCTTGAAACGATCACTGAAAAACGTGCGTACATTCCGGGTGTTACTAATATCAATTTCTACTGTGTTATATTACTTTAATATTTGACATTGGACAAGGTTAAATGTTCTGCTAAGTTTCACTAATGCACCCTGCCATTTGCAAGTCTTTCTTTATGAGATGGAGAGGAGGATTAGGCGAAATAGGATAGTTTGCGCTAGCTAGAGAGCATTTTCCCATGATATAGGAGAACTTTGTTAGGAATTATCAGCAATTCTCGATCTCTACTTCATACCTCTTATCCGTGCAGTAGAGGTCATCATTTTGAGTTTCACATCGAATCACCATTTGGTACTCTATGTTCACTGTAGGGTGGTTTCTACAATATCGAAAAACTTTCTTGGGGTAGAGGCCATAATTTGCATTACAATTATCGTATCAAATTTACTGTTTGATGCTCTACGAGAGAATATTATCCACGGTATAGGAGAACTCTATGAGGAATTACCGGTATTTAGCAATCCTTGAAATTGATCAGTGTGGCAAAGGCTATAAGTTGAAGGATCACATCAAAGCCACTGATACTCTGTAATCGATACGTAACAGAGATATTACGATGGAGTGCTATATCATCCATTACAGAGAGAATTTTTGATACTAGCTATTAGTAATTCTCGAGTTCCGTTTATGTGGTAGAGATCCTAATTTAAAATTTCTTATTAAAATTAAAGTTTGATATTTATTATGCTCGTTACGGAGTATACGAGGAAAATATAAGAGAACCTTATTAGCGATTACAGTAGTTCTTCACCTCCATCAATGAGGTAGAGGCCATAATTTTGAATATCATATCAAGCTCTTTAAAGATAACCTATTAGAGCTGATTATGGGCGACAATTTAGAAAAAATGGCAAATATACAGTTGCCATATATTGCATGAATGAACGAAAGTATTTATGTAAAATTTCGGAAGCAATGTTAAAAAGAATTTAATCAACTGTAAATAATTACGTATACTTGTATAGGTACGGTAGTTGTTCCATCATGAAATGCCAACAATAATTCTATTGATATGGGCAAAGTACAATTTTATTTTATCATTATTTTACTGACTAGGCCTCGTATGTTCAATATTTACTCCGGATTCAGCTGGTTTATTTTTTAACGAGAATATAAAAGGATAGTTGGCACAAATTGCAATCTACTAATACAATCTTATTTCGTTATCCTGCCTACAAATGGTGATTTTTAGGGCGTAGTTGTAAATTCTTGAAAAATTGTAATCTTTTCAGGTTTACTATACTCGTACACTGTATTAGTAGCGATGTTGCAATTCCTTGTATAAATGACATATCTATATATGCAGGAGATATTAAAATATATCGAGAATTAATGGTTTATCCGTAGAATGTAAGTATACTGTACTATTGCATACAATAAAATACCATAGATGCAAACAAGTTATACTGCAAGCACTTTCTAAAATACAGTACCTAGTCCTTAACTGCATAGTTCAAGAACAATAAATGTAGAACAAAGTAAGAACCCTTATTTCATTTCATTATTGGTATTTTCCTGTCTTTGAAGCCATCCTAAGAAGCCTTGACGATAATGACGAGCATTACTATATCCCAATTGGAGAGCAGCATCTAAAGCCATACGACTACGTTTACCAGACTGGCAGTGAAAGATCAAGTGTTGACTATCCATAGTAGGTTTTGCAACGCTATACTTATCTTGAAAGGCTTCTGCACTCATTTGCAATGCATCTCGGATTTCATGAACAGGAACATTGACTGAATGTGCAATCTTTCCATATTTAGCAATCTCTTCTGGTGTGCGAACATCGAATAATTGAATGTTTTTCGTCTCGATGAGCGATACTAAATCCTCGTACGATATTTCGTCCATCATTTGTTTTGGTTGTAATGACTGGATTGATCAATCCTATTGCGCTTATTCATTTACTAGTTATTGGATTATCCTTACGTAATACAAAAAGAGAGCTTATCTGAGAGTATCGTGTAGCATTGATGTTGATAAAGCAGATTTAGAATAAGTTGTTATGCTAGATTTTACCTTTGTATCGATTCTAGTATTACTACTAGTACAAAAATTGGAAATTAATTCAAGATTAAAATGTATTCCCAATCTACTTTTGCAATAGTGGTAATACCCAATATTTTGCGATTTGGCAACGCCCTACTGAGTACAGGACATACCAGAGTACGTACTGTACACTGTACAATGTGATCGTTGGATATATTTGAAAAGAGTCAAAACTAGAAGTAAAACGCTTAAAAAAAACCAATCTTTCTCAACCTTCCTATACGGATATATTAAAAGCATGCCTTTGCCACAAATTTGATACAAATTGATGTAAAAATAAAACTTTAATCTCCAATATATCGGATCACATCGTACAGTACTCTACAGTAGTATGCTGTAGAGTATAGTACTGTACTGTGATGTGCAAAAAGATTCGATCGCTCGATTTTTCTCTATACTAATAGCTGTTAAATGGAAAATTTTTACGTTGGGAAATGCTATTTTACCATGATTAGATTGATTGCTATACAGTAAAGTATGACAACTAATGGTGTTATCGTCCATTGCCTTCTTTATTGCTTTTTTCTTACTTACTTTTGACTTTATCAGCTACTGTACTGTAGTAGTAGACACCGAGAGATCCCAGGTGAGTAGCGTGACACTATTGCACGATAGATACTGCAGTGTAGTGTTCCAGTTGTGTCGTAGTGATACTATGATTGACTGGAACAACGACAGGATCAAGGACGGTTGCGCAGACCTGTCATCATCACCGCACACATAGTACTGCAGTAGTCAGACTTAGTTAGGAGCGGATATAGGCCACGGGCCCATTTTACTCGCATCGACGACGACAGCAACTGCGGCATCATGGAGTTTCAAGCAGTCATTTTGGCTGCTGGACCAGGCTCTAGAATGTATCCATTGACAGAAAATATGCCAAAAGCCTTATTACCTGTAGCAAATAAACCAATGATCTGGTATCCTATTCGGATATTACAAAAAGCAGGCTTTGAAGGTAGATTAAATGAAAAAATAATGCCGGTTGATAAGATCAATGACGTAGAATTTTTTCGATAGCTTGTGTATTCAATCGATCGGAGCTTGTCATCTTCAACTTGGCCTGTTCAAGATATAGAGCTATTACAGGCTTTTTATACATAGTATAGTGTGGATTTAGCAATAGTATTGATGAAACAAATTATCGTTTAGGTGACTGTTAAAATAATAATGAAGATAGGAGTACATGAAACGTTTTAAACAACGTTATTAATAAGATTGATGATAGTTAATTGAAGTTGATTATTAATATGATCATTTTATTATCATTTATCTAGAGATTTTCATCATCGTTTTAAAATCACAATCAGATGTGATTAAAAAGTCGTTAGTAAGCTGTAATTTGAAGTGTCGACTTCATTATGTACAAATTTCGGATGAAGAAGAAGTCATCGGTACTGCAGAGTCGCTAAGAAAAATCAGAGATAAAGTCAAGGTAATTGATAAGGGTATACCTACAGTATAACGCTTTGGACGATAAATGGACTGGATGTATATCGTACCGTTGTTGTTTGATTCTGTCAGTAGTTTGTTATACAGCAGGAGATCATTACTATGCATTCTAATAAAGTGTAAAATGATGACTCCTACTTTTAGTATAGAATCGACTTTGTGTTCTATTGACGAAAAGATGTTTTATTGTGTGTACTGTACTTATGGCTCTTTGCAATGAAGTTATAGAAAGTGGATGATATTCTGATATGATGATAGTTATTGTTATCATCCTAAACTATAGAGTTGTCATACTTTATGTACGTGTATGTTTGCATAACATTTGGTTGCACAATAGTATCTAGTTTTGTCTTTCCCTTAATATGAGACATTTCAATATCTCAAGTTATTACTGTATTACACTTTGCTTAGCCTTACCAACTGTACAGTAGATGTGAATGCAATACAAAATTTTTTTACTGTATGATCTACTAGAAATCAATGACTTCTTATGTCTTGGTTTACCAATTCGTGAATAGGGTAGAAAAAAAGATTTTTACTATATTGCTTACTGCAACTATAAGTAGAGATTTTCAATGAATAATCCAATTACTTTGAGTAACCGCTTTTTATCCTTCAATTTTAGAATGATTTGATGATTTTAAGTTGCGACCTAATTACGAATTTGGAATTGCATCGCCTTGCCAATATACATCGTATTCGTGATTCAGACTTAACGGCATTTATGTATACACGTGATGACAGCTCAAATGAAGCTGAAGGAAAGAATAAGAAAAAGAAGAAGAAAGAGGCTACAAGTAATTGTATATTATTGACCAAGGAGAATGTATTGTATTATATTAAGTTAATCTATCATAGTAGGTTAGGTTGGTAGTGACTGATTTAACGCAAATACACATAATTAATATATCTTTAGGCCAGTGCGACTTTGTTGGCGTTAGTGAAAAAGATTCAAGATTAGTATTTTTGTCCACTGCAGTCGACGTGCATAAAGATTTAGCCATTAAAAGAAATCTATTTATGAAGTAATAAACGATTGCAATTATTCAGTATCAGATAAGCATTGATATCTTGATGTCAGGATACGTAGCCTTTGCGATTTTTTCGTGATATTTATTGATATTTATTTTATTTGCAACTAGATATCCAAGGGTTCTTCTTCGTACTGACTTAATTGATGCTCATTTATACCTTGTCAAAAAATGGATTTTAGATTTCTTGATCGAAAACAAGTAACTATTTTGGGAATATGGTTTCAATGGAATTATCATGTTTCACCATTTACTAAGTTACTGTAATATTTGCAATTGCCTACTAGATCTTATAATAGTTTTAAAGGCGAAGTTTTACCTCACTTAGTATATAAGCTGGATGCCCGTCCTGAGGTAGCTTCAGTAGATACTGAACAGGGGAAAGAAGATAATACAAGGAATAACTTAGGTAATGTCTACTTATAATAGCGAACTAATAATATAAAATGTAAAAAGAGGAATTAGATCAACAAGGTCATGTCATAAGTACCTCTTCTTTTTCAATCATTGGCAACATAATGTTGTAATATAGGCGCTCAAATATCTCAGTATTTTTTACTGCACTATACATATTCTGCTTAGGAACGACATCGAAATCCGAAATTGAATTAGAACAATTAGCTCTAAGTTTATCAACATGCTATCGTGGTGAGAATATCGAAGAAGGCTATGAAGCATCAAAGTGCTATACATACATCAGCGATAAAAATAACTGTATTAGAGTAAATTCTGTTCAGTTATATATGGATGCAAATCGTCATGTAGGTCTTATTAGTTATAAATAGCGGAACTATTCCCTATACCGATTGAATAATATTACGAGTCTATACGAAACAATAGTGCTATCTAATAGGACATCGTTGATACTATTAGGCATTGCGGTGGATATCGTCGTTTCTTCCAGAAGCTACCGATACTAAGTCAGTTCATTTTTCTGCCAATACGTCGCAAAGAGCTAGAGGGAATATATCAGAAGTTGGGGACGCTAAAACTGGTTACACCACAGGTACTTCTACTTCAAAAACGAGAGGAAGTAACACATCCGAAACTGGTGAAAGTAAAGCAGCTTATCAATCTGGTCCTAGTGCTCCTACATCGAAATCTGGAACCAATAATGCTATAGTTGAAAGTGCTGATGCTAAAACAAATACAGCAGTTGAGAGAAAAGTCGGGGTAGGACAAAATTAAATCTCCTAAGGCTTTATGTGCACAGATCCTGGTAACGGAATATCTTACGTACAAATTAGGTTGATCAAGAATCAATTATCGGAGACGGTGTTACTATCGAAAATAAATGTGCTATTAAGAAATCGGTTATTGGTAATCACTGCAGGATTCTGGACAATGTTAAGATTCTAAATTCTGTCTTAATGGATCATGTAACTGTCGAAAGTGGGTAGGTGATGAACTTACGCGTACATATAGTATTAAATGAAGTACGCTTTGGAAATATTTAATATCGGCAACACATCATTATTCTCGTAACCAACCGTCATGAAATTTTCATTTCTAGTTGCGTTATTCAAAACAGCGTTGTATGCAGTCTCGCACATATTAAAGGCCGCTGTACTATAAAGGATTGCCAGATTGGGTATTCACATACAGTATCAGATGCAAGTAAGTCATATTTATATATCTCATTATACGAAAGCACTCGTATGCTATACCGATGTTAGCGACAATGGATGACTGTAATTTTTGTACACGTTAAGTTTACAATTTTTATTTATTTTTTATAGCTGAAGCAAACGGAGAATGTCTTGTATCTGCTGAAGGTGGAATGATGACGTTAGACAATGCTAACTAACAGTGTAACCATGCAATACTTATGGTGTTGCAAGTTGTAATTATCGGAAAGAAGAATAGATATGAATCATGTATTCAAGATGAGCAGGAACTGGAATAAGACTTCCGCACAGAGGTCGAAAATATGCATCAACAGTAAATTATTGCTGACTTCGGCCTCTGTAGACAAACTAACTGGCGCCTGGATAAATGTTGATTGACTAACAAAATTCGCTTATCAATTAAATCGATAACTTATCATTTCCTGACAGTAGAGCTATTCACATATTTGTTGATCAATAACATTATGGACTAGGCCTATCGAAGAACCTCTCCTACAAGGGCTGCTATGAAATAACTATAAATATTCTTTTATTCTCTAATAAAAGACCTTCATGTATTGTGAATTACTGTATTAAATATCAACTTTCTGAAAAAAGTATTAAACAACGAGTCTATTTTAGCCGTTCGTTGATTGAGTCAACTGTGCTTATAGTATACCCAATTATATACAGATACGGACTTGCAGCGTAAATATACTGAGGTTATTAGACTATCTTGTATGTAATAAGTTATTAGAGTAAGTCGTATGACTTGTAGGTTTCTTTTACTGTACTTTGCACTACAATATTCGGTGGATCTGGCCTTGAGTATGGTAAAATTGAGCTTAACTATGCTTTCTGAGGTTCCGATTCCTTTAGATATATATGCGTAATAAGTTGCCATACGCGTATAAATCAAAAAATCTAAATTATTTAGCGTAAAGCATGCTAACTTTATAAAGCATTTATAAAGGCTTTACGTTTATGTAAATACTGCGTAAGATAAAATACATGTAGTTCAAAAGTTTAAAAATTAGAAATAAGCATTAGTGGTTTATTCCGCGTAAACGTTATCTATCTATACTCAATAATTGCTAAGATTTTCTTTCCATAGCATATAACAGGTCTATAATTTAGCTATAATATTATATTTGGTGAAATAACGGCTTCGTAACCTGTATTTCTAAAGTAGAAATAAATTAACCACAGTAGATTGAGAATTTCTGGAATTAATCGCAATAGCAAGAGTACCTATCAAGTCGTGTTACATATTTCTAACAAAATTAAAATCGGTTATGGTATAAAAGATTTCCTAGTTACAATACTAAATTTTCAAATATAAGGCAGCAACGATTGCGACATGACATATTGAATAATAAAATCTATCAAACGATGCGTTAATAACCAATTTTTTTTAAACAAATATAATCCAGTCAGATGGCCAGATTCATACGCATATATTACATTTAATTAAAATTCCCAATTGTGATATTCAGTAAAACAAGAAACCGGTACGCTCCAGGATGGTAAATGTTTCTCAACTTTACGAATTTCCGAAGTTTTAGGGCCCGAAAAATGCGAAGCTATACCAAAATTCATAATTTTATCCGTCTTTTCGTAGTTTTTAATCTAAAAGATTTTAATAGTATTTTGATTATCAGGAAGCTATCGATTTTCATTGTACATTAGGAAAAGATCCCTTATTTACATTCAGTTCTATCCAAAAGTCCCATGACTGTGTAGGGTGGCCTTGTGTGTACCAAACAAAAGCTGTGTAGTGGTCTCCATTCCACAATGGCTTAGGCTTTCCATCTGTAAAAGACCATGCTACAATTTCCGTACCATTGGCAGGATCGATATACAGACGAAGTTGCGAAGGAGGATCTAAATAACGAATTGAAGGCCTTGAGTTATGGATTTATACACATAAACCAGTGCTAGAAGAGAATATTTCACTTTGAAACTCTATGTTATGTATACCATTCTTACTACGTACCTACGATGCTGAAATAAAATTTTTGTTTACGTCCACTGCTTGTCACATCTTTCTTAACCAGTTTCAGATCGATTTCTTTAGGAAAAGTTGGAGGAGAACCTTCCTTATACCATACGTGCCTACATATTACCAAAAATAAAATTCACGTAAGTTAATATAGCTGAATAAAGAACGATGATTAAAAAGCCATGATCTATGAACAGTTAGTGTTATATGGCAAGGAAGCAAGCGTACCCTGTTAAACTCCGAACAGGGTAAAAGGCAGGATAACCACAATTTGCGCCCTTACAGGTAGTTATAGTCGCATTTTTAAAGTAATTATCATGTTCGGATAAATATCTCAGTCCATTTGCATCCATAGGAACAAGTATAATGCCTGAGTCACTGTCCGTAACGACGCCGCTTCTATCATGAAACTTGCGATGGATATGCTAAGTATTAAGAGAATGGTTAGCCGCAAGATATTATGAATACGGTACACTAAACAATAATAAAAAATAAAAAACCTGATAAAGAAGTCTTTGAGCATGTGGATTTGGAGGTCCAGAATATGGAAATATGGCACCAGTAATGACTAGAAAAAAGCAGGTTAGGAAGGATATACCAAAAATAATGGCTGGCCATTTCAGACTTTTTGCTACGTAGACAACATTTACCTGTTAGAGTAGATTAATGATTGACGCAATGGTTGTTAAGAATTTCACAAATTAGCACTTACAATAAGAACAATGATAAGAACGTATCTGCTTGACTTCTCACTTACCACAGATGTTACTAGTAGAAGCGTGAAACTTCCAGTAATAACAGCTATTACTATTTCAGATGGAACAACTGATCCACAACGACCGAGGATAGGCATGAAGAAATCGAATACAGCCCATATCAAATAGGTATTTAATGTCATCGGTATTAATACAGACACTAACAGTACTATAAGGTAAGCTGTCTGGCTGTGATAGTAATTTCGTTTAAAGATACCATTCCAAATAAATTTATCTATAAGAAGAAAGGATGCTGGCCAAGTTAAGGATAAAAATGCAGAAGCTATCCCACTATTTGATAGAAATATAGTGACGAAGCTCCAAATTATTACATTTGCATCAGCTACGGCTTGCTGAAGTTGCCAAGATATAATCGGTTGGCCTTCTGAAGTACGTTTCTACAATAAAATGATTGTTTTATTTTATGTGATCTAACATCTGAAGCGAATAAAGATTACAGTCTATCTTAAAATAAAGTGAATATTACTTGGTTAGTGCAAACCTGACAGAATTTCATTTTGGCATAGTAGTGCACTGCTGCTGTAGTAAAGATAGTTGGTATAGCATACAATGGGAATATAACAACGCTATGGGTGTACCAAGATAATGGGCGACCATTTGACATAATAATGTAAGCTATAGCAGGGGCGGTTATGAAGCCAACAAGCCAAGACAATAGGTAGGCACCCATGCCGAATATTAAATGGTACAAGTTCAATTCATCAATCCCTAATACCAATTAGAAAAAAATTGATAGCTTAAATAAATGCAACTATGACAACATATCTGATCAACTAAATTCGTCAGAAGAATGGTTAATAATTAAGCAACCAGCAACAGTGCATTAAATCGTTGTGAAAACGTACCAACTGAGGTACGTCGACCTCCCAATCGAGGTAAATATCTTGCAATAATTATCGCTACAGCAATGACCGATATTGAATAGTTGAGAATATATCCTAAGCGTTCTGGGTAGAGCAGGGTAAAAATCCCAAGAACGTCGGTAAAAACAATCTTGCCATGACGACTATATCCAGGGTTAACTAGTTCATCAGTACAAACTAGGCCTCTCATAGCTCCTAATACATTCTCGCCAGTTCTCTGCATACAACCAGGCGGGATTGCTTTAGTGTCATCGTATCGTGTATGATAAACGTAACCATTGGTTACATATGCCAAATCCAATCCTATCGAGTTAAGTGAAGATAAAATACGGTATATTCCTCATATTGTTGTTATCACTCCTAATGTAGGTTTGTAAAATTTAGGTTATGGCAAATATGATATATATCATGCATTTTTATGAGGTCAATGAGTAACGATATGGTATACAAATACTGACACACGTAGTTAAAGACTGTTCCATATCCTCTATTTAAACGACGTGTTGGCTGAAATTATAAGGCACAATCAGAAACCAGGTGTAAAAGTTATATTGTCTATTGCAATAATAAACTACGATCTCGAATCTTATGCCTTCATTGGATTGTCATAGATGTCCACTTGAGCAAAATAATATATAAGGATATTCATACTGTAAGTAAAGGGAATACATCTTTCAGGCAGTAACATCGAACTAGTAAGTCTTATCATCAGTATGATATTGGTGATTTCCAAATATAAATGTCATTTTGTTAAATGGAGTATACTAGTCCATGTATAATTATTATAAACTGTATACTCGTAGAATATTCATAATTTCTACAGCAATGTATCATGATAATGGTGATAGTGACTAAGTTAATGGTTGCTAATGTATAATGTAGTAGGTTGTGTAACGCACAATGTATACGTTTGACAAAGGATTAATTTCAGGTATTACTGGTATAAATTTTAATGATAGTAAAAATTAAGTCTAGTACTCAATAATTACGTAGCGCAGAAATAGTAAGTATACTAAACACAAGACATACATACTTCAGTATACTCAGCAGTTATTCGATCTAAGTTCAAAAAGTTAGTCTAGCAACGACTGCGCTCGGATGCAAAGATTTATGCTGTCTGAGCATTCATTCTTTATTTCTTTATGGTTATGAAATATGACATTTAGATACCTTTAAGCGAAGACATAAAGTAATGGAAATTAATAGACTTTACAGTATCCGATAATCCATCATGAAGCTTAGCTATAGCGGCTATATACGAAACATCGCAACAAAATGGGCACACAGATTGTCAGGAGAGTAGGGCTACTTTGGCATGATACGTATTAACTTAATTTTATGTGCCATGATTGAACGATTCATAACTAGTAGTAATGTACTGTAATGTATTTCATTTTACCTGGAATTTTGCCGTAATCACGAAAAATGCGAAAGTCCGTATCAGCAGGTACAATAGCAGTTTCAAAGATTTCTTGACCAACCACTGAAGCAAACGGGTGCGGAGCATGCTTCATATAATTTCGGATTAACCAAGGATTTTCAGGACCGGTTTGGAATACTAGTTCTCTACCGCCAGCCCCAGCAGCATCTAAGTTAATAAAAGCTCGAAGTGTATCCTTCCATTTATGTTGTGTAATAAAACCATGGCTAGCAGGTAGAACACTTTCTTCAGCCCCATTGAAAAGAAAGACGACACTGTGTTGAAGCATCGGCCAACGTGATTCATCAGCATGTGCTAAGGCTCGAAGTAATTCCAACATTGTAGCACAACTAACTGCATCATCACTTGCACCAGGGCTGTCCACGACGGTATCAAAATGGCAGTTGACTAATAAAGCGTTGTCTTTACTGTGAGATCGCCTTGGACTTATACGTGCAACAATATTGGTAATATTAGCATAGCTATGAGTAAAACCACCTAAGAATTGCAAAAAGAAAGACCCACTGGGTCGTTGGACATCAATTTCAATTTCGGAATGAGGTTTAGCAGACATTTGTATCATTTTTAGCTCATTCATGATATAATTAAATGCAACAACTTCATTATTATATGTTCCAGCTAAACGTGGGCCAATAGCAACTAATTTTTCAAGATGTTTACGAGCTCTTCCTTCTGAATATGTTCCAACATCGTCCTCATTAGCACGCTTAGCTCGAGGTATGTAATAATAATTATAACTTACAAAGGCCAGGATTAAATAAACCAATGCTGCTATAGAAATAAGATGGCCTAAACCCAAAGCACCTGGTTGTCTCCTTTCCAATTGGCTTTTCTTATCATCTTCATCGATTGGACGATCAGATTTAGATGATCGATTTTGTTGTTCCTTAGAACGTAAGCGGACGCCAGCGTTCGCCATTACTGCTATGAAAAGTGCCTCCACCACCGCAGGCCTTAAGTACCTTGGTAACGGTACAGAGAGACGACAGCCCAGCCCCTAAACCTCACCCTAGCCCAGAAGACCCATTGGACCATCCAAGCTGTGATCGGCTCTGTTGAACAAGCTGCATACATATCCTATTGTCGCGCAGTACTATATGAGTAAGTAATCACGAGGACACCATGGGTCTTCTCTTACCCACCCCCACCTCCCTTTGTTTCGTAGCCCCACCCTGATGTCATATGATCAGCGGTGGAGAATGTCGAGAGAGACTCAACCACATGAGCTGTCACTGGTCTGGACAGTGTAACGTAGGAGACGGATGGACACTTGTACTGCAGTAACTATGGTTGCAATGATTGCTAAAAGCGCTGGATGCGAGCTGGATATTCCATCATCATCAGCAAGTTTTCTTGATGCTTTCCTGGTTCAATAGGGAAAATTCCACTGTTGAAAGCTATTTTTTTATACTCAATGAGACTCTATTGATTGCAAAGATGAACAACTATGATGATCGACCTTTATCCTATCACGAATTTATCAAATATATGCTCAATGGCCGCTTTTATGGTCGCAAGACTGATATTGGCAAACGCTTTTTAAATGTTTATCACTGTCCATCAACTTGTTTCGACCATGACAATATCAATTTCAATGTTTTATTCAATCCAGATATGGCTCATTTCGATCCAATGCAAACCAACCAATGCCAAGCTTCAAGTACAACTGACAATACCAATAGGCATAAAACGACTGTACCAAATAGGAAGCGAAATCAAAGCAATCTTGCTCAACGCCATGACGATTCAATCAAATCGAGCAAAGGTATAAAGAAGTTAGCTCAGAAACCACCATTAGCACATCATAGCTCGCAACCACAAGTTGTTAGCAGTTGCCAATATCCAAATGAGCTAAATAAGGACTGTTTGATGGAGGGCAAGGCTAAGTGTCAACGACCGAAAAAATTCCCAACCAGTCATGATAAGAAGCAATCCATTCACGTCGGCAAGGATGATCAAGCGGATGGATATCGGAAAGGGCCACGAGCACGTCATGACTCACCATCACTGGTTGGCAGGAACCATCCGAACCAGCTAAATGAAGACTGTTCTACTGAGGAGGATGCTGAGCATCAACTATCTAAAAAATTCATAACGAGTAATGATAACAACCAATCGACTGATGTCGGCCATGATGATCAAGCTGAAAGGTATCCATTTGACGTGGCAAATGATCACTTACGAAGTGAGATAAACCTATCTGTTAGCAAGCCTTTAAATCATAGTAGTAAGGATATTCACCAATCTACCTCTATGAGTAATCACTCTAATGACAATGATAAAGATAGCTCTTCAATTAAGAAAGAAGGTGGAAAATTGAATAATTTATCTGCTTTCAGAAAATGTCATCATGAAATGGATAGTGAGCAATGTGTATCCGATCAATGGACTATGTTTATCCATTTGCAAGGTTGGCAGCCATTAGTATCAGATATCGATTGGATAAGTGATCAGTACATGGCTTACGGTTTGCTTGCATTACTTTTTGGCCATGAAGAGAATGGGACATTGTATATAAATTCTGTAAAATTGATTGGATTTGTTTCTCTTGTCGATTTATCGGTTAAAGCAATACTAGCAAATCAAACTGAAGCGGAAAGCATGCCGCTAATCAATTTTCTCCAAGCTGAGGGTAAACAGTTACAAAATCAACCTGCAGCTTTCTCTGTTACCTCACCAGGTTTTGGTATTCATCTTCCTAATAATTTAAAACAAGCTATGCTAGAGTCATGCCAGACTGCAATGGCTCCATGCTGGTATTCAAAATTTGTCTACGTAGATGCTTTCAGTAAATTAGAGGACAGAACTCCGCTTATAGAAGTCTTTGATTTTTCAAGCGATCAGGCAAAAGTTGTCAATTTTCAATTGGAAACGCCTGTTTTACAGTAATATCAAGTTTGCGAGCGCTTTATAGATGAAATTAAACTAATCAGTCTAATTAATAATACTAACTTATTTTTGTACCATAGTCTTGTATATGTTATCAGAATGTTGATCTATTGCTACACACCTCAACGAGGTATAAAATTGAAGACAATCTACTAATAAAGTTTCTCAACCGTAAAAACAAGCTATAATAATGGAAAGAAATGAATTAAGCGCATAAATTGATGCATTTCAGCAGTAAAATCTTTATTGCTTTTAAAATTAGAGAAATACTATATATTACCAACAGATTATTACATGTACACTTGCGCTATGAAATAAGGCAAATAAAGTCAATACTGTATTATATTACTAACACAGAAACGTGGATAAATCATGATAAGAAGTATATACTGATCAGAGGATAAATTTGACGCTAATAGGTTAACGTAAAACACCACAAGGTGAAAACTGTTGCAAAGAGGAACTGTACAGTAAACTCATCAAAGAGAGGAGACAACGTTTATATACAATCAATTTAATATATGTCATCATGATTCTAAGCCATTCCTAGCGACTTTCTAAGCTTTTCTCTCGCATTAAAACAGATTCTTCAAATTTGATCATGTATGTCGTTCCCTTATGCCAGTGAACAGTAACATTGCAAGGCTGCATTCGTAATAGTTACATTTCCATATTGAAAAGGAAATGTTAAATAGACGCCATAAATTGAAAAATACAAAGTTTTAACTTACAAAATTGAGTCCATTTAGTACAGCTTCAATAATTCCACCACTAAAAGCCGCACAATTAAGACTGCCTAAAAATACACCATTATCATTACAATCTTCTAGACTATTAGTCCTAGCTGGCATATTTCTTATAATCCGTTCAAAGTAAATTGTAAATTTGCTATTTATTGTATTAATGTATGGTTTGCTTGTATAGAACTACAGAGAATATCTACTATGATACCTTTATCTTTAGGGACGAATATAAACTTATTAACCAAGGATTCATTTTCTATTATGTAATCTTATAAAACCAGTTCAGAAAATCAAGCTGTGTTGTCAATAGATCGATAGGATAAACAATATAATCATGCTGGCTGTCGAAGAATTATCGTATACTAATAGAGTGAGATGAATTATTGTCATTGCAGCCTATTACGGCAAATTATGATCAAAAGATACAAGTTTTTTCGTCATCATTCGATAGTTCTAATTTATCAGCTTCTCTTCCAAAACAGCTCTATAATTGAATGTAAAAAGAAGAAGTATACACGTACGTAAAATGTCTACTATAATAGTTTGTAAAGATTATCGATTGATTTGTCGTCTACCTTCCAAACCGTTGTCTTGACAAAGATTAAAGCTTGTAAAAGTCTGAGCTCTCTCTTAGAGCCTCGCTCTCTTAAATACAATGCATCCAAGATACGTGTACCAACATGATGGCCTAACGACGCTAATCTAATAAAGTACATTTAGTAAGTGATGCTATGCTGTATTACCTAAGACAAGATGATCAACCTAGTCTATTCTACTTACTTCTGTTGCAAATCTACAACACTAGAGGATCGATTTTGACAATATTGTACCAACTCGGAGAACAAGAAAGCAAAAGTGCTCAAGTTGATCTGCCATAATCAAACGAGATAAATGATCATGACATCCTATCCATTGGGAATAACTTCATCATTTTTACTACACCTGTTACACAAGGAAAATGCTATTTCGCTGGCTTACCTCTCCTCTCCCTTTGCTTAATGGTTTCTCCAGAATATTTGTTGATTTGCGCTGGATGCTTGCAGATTTCGACTCCATCTTGCTTTAATGGAAGGTCAAGTACTGAACAGTACAATGTAAACGTTAGCTAGGGAAATTGGCTTAGTACTGTACAGTACACTGTATATTGTTGGAAAATACACACGATTGTATAGGCTTTACTATAGGCTAAGAGCAGGAATTGATCCAGTGTGCCATTACAGTAGAAATCCTTTGGGAACCTATGGTTGTATAGTGTGCCAGTCATGACAACGAAGAGAAGAGTATAGTATGCCACGATGGACGCCGATCTGAAATCACACCATGTTACTACTGTACTTACTAGCCTGATATTACAGTACTTAGTACTGTACTCCTGCAGTCTTCTGGAGAGCTACCTGGCCCTTGCAGTTGCTGGAGCTACTTGGTAAAATCACGACTGCCTGTTGTTGTAGATCAGCATTGCATCATAATAATTCCCTCTAGGCAATCGTTATTCACAGTTTTGACCTTTCATCCTCTGGAATGGATCGGAAATATGTTCTACTGTATGTTACAAAACTGATGAGTAGATAGATGACGACTATGGCCATGGAATATCAACATAAACAAGTTCTTTTGGTTGGTTTAGCTTGCTTAGATATTATTACTGTTTGCGGTCATTTTCCAATCGAAGATGAGGATTTTCGAGCTGATGATCATTATTGGCAATGTGGAGGAAATGCATGTAATTCTGCAGTTGTTCTTCAACAGTTAGGTAGGTTACCCTAATCGAATGCGATAGTAGTATAGTACGATACTTTCTATCTCGTATGATTGTCAAGAAGATATTATCATTCTTTCTAGGAGATCAATGTAATCTGATGGCTTGCCTATCTGAAAATTGCCCACAATCCGATTATATCTTACAAAAATTAACGAATATTGGTATTAAATCTAATTGGTGTATTCGTCATATCGGTCATAAAACACCAATTTCTACGGTGTTAATCAATAAGAAAAATGGTTCACGAACAATTATGCACTATAGTTGGTTGCCGGAAATAACTCTAGACAATTTTCAAAACCGTGTTCAATTTGATAATCTAGATTGGATCCATTTCGAAGGTAGACGAAAGAATATGCTAGAAATTGGTCGAATGATGGATTATATTCGATTACGTTATAAAGACAGGATTAAAATCTCCGTTGAGTTAGAGAAAAAAGATGAAAATTCACTGCAGTTGATTCCTAAAGCTGATGTTATCTTTATTGGGAAAGATTTCGCTCAAGCTTTTGGTCATGATAACGCTACCGATTGCCTTCGTGCCTTCTATCCATTAGCTCAGTCACCGGCTATAATGATTTGTCCGTGGGGTGATTATGGTGCCGATGGTATAGGACCCCCTCAAAGCAATATAGTTCATGCTGATGCTCTCACACTTGATGTAGTAGTTGATACACTAGCAGCTGGTGATACTTTTCTCGCAGGTACTATACATTCTTTACGTAAAGGAGAATCCCTACTCAAATCGATATCCTACGGATGCAAACTAGCTGGTACTAAATGCAAGCAACGAGGTTTAATGTTTGAAAAGATTCCAACTGATCACTAAGTCAAGGCAGCAATGATACAGTAAACGAAACGTTAAGGGCTATTCTGATTTCAAGAACTAAAATTGTATTGTATATAATAATGTAATCGATTAGTACAGTAAGCCGCAAATTAACCTGTAGTGTAATACGTAATACTACTGCCTTGACTAAAAGTCATTACAAGCTACCTGACGATAACTTACGAGGATACTGTATTTTGGAGTCGACAATCAATAACACCATTTCAACAACTTACGATCTCTTTAATAGGTATAGATTCGCTAACAAAGATATGTTGTTGATTTTTAAGCGTTTGCTTATAATAATAAAAATATTGATATTTTATATTGCAATAAAGAATTTATAGTATATATTCACAGAAATATTTTCAATCAGTAGTAGCGATCGTGTAACAATTTGTTTTATACCTATCCGTTTATGGATACAGCCGTTAATAAATTTGCTACGATTAAAAATGCTTTAAAATTTGTAGTATCAACATCAATCAATCAATCAAATCAGTCAATCCATTGATACTACTTTGTCTAGCGGTATTCGTTATTAAAATATTGTCTAACAATCATTTTCAATAGTTCAATAAAATTTTTGATCGATTAAAATAGATTTCCGATTACAAATATTGTAGTCACATATAAAATTGCAATCTCTTTAAGAAGTTTATAAATCTATGTAGTAAGTAGTGCCCATTGGTCTATTCCCGTTAGGCGAAAGGAAAGAAATTATCAACCTTGAAATTACGACAATAGGTCAGCAAATTTGAAAGCTGAAATTTAAGCATAGTAATTTGCCTTACATTATTTTATCAGAAATAGTGTAAACTGTATGCTCATACAATAAAAAATGAAAATACAACAAAAATTTCATGTCACTGATACGCATTTACAATCGCAACTTCATATTGAAGTTTAAAGTAAAAGCCAATCCTTACTGATACATAAGGCAGCTAACGCACACAATTTAGTTTTACGGATAACTTATTACAGTACTTGATTTAGAGGTCATTTCCATATCTTGCATGATTGCAACGTTGCTCAACATTGAGTAACAGTCAAGTTAATTTTATCTTCAATTATCTGTGGCAATATATTAAGAGAGAAAAAATAAGGGAAACCTTCGATTTAACAAAAGTTATAAACTATTTAACTTCGATTTGAAACTTACCAATTTCAATTCTAAATCGATAAAGAGGCCTTGTATAAACTTTCTTGTCGATAAGCGATAGTGATACAACGTCATTAAGTTGATTACTTGACTATATAAACAGTTATCTTTGAACGCGGACTCAAAGTTTTCTTTCAAACTATTAAAAAGTAATAACGTAAATTTGTTATTAATCTATAGTTAGTGATATTTATCTTGTGCTATCGAAAGCTTACATCATTAGTCCTTGCTGATTAGCTTTTGAAGCAACAGCTCCACTCAGAGAGGTTACTAAACGAAGAATCTCTTTCCTAATCTGAGACCGTCCTGTAGTAGTACTATCATCTAATCTTTTTAAGCCTAACTTATTTGTCACAGCATCGTCGCTGAAGCTATCACTAGAACTACTAATATTGAAGCTATCTTTCTTTTGCTCTTGGTCAGAACCTAAAATTTTTAATATTAGAGATACGTATTTGTTTAAATAGCAAAAGACTTAAATTGATTAAACTAAGAAGGGAGTTTCAAACCTGATGTAACAGAAGCACTGGAGGTTACCGATAAATGCAAGTCATTAGAGTAATTAGCTCCAGCATCATCCTGAGATGAATCGGATTGATTAGTCATTTTTCTACCGGGTTGTTCGAAAACATCTGATTCTGAATAGTGACGTTTCTTCAAATTTGCAAATTTAACTCCAGTACACCCAAAGCACACATTGGGATCATGAACTTCTGGAAAACCATCATTAATATTTCCTTTAGATGATGTTACAGATCCAGATCGACGTGGCATTGATGAAGCTCGCTGCTTACGGTCACCAAAAACTGTGTCATAGGCAGCTGGATTAAATGATTTAGCCCAAGAACCATGGTAACCGTGATCTTTATACTTCATTAAAGAAATAAATTATTTTAAATTACATCATTGTTAAACACTGTAAGGGAAAATTACAAACGTATTAATAATAAACTCCAAAGAAAACTTTACTTGAAAAACGCGAATTAATTCGACTGGTAAAGACAGTCCAATAAAATCCACAGTACCAGAAGAAATTTTACTACTATCATCCGCTGTTAACTCTGCTGGTCGTCGAGAAGATTTCTTACCCGTTTCTTGCGCATCACTACAACGAAAAGTCGAAAACAGGACTATAACACTGTATGCAGAACCGTAATTAATTCTATAATTGAGCTACATTAGCATACGCACTTTAGTCCAAATTTAGTTGATAGTACCCCCAAAGAGCCAGAACTTGAAAGATGATGGCTATCTGTAGTAGATCCAGCTAACATACTACGCCGTCGAAGATCTGTTAATGCTTTATAACCTTGGGCATCCTTAATTGATACTGTTCGCTTAGTATTTTCAATTCGCATTGATCTACGAATAACATCTTGCTTATTTTCAGTATCGAATAAATTGGTGGCGCTCTGACTTTGATTTAATGTAGGAGTTAACATAGCAGCACTGTGACGGGATCTACGTTGCAACCCAGAAATTGTGGACTTCCTCGGCCTGATTGGACCTTCGGGTAGTTCCAGATTACCTCCAGTTGCGTCTTTATCACTTTGCATACCTTCTTCTACAGAGTTACTGCGACTTTCTTGCCTGTCAGCAGCAGTATCGCCATCGACAACATAATCAGTTATATCACTAGTAACGGACACATCATCATCATCGAAAGATTCGCCTCTGGTACCAAAAGTGCGGATAACTAGTGAAGGCAACGTACTAATTCCAATCCCTCTCATTTTTAAAGTCTCCTTTACGTTATCTGATGCAGTAATTGAACGGCCTCTCAAAAGATCTGTTGATACACTGACAGGATCTGAAACTACGTAGTCGTATTCGTCAAGCACTGGCCATTGAACATTTCCTCCATGACGAACGCTTTCCCATCCAAGACTGGAAAGAAAGTTTGCTCCAGAGCGGGTTTTAGCAATCAAACCGAGTACATAAAAGCTTGTTCTACATAAATGTGTATACAATTATATGAATACATATATTGACAGTGAACTTAATTTCTCCTTTCAATGAAAAGACACTAATAGTAAAAGCTAGCGTTTACTTACCCACGAATTGAGAAAACCTCGCATTCCTCAGCCAATCTTACTATGTCCGGAATTATTCCAATTTTCATTAAAATTGCTAAACCCAAGACTGATGATCCTATATGCCCCTATATTAAAATCATTAAGGAAATAGATTAAAAGTCATAGCCTCAATATTGCTAAAAGTACAAAAGCAAATTAGATTAAATTTATCAATCGAATCTAGAAACTCACTAGAGCCCAAAGGGCAGCTTTTGTTTGCAAAATTTCTAACGAAGAGTTAAATCTTCGACTCCAAACAGTTCTTGAATACATTTGCGCATAATCCTACAGCAAAACATTTTGATAATGTCAATATAAAAAAAACTAATGCTTGGATTTCTTAACAACGCTTACTCCATCAATAATTAATTTGCAACCGTTCTTAAGTTGTGCTAATTCTCCAAATACATGCACTGGCACAAAAGCTTTTAAGGGATCTTTCCTATTAAGAATTAAATATAAATAAAATCAATTTCACGAATATGTATACAAAATTTACTTCACACTTTGCAATCAAAAATCACGTACGGTTTGGTTTGCCTTCTAACGTAGATACCGATCTCTGAATCTTTCTCAAACGTTGTTAAGGCCTCAGCAAGTGATCTCTCCACGAGTTTTACATATTCAAGGTTCGAATGCTATTAAGAATGTTGACGACAATCATTAAAACGAAGCCAAAATACTGAATTGTTACTTAAATAGACATTTAATACCTGAATCCATTCTTCTATTGCCTTGGTCAAGAAACCCATGTTTTGAAGATAAGTAAATCCACTCTCAATTGAACAAAACCTTTAACAAATAAAATTAACCAGCTTTCTTAAAACCAAATTTAATTATAAAGCGTTAGATAAGCTATTCCGTTTACCTTAGCATTAGGCAATAACCACTATGTCCTAAACATAATAATGCTGGTTGTAGTTTTACGATAGATTCCAAGCAAGTCTATAATTGAATGAAATATCGACATTATTAACAACAAATTTTTTGTAAATACTGACCTGCATGTAAACCAACCCGTGCAATTACAGAATTCAACTATCGATGATACTATTACTAAAGCTGGCATCGATTTATAACCAGTCTGCTTACCTTATCTTCACAAGCTTCCGTTGTAATTTCTAAAGCGCAAGCAGCAATCTCTTCGTTTGTGTCATATAGCTATCGGAAAATATATCGGATAACTTTATGATGAAAATACAGTACTACTACAGCTGTATTTAATCATAAAATACCTAACAGTTCGATAATATTATACCAACCTGAGTAACTAATAACTCTAATCCCCATTTGCTAAAATTAGAAACGCCAGCTCTAAGTAATGCTCTTAGGTACTTTGTGCCATACATTCGGATGTGCTATTATGATAATAGAATATAACTTAATTTGTCTTATATTCTCATACTTTGATTCCTAACTAGTACAATTATGACGCATGCTTTTAAAAATCTTACGACAATGCGATCATAACATCAAATGTGTAGCAGCTACAAGTGACTACAACAAATTAATCACTTCTAAATTTGAATACATGATGTTAACTACCTCATCGTTAGCTGTAAGCGCTTTAGACAGCACCACTCGTGAAGGACCAGGGATATTATAATCTAAACCGGATAATAGTAGTTTGACATGTTCTGGATGACTTTTACTTGAACATAGGCTGATAAAACTAGAAATTGCAATTATACAAATCAACATGTTGCGTAGACGCACATTCCCATCCAATTGCAGTTCAATCAAGATCTACTGTGTCTTACCTGTCAAACGCTCCAGTCTTTTCTAAAATTTGAATCCCGGTAGCAGAACTAGAAACCTCACCAATAAGTAAGAAATAATACTGACTCAGAGTTTCTGTAAGTCGTTCTGATAAGAATGTATTGTATGTTCCTTGACCAGCGGGGGATATTACCTAAACAATTATAGAAATATAGGATTAAGAAGAGAAGAACTATAAAATTTTTGATGCAATTATTTATATGAACGTTGCAATAGTGTTGCTCATTCCTTACACTTACTTCATTGAGAGCATTAACTATTTCTTGAATTAACTCTTGCAATAACTTTAATGCGTCGGCCTAAGTTAAAAAAAGAGTTAATTCTTACTCATAATTATTATAAATTTTTCTAAATCGCTGTTATCACGATTTTATCATACACGAAGAAAGAAGTAGCGTCAGATAATGTTACCTCATTGGAACTAAGTAAGAACTTTACTAAAAGGCATCCGACTTGCGTATAGAGCTGGGCCTGTTCAGAAGTTAAACCAATTTCAGCAAACTGCTGCTTACTCGGAAGATAAAACGACATCAAACGACGAAGGAATCTAAGGAAAAAAATGTAAACTTGTAAGTTCTATCGCATACAGTACATGACATAATTGAAAGTTGTAGCATTACAAATTATTTGATTGCGCTTAGCACGTAGTAATCTTTATGTACATAAATAAGGAAGATGCATCATGATGTACAGAATTTGAACTTACTTAGTATTGGAAGTATCTTCCAAATTCTTGTAGGACACTTTCGTTGACTAGTGAATGAATATGGTAGTAGTTAAAAAGAAGTAAATACAAAATCTATATACAAGTACTTTCCAAATATAGTAATTCTAGGTACTGTAGCATTGACAATACCTGTAGTAGTCCTCTAATAGTCTCCCAATCCCATAGTGTAATAATTTTCGAACTAAGTATCTAAATTAAGTTGATGAAAACATTGCAGCATTGAAAGCTATCGCTGTAAAATGTAAAATTATCTATTGCTTTATTGTAATCAAAATAACACTAAATAATAACCTTTGAATCTTTAACAACTTGATTGATAGCATCGTCAATATCCTGTAGATATCAAATACAGTATTACGAAGAGACAACTATATCCGTTAATTTTTAACGGATAATAGTGATACCAATGTTATCGTACCTTACTATTCGAGCTAATACCAATGGCATCTTTCCCTAGAGTATACTGTTGCTGGTAGTGTTCATAGTTACACTATATAAATATGCATACAAACAAAATGTATAACAATTCACCTTATTACAAAGTTGTTATAAGGTTTTATTTGATAAAATAGATTAATTTAATTAATGAATCGGTGTTTACAGGAACAGATCAATTACCTGTCGAAGTAAAAGAGCCAAATATTCGTTAAAACAAGTAACTTTCCTTTTTTTCAATTGATGTAAAGTATCGAGGCATCGGATAGCAGCATATGCACGGCTGTAGATATGGTAGCGTAAGCGTACATTACAGTTATCGTATCAATTCTTAATTACGTATCTATCAATTATCAATCAATGTCTTTCGTAACACCAATTACCTTCGTTGACTTGGCGATGAGTCCAGAGATGTGGTAAGCGCAATAAGTTGTGGAAGAGAATGAGAATTACTTCCGCACGCAACAGGTATAATTGTATTAGCCTACAGTAATTAATTACACACATATTGACAAATAAATATGATATAGTGATATTAAATATAGCTATATCCATTGCGTAATTGATAACCTATAAGATATTAATTTCAGCTATAGTATTTACATCCTTACCATATGCAAAAGTTCACCCAAAAGAATAGTGGCTCGTACAGCTATGAATTCATCCTCCGATGTAACGACATCAACTAAGCTCTACAAAATGGTTACAAGCAGTAATTAATTAACGTAATTCCCATTACATAATATTCCAAAAGCAGTTACCTCAAATAATCCGGACATTGAAAAAGCTGATAATACAACAGCTAAGTAGTTATCAACTAAATTCATCCTTAAAAATTTATTTGAATGGGTAAAATGTTAATAATATTACAATATACAGAAATTCAAAGAGATAGATATGTTACTTATGACAGAACTAACCTGGTAGTCTTAGGGGGTAGCAACTGAAGAGCTTCCTCAGCAACCCAGCCTTCACTTAATTTCCAACCATCTTGGATATATGTGCAAGCTTTTAACAGCAAAAGATTTGGCGATTAGGTTTAAAGTACAAAGACTAATTTCAAGTTGTATAATGCTTACTTGCATTACGTAAGGCATCAGAAAAATTATTTGTCCATTCAGGTACTCTAAGTCGAAAGACATCGTATAAAATATCCATCGTAGCTTTCTGTATACGGTTAGGTAAGAAAATAGAATAATTTTAATAAATTCGGTGCAAATTATTATACTAAATTAACAACCAGCAAAGCCTTTGTTTTAATACACAATGTTTTACCCTAATTTCACTATTTGGCAGGCAAAAGGCTCCTAAAAGTGATCTAAATCCACTCCCATCGGCCTTGCACATGCAAATAATGCCTAAAACATACATTATCTCATGAATAAATAAACACGAGGGATAATTCTGTTATTTAAGAGATCTCACCTTCCCACGTTTTAAATATCGTGGTTATTGCTAATTTACTAGTTGTCAATCTAAATTGATGATCATCTCTATAAAGGAAATTATAAATTTATTCGTTTCATAACATAAATATCGCTTTATGATAGAACGTATATCTGAAAATCTACTTACTTTAGCTCAAAATCAGGGATATCTGCACTATATCGATATTGCAAATCAGTAAAAGGAGCAACAATAGCCTAAAGATAGCAATAAAATAAAATATTCACAATACCATAGTTAATAATTATAACTGTAGATGGGAATAAATCCGCCGCATTCAATTCCGCGACAATACGCGTACTACTTCTTTTTTAATTCACCTCTAAGTCTAATTGCGGCCGCATGTACTTTCGAGTCATGGGATGATCGAATAAGTAAAGAATGGTCATCATCATTGCTTCATTAATACGATGCATCTATTAATCGTAAGTTACAAAATCTTTAATACCTGATAAACTTAAAATTGAAATAAATAAATGATAAATGTGTATACTTGACAATCTAAAATGTTTCTAATTATTGTATTGATTCCACCAACTAGTGCAACAATTTCAGCGTTAGATACAGCTAGAAAATATATTGGAATAACAAAGAAAAAGTTACCACATTTTTTATTTTATCGAGTACGAGAATCTCAAATCACAGTGTTGGTATTTGTACCTAGTTCACATAAAGTAGCTAAACACGCATACGAAAATCGATCACGGGTTTGGCTATATTCATCGTCACCAATGGCAACTAGACACGATACTAATGATCTTGGAAATAAATCAGGACATATTCGAATAATCTAAACGCACAATTTAAAATGTAAGCCGAAAAGTGAGATAGAGTATACAGAACAATTTACAAAATTAAATTTAAATAAAATTATCTTGTGCATCACTAGTCAAATATAATTAATAGGAGCAATAAGTCCTCATAAATTAGTTACTTGATATCAACCTAAAATATACTCTGTTGTTTTCAAGTATAATTATTTTTACTGTAAGGTTAGTAATTGGTTGATGAAGGTCAATATTTTTTCAGCATACTAAAAAGATCTTCCACAATCAATATTCTTTAAATAACAATAGTAAACGGTTGGAAAAGAAAGGACGACTTGATATTGTCATCATCAATTTTTATTTCAACATTTCAGAAGCGTTGGCAAAAATACCTTTCTTAAAAATCGCAGAACTTGAACGCGTTCTATTTCGTTGGGATAAGGGGAATCTAAAGCTCTAGATTCATCAAATACAATAGTTAAAGACATTGCACTTATTGAAACGAAAAACTTACAGTAATTATCTTATTACTTTATGTATTTAGGATAAAATACTTATTGCTAACATACCTAATCAAAAATAGATCGATATGTAGCTTATAAAAGACGATAAATGCATCGCGATCTTTAAAAAGGTAGCGTAGAGCGCGAATAGTTGCAGCACGGACTTCTTTAACGGAACTAAGTAGGGCTTTCCTACCACTAAAAAATATATTACAGTTTATTTTGTCCATTATCTCATTACCTATACACTCATAGCAATAAAATCAGATAATTTTAACTAGTTAATTCGCTATCAACTCTTTTAATTTATTCAACCGCATATTATTACAACGCACAGAAACATACAAATTTAATATTTAATGGAAATTGTGCAACATTGCGAAGCATCAACATTATTACTACGATTATTACTAGCATCTTTTTTACTTATTTAGAAGGTACATAACACTATACTGTGTATTACGATCATAACGCACGACACTTACCATCGAACAATTTCTTCAAGTGAAAATCCTAAGAATACGTCATCATCGTTGGATCGAATTAGCTAGTGTAAGAAATTATACAAGTTATCATTCACGCATGGCTTCGATTAACAATTATAGTTTATACGGCACAAGCTTTAACTTAAACAGAATTGCTGGCAATATTTTTTAAGCACTGCATAATATGCTATATACAGTATGAAAAATATCGAACTCGATGAACATCAATAACGTTATGATTCATCATAGCATGTATTTCGAAAAGTAAAGCATAAAATCTTCGTCTGGTATTTACAAAAAGCAACAGCTGTACCGTTGCATTCTTTACTCCACTAAGCGAATTTGTTAAATCTTTGCATATGATATTACGCCAAATACTGGATAATATCAGGAAATGAATGTTAGAATTATCAATTACGGCAAGTTAGCTAACAGATATTGTATCTTATTACAGATCCATTTGTATTTATTCTTACATTAACATACCTTGACAAGATTATTTAAATTAAGGACTTGCTTTCTAGCGGCATTTTTATCCAGCGAATTAAGAATACTGTACAGGATATCATAAACGATGTCGGGTGCACCTTTCAGTAAAAAATTGCAAATTACATTTAGCTAGAATCAACTACCTGTAACTTTAACTTTAATGACCCTAAGATAAAATTTCAATAGCAGCTATATCGAATATACCCTTCAGCAATCAGTAATTATCACTTTAATTTGCATTGTGACCCTTCTAACGTGTAATTTTAATCGTGCTTGACATAATAATTACTCAAAAGCTATTTAAGCCGAAACGAAACTTCCGCAATTCAATCTTGGGAATCAAAAATGGATGAAATCCTTTTGTTGGCCTTATCCCCCCCCCCCTCACTTAAAAAAATCTATTGGACGTGCAACAAACGTGTGTTTACAATGTATGCGATAAGCAATGTACTAGTGTTAATTTTCAAAGTTTGATAAGGCACAGCATGCGAGTGGAAGAATTTACTGCATTGAAAATAGTAGTATAAATTGTCTTTTTCCTTGTAATGTCAAATTCATGGAAATTCGCTCTTACTGATAAAGTTGATAAAACTATTTACTCAATAACCGATTGATAACAGCAATAACGGACACGATGTAATAATTTCTATCCGACGATAGAAGCCGTGGAAATTTTCAGTATTCTATTTTAATTTATGCATGTCAACACCAAGGACTTCTAACAGAATTTTCCGTAGAAGTTCCAGATTAATAATAATAATCAATACGCTTCTAGCACGCTTTCGTAAAAACGAGTCATAATCTATTCCGACACATATCAAGATTGATTAAAATTAGCAATTGTGTCCATAAATAATTTATATACCCTCTAAGGTTATGGGAAAGTAGTTATTGAGTAAGTACGTATGCGTTATACTAAAGCATTTCGCATTTTTATCATCATTATGTTTTACGAGTATATCGATGTAGTGCTCCATTCAATCTATCATCGATAGTAATTACAGAATAAGAAAATCGAAAGAAAGATAACCATTAAGCCGGCTTGACTACATTGGTGATAGCTATTTATTGAAATAGTACTATGCAACCTATTTTTCTTACGCTATAGTGTCCACCGTATAAACTTAAAAATATAAAGATGAAAAAATGAAAGCTGTCAATGACGCTAATAGAGGAATCAGATAATTAATTAAAAGTAAAAGAAAGATACATGATCAATTATGGACACAGTATCGATTTGATTCATACGTAAATTATGCGATTACAATAACAGGAGAGATGGAAACGAAAGTAAACGAAATTCGATAACAGAGAAATAGATTATCAAGCAATGTGTTTAGTCACCGAGACATTGTCACAATGCCTAGCAATATCTTTGATTGTAGAGTATCCTAGCAACTTTTAAAGCAGGACAAGATTTGAATTTAACATCTACTAGAAGTAAACTCAAGACAATCTAAATGTTTGTACTGTAAGTGTTTACAGGAAAGTAATGCAATCTTTAGCGTGGTACAGTACATTGTAATTGAGCAGTAATAATATCCAACCTATCATGTTATTAATTTCTAATCATTTACATTGCATCTGTATTGATGTCCAATAGAGAAATTTATCACCTAGCCATAACACAGGAATGAAATGGATGTTCGACTATTTTGGGACAGATATACGTAGATAGTATAAAACAAATTTATAGCTGCAGTTACATACTAGAAATGAACAAATACATAAGATTGGATATGGTAAGACGGAAGACACAGCATAGGCGGTAATTTGTCTAAACTACTTTATAACCACTTTATAATCTTCTTAAATCGTGTAAAGTATACAATAATTTTAAACAACAGTAGGTGATGAAAATGGATATGATTGGTCATGTTAATAAGCATGTTCTGTTGGTCTAGCAGTAGTGTTTTAACTTTAGTCACCAAACTACTGTAATATAGCAGAGTAAGCACACTAATGGGAGCATAATGTTGTTTTTTTTCTTAAGAACTATGCGGATATTTACTGTGCGCGTTAGGTCGTACACTCTATTACATCAATTTTGTAGTTAGCCGTTAATTTTTTTAAGCTGGGCTATCCTTCAAATTTGTTACGTGATTAAACTAATTAATACTTTGTATAATAATATTATTGTTGTTATTTTAATGTTATGACTCACGAGCCGTCGACACTTATCCAGAATGGAAGCCGTGAATATCATTTCCGGACCAGTCTTATAGACTGCGTACTGCCTTAACTGTTTTTAGTTGACAAATCTCTAATAAATAAATAAATTAATTCAACTAATTTGTAATTATACTGCTACTATATCAGATCATATCATGCAGTCAGATTCACCCTAAGTCAGATATGAGCAGTCTTGAATCTAATACTGTAAATTAAAATCAATAGGGATCAATCAAAACGATAAATAAAAAAAAATTAGAGGGACAGTAATATATGCGTAAGGATGCATGTTATTAAACTACCTAGGCCAGATGATTTTATGTAGTCCATAAAATATTGTGCTAATAAATCCAATTGCAAATAATATGTATACAAAATATAAGCTTGACTAAAGTTGAATCGGGGAGGAGAAAATGGAATAAACCAACATAAACATATGATGACTTGCACTTTATATTACATTACTTTACTGTGGACTACTATTAAAATCCTCCAGTATTTGGCAGTCCAAGCTTTGCCATATTGATTAGGTACCGTTGCAGCCTACTACTATTGGAGGTGTCAATCGCTAAATGTCAGAATTTAAAGAGGAGGGCAAAGGTAATATCGAGAAAAATTTTCCCCCCAAAATCATGATAATTATTATTATTAAAATAATAAGAGTAAGAATTTATGAATACTGAAATTCTTTACGCATCAATCTATCCATCGATAGTATCATGAGAATACTGTAGCGACTACTGTGCACTATGAATATAATTTAAGATAATTATCAGAAAAAGTACGAATGCCAGCACCAGTTCAATCGTTTCCTATGATTAACTATCGTTGACATCAAAAAGAGAAAGCAAAAGAATTACAGTAATATGGATTGAAAATATTAATTAATCAACTTTCTCTGAGCCACAGATGTAAGTGCAGTATATTATAAGCGTATTTAGATAGGGAAATTGTGAATATTTAACCTTAATTAGTAAATCGATCAGTCAGTCTACCGCATCATAGTATTTTGAAGCAACACATGGACACCGTTATTACCCATATACTCGTACGTATGATTTGTGTATTATATATAAACTAAACTAAATTGATAGGCTACTACAAGCAAGCTAAAGTTAAAAATATGGCTTTTCCTAATAACATAATTAAAGATTAGATAAAAAGCGGCATTGTTATCAAAGAGAATTAGGCAGCTTGCTGACTGATTGCCTACCATTCGATAGCATGTTGCACAGTATATTTTGATGATGTAAAAAAAAAAACAATATTAGTGGGTTACAACAAGGAAAAGACCAGAAACTACAGTAGTTAATAAAACCCATTAATCAACATGAGTGAAATTGATAGTCCTAAATCCTAATTAGAACTAGTGCATTGGCAAAGGAAAATTGGTGAATGATCACGTTCAAGTAGTTAGTGAGCGAGATAGGAATTTCATGAGTGATAAGTTCAACGTGACTGATTATGTAGAGTAATAATTATATAAACAGCGTTTGCAAAAAGGATGAACGCTAGTGGAATGAGTGAGAGAGAAAATCAATTCCACTACAACATTGATCTTATTAACAGAAAATTTCAACAACCAATTTGATCATTGTACTGTAGAGGAAAGATAACATCATTATTTCGATAAGAGTCGGGTCCATCTTGAAATGATAGAATTAACTTTGGCATAGCTAGACTATTTTTGTCAAACAATATATCTCTAATGCTATATCATGTACTTGTGTCGTTTAGCGTTGTTTTTGAATAGCCTTGGTATTGGATCAAAGTCAAAAGGAATGAAGAAACCAATTCTGGTCAAGGTCAATATCGTGTTCGAATAGTATAAGGTGACGAAGTGAAGACTAGGACTACGAGAATTCTCGCATACCCGTATACTGTACAAATGAGCATTGAAAAGAAATTTTTCTACTGTAGTTCTATTTCAATGCGCTAAATGACATTAAGATGCATTTTAAACTTGTGTAACAATATCAAAGCGTGAAAGCGTTTCGAGAGAATTTTTAGCTGTATCTAAATATAATCAAGGTACATAATATTGTCATGTCCTTATCAAGATGAATTTTACACCCATTATTTTCGTATTCGATGACAGTGTGATAAGGGAATCTAAAGTTTGGAAAAGAATTTCTAACTTCGATCCCATTATAATAAATGAAATTAGCTCATTTTTTAAAATGGGTTTGGAGACTACTTATTTGATTCAAGGATGAACGATAGGAAAAAGGAATCAAAGTAGCAGCTGAACAACTATGCTATCATGATGGCTATGCAGTAGACATTATAATTATTAATATATACTGTCCGACGAAGGTAATGACTCGATACTGTATTGTGTTACGATCAGCAAAAGAAGTTGGGTCATGATGGTCTTTAGTCGTATAAAAATAATGTTGAGCACTGTTATAACATCATCGATTATCGCGATTTATTAGAATTGTAAAGTAGTTGTCAATTTATTGCAAAACCAAAAAGAAAAAAAAGACATGAATGCAACTGCGTCTACAGCATGTAAGATTGATCGAGTCCCATCATTTCCATGAGATGAAGAAAGGACGAATTTCAGTATTTGTTTAATCAACCCGGACAAGCTATACTCCGTTTTTCATATAAGCAAAGAGAATTATTGTATCTAAATACGTATTCAGTCTATCCCCTATCACTTAGGATAACGGATAGTCGTTGAGTAGAAGTATGTGTGGCCTTTATTAAGACTAACTGGCTTGGATGACGTTGAAGCATGAAAATATCCAATTCTTCAAACATTATACATGCTTGTACAAATACAAGCACACATTGTACAGTCGTCTAGCAATGTTGTCCAAACTGGCTGCAATGTTCTTTTCACAACAGTCATTAGGAAGCATCAACATCTCCCTTCTAGGGTCTTATTTTCTTCACTGACAATCATCAAGAAATGTATTTATTTCTTCATTCCTACTGGATGCACACTATCATCACTATCGGCATAGAATATAGTCCAATTGATTTCACTGACAGTAGATACTGTGTTGTATTAAGGACGTTTTTCTCTCATGACTTAGCTTACCTCGATCCCAATCGAATTCTTCGTCAATTGCATCGTCGTCATCTATGAATTCAAGATGATAATTAATTCCATTAACGCTTTATTACTTCAATGACTTGAAATAGAAGTGAAATGAAACATTTTTAAAGCATTTTGAGTCCAAAAATTGTATAATAGTTAGCAATGAAATAGGGTAGCCATCCAGTGGATGATGTCTAACATGACTGAAAGTAATTTTCGCTCTCGTCAATCTCCATGTATGAATTGACGGTAGAGGACAGGGACGTTGATTACCGGTAGAAAGGACAATCTAAAAAGGTCCCATGAATACTTTGTCAACAGAATTATTACTTACCAAATTCGGTTCGACTATAAGCTCGGTAAGAATTGCGATGTAATAAAGAAGAACGATTACGATGCGACGCCATGTTGGAGTGGAAAAATTGAGCTTAGAAATGGATTGCGCTTGTCGTTGTCACCTCAATGTGGTTGACAGAGCGTGTGACGTAGCTTGTAGGCTGACATGCCCCTCTTTGGTTGACGCCGGTAGGTTATTGTCCAAAGTTGGACATGATGACAAGCTGATACGACATCACTTTATTCTTCCGTTGATAATGATTATCTATGGTTGATGGGCTAATGACCAGAGCACTCGATAGACATTGTCACTGTCCTGCGTCCGGACTTCTGACTCCTGACTACAGACTGGCCGCAGTGGCAGTGCGCAGGTGTACCTTGTCTAGTAGTCCATACTACACTAGCCAACACTACTGCACACCCATCCAAGGCTTGCTTTAACCGCTACTTTGATTAGTAATAGTATACAACATATTCCACAGTCAATAGAAGAAAATACAGCAGCTTACATGAGCCATGGACTTGTAGAAATAGATACAGTACTCATCTATTTGGAAAATTCTATGATTACTGTACAGTACTGTCAGCAACTACTAAAAAAGAAACAAACAAGACTGCCAACGGTTGTTGACTGTACTAATAGTGTGTAGGCTGATTATTTTAATGCCCGTTTCAAGTGAATCGTATGTATGTTACGGCACACTATACTTTGCGCGATGGCTATCCAACCCCACCCAATTCCCAGCTAGGTTGGTTTTGTGCAGTATGGTGTACGGTTTCATTCATACCGTATACTAAAATGACTGGAAAAATGATCAGCCTCCGCATTATTTTTGCACTGACGGCTGTTGGTAGTCCGTCCCTTTCCTTTCTTATTGACAGTAGGAGTCTTACTGTACCGCACCGAACCGAACCGCACCGGACCGAATCGAACCGTACCGCTTCCTATCGCTGTCCTGTTACAACTTGGATTGATTTGTGGTAAAGGGAAAATCTAGTAGGGCGCTCGGAAGGGAAAAAATGGTGAAAATAAAAAGAAATACCTAGCTAGACTCTTCTATATTGTATAGTACTTATACACTACGTATAGCTAGTATAATAAATCATCATCAAATCATCTTTGAAAGTACAAAATGGACATGGGCTGAAAGATGCCTTGATAATAATAAATAATCATAGTATGTATAATGTACAATTGAGAATATTATTACATTATTCACAGTTAGTATAACCAACGACCACTAGAAATCCATGGTATTTCTAGTAGCCCTTGGTATAATCATCAAGGTATCTTTAAAAGGACAAAATGGACATAAATTAAAAGATGCCTTGATAATCAAAAATCATGGTATAATGGACAATTTAGAATACCATTACATTACTTACAGTTCGTATAGTCATTAAAACATCTTTGAAAGGACAGAATGGATATAAATTGAAAGATACCTTGATAATTAAAAATCATAGTATAATGTACAATTTAGAATACCATTACATTACTTCCAGTTCGTATAATCATCAAAACATCTTTAAAAGGACAAAATGGATATAAATTGAAAGATACCTTGATATTTAATAATCATAGTATGATGTACAATTTAGAATACCTTTACATTGCCTCCAGTTCGTATAATCATCAAAACATCTTTGAAAGGACGAAACGGATGTAAATTGAAAGATGCCTTGATATTTATAAATCATAGTATAATGTACAATTTAGAATACTATTATATTACTTACAGTTAGTATAAACATAGTGTAATGTACAATTTAGAATACTGCTATATCACTTACAATTAGTATAATTATAATCATCAAAGTATCTTTGAAATGACGAAATGGACACGGGCTGAAAGATACCTCGATAATCGATTAATCATAATCATGGTATAATGTACAGTATGGACAATTTAGACTACTACTACTACTGGGTTTATATTCCCGAGTACTATACTTTGACGACTAATCCAAGACATTAATCTCCTTTGATCTATCGTGCAACAAGAGATTATCCCAATATAGCGATCACTTTCAATAACAAGTCTGCAAGCAATTTGATTTCCAATTAATTGGCACCCGTAAACACTAAACTGAAATAAATCCTTTACTGCGAAAATATCGCTATCTTCATGCAAGGTTTTGCGAATAAAAGCGAATCTTGTGTAGGAATTTCTCAAAAATAATTTTCCAAAAATTGAGAAAGAAAACACCGACAACAACGATCTTGTGAAAGGAAGAAGAAAATAAGTTCGATACTGTACTGTAGTAGTAACATGATATAGGCCTCTCTTCTTCGACAAATTTGCTATAAGGACGAAAAAGGATCTGCGACTGTATATATCAGATTTACCTTGTGCAACAAGTATATTCTCTCGTAACACGATACAGCTTTCTCTTCTACGACCCATTTGCGCTCGGAACGTTAGACTTTTCTTGCGCGATCTGAATTCTGTAAAAACATAATACAACTTTCTTTTCTGCGACACATTTGTACTCTGTGCGGCTAAGAATCTCTAGTGTGGTGTTGTTCCTTTAACATCTGATCTGACTAAGCTTTAAGTTATCTTAGCTGAATACCTACGTAAAACATTGCATGAAACATACTCATATATTGCAGATGATCAAATAAAATGTTAGGGTACAATAAATCAACTGAATCAAAATAATAAATTAATCTCCATCTATAATAAGTATTCTATCTATAACGTTATTAAGTTGAAGATATTAGACACGCAATGTACCGCAGCATTGTACAGTATTTATTTATTTCACTGTTAATAACTAATAGTTAACCATGGCTAGGGCTCTTTACTATCAGAGTAAAAGAACTCTTTGTTGAAAGCGTGGTAAATAATCTTTGCAGTTACAAATGCAGTATCAATTTCGTTGCGCAAAGGCATACCACAAAGATGTACTACAGTATAGTAAATCTCTTTCCAAAGTAATTGCATGTCTATCGAAATAAACTCGCATAATTAATAAACACAGGGACTAAAAGAGGAGAGAGTGTTATATTTATAAAGGTAAAAGAAAAAGCTAATTACAGATACGCCCGTATATTATACAAGACCATAGACTACTAGTCCATGACAACGTACACACTACAGTTAAAATAGCGAAATATATAAAATGCCATCGTACTGACAAAAATGGTATGATAGCAACTGCCTTGCCAATAAAACAGAAAACTATTGACGCCATTGATTGCTAAGAATTTAATATTAATGTACGCGCATAGCGTTTTTTTTGTGCAGTGGCATTTCTACCTAAAGGTTCAATAAATGAAAAAATTCAGGAATATCATGCATAACCACTGTAGATTGACTGTGTTACGTTTTTTAACTCCTCAACATTCCAAACAGCTCAAATCTCCTTATGCAATAAAACTCACAGGGGTATTATAGTATGCAGATAGGAATACCATCGACAAAGTGATACACTACTTGTAATACAATTTTGCTACTACCATATTATCACATGCTATCTATTACAGCCATTAATACCAAACGTAGCAGACTGTAATAAACATTTTATTCTTTTTATTATTAGTCACTCTCTTACACATACACATACACATTGTATAAGCATAGGACTCTGGTGATATTTTTTTAAGCTAAATTGTCGTGACTTTACAGTACAAGATAGTTAAACACTACAAAATTTAGACTAAATATTCAGTATGTCATGATGTGTTATGAATTGAGATATACTAGTATCGCATAAGGTAACATTTTATAATCCACTTTCCCTAAATTTTCTATTAGCATTTGCGTATTTGTTTAATATTAGAAGTAGATCAATCAATTAATATGCACAAAGCTTCAGTTGTAAAATTAGTATACGAACAGCACGGATTATTGTCAGTTATTCAACTTTACAAGAGTAATTTATAAAAATAAATTATTTCTTTATACAAGCATTATTTTGTTAGCAATAAACTCATTCTAACGAATGACTTTCGCTAATTTAGAATATTCAACACTTTTAGTCTTTTTAACCTTTTCCTTTTTATCAACGGCAAAACATTTCCAAAATCGTAACGTCTCGTCTGCAGCTGCAGACGCTACAGTAGATCCATCTGGACTTAGAGTCATATATAAAACACGATCCGTGTGTCCATACAAGTCAGTGACGCGAACCATCGAAGGATACTTCCATATAGTTAGTTGATACTGAGAATACCCATGACCAGAAATTAACTCACGGTACTCTTTCGACCATAAAATATTGCAAACCTAAGTATGTCATAAAAGTTATATATTATATGTTATAGTATGTATAAAAAAATCAACTAGTGAACAATAAATAATCTGATCTGATCGGAATATGTGCTGGTAGTATGGTACGCTCAATGGAATTTTTAGGTACAATGCATTCATAAAAGTATTAACAATGTTAAATACCCAACGAAAGACTAATATTGAGAACAATGGACAACTTATATAGCTCAATGTACCTGTGACGCAGTATCGATACTATTTAAACAACTTCCTGTAGATGCATTCCAAAGTTTAATACATCGATCAGCGGTACCGCCTCCAGTTGCCAATAAGTTATCGTGCCAAGGACACCAAGATACAGCCTAATCATGACAAATAAAAACGTGGACAGTAAATTAATGGAGATTGTTACAAGAGTCATGCAAAGATGATGATTAACATTCCGTACCTTAACGGCAGCTTGATGATCAGTTAACGAATGCAACATAGAATTATCTTGCCAAATCGTGACCACATTATCGTTACCACCACTAGCTAGGTATTTACCATTGGGAGACCATTTAAGACCACACACTTCTTGAACGTGATTCGATAATGTTGAAATATGATGATTTGCTACACGTACATCATGACAATGAATAGCACCACTACCAGAACCACTAGCCAGGATGTGCTCGTTCCAGCTAAGGGCTCCTATTCGTGCTGAATGACCAGACATTGATCGTAAACACTTTGATTGCCCCACATCCCAGATCTAGAAGAATTTAGTTTAGATATCAAAGATTAAAAATTGGGTAAGCTATAACAGAATCATAACATATACTCAAGATATTTTCATCATATGATGATAGTTTAGAGGTAAGTCTATCGATAGCCAACGCTTTACTCCATGAATTGCTCACCTGAACCGAATTTGTGCTGGTACCAACAGCTAAGTAATTTCCTTCTTTGATCCATGAAACAGCAGAGATGTAATCGTTCGTGCTTTCCATTTGCATTAATTGATGTATTGTTCCATCTCCAGCATTCCATATGTATAGCACATTTCGCAAGGCAATAGCGACATGGTTATTAACACTCCAATCTAGCAAATTTAAGTCTAAAACATACGTTGACAATTAGAGATATAAATTTAACTTTAGCTAATCTGTTTGATTGTAACGTACGACTAGTCCAAATCAATGTACTTTACTTTTAGTATAATCTAGCCAGGGATCATTCATTGCTTTATGAGTCATCTCGAATTGAACATACATATAAGTCAATAGGATACTTACAATAATCATCGACCAGGTCAGGCGCGTCCAAAACTCTTTCAGGTGTACTGGGAATAAATCGACTGGATTTTTTACAGGATGAGCTAGTAACATTTTGCGTATACAGCACACGATTATTATTTTGATGACCTACATCATGATGATAAAAAATGTTGTAAAATTTTCAAGGTCTTTGGGGGAATAGTGTTTTATGCTGAACTGCTGTAACACAGTTGTACAATAAAAATGAAATTTATATGGAATAAAAGACAATGTATCACTGAGTGATACTATAATTAGGGATCGTACCTTCTCTTGGTGGAGGAGCCTTATTTTTACAGCGATAATTTTACTATCGAAATCGCAATTTAAGCTTTCTGATAGTAATTTTCTATACTCTGAGTTGCTAGGGGTAGTAGACTTACTACCATCATCTTTGTTGGTTGAGTTCATTACCTTATGATGGCTGACGTCCATATTCATAGCGTCACGATTAGGAATAAATCGATCAGCACTAGGCGTTTTCGGCGTTTTGGATTTTCCAATTGTCGACTTACTATGAATGCCTGGCGTAATGGATGAAGGAGTTTTACCACTAGTACTCGTATTGGCCATGGCTTTGTTGGCATGTTTCTGTGGAGTAGAACCGGTCTTGGATTTTTCTCCAGTAGAGAAACAGGCGTCCCTCTTTCGTTTCCATCGTGGGGCCGGCCCTGATAATGGTTCATCTAAATTGAAAATGCCGATATTGCTATTCATTTCTTGCTTGCTAACCAGTATCTGAATGAAAAATCGTTCACAAAATAGCACTACAAGTGATATAATCGCCTTGAAATGCTCTTAATATCCACCAATAGTTTCTTGATTTCAAGAAAACACCCTCGACACAGCACAGTTGCGAAATAATCGATTTAGACTGACGTTAGTACCAAGTTACTTCATTTATTGACTACACTACACTATGCTACTTACTACAAAATCATACACTACTGTACATTCGGACTGGAGGTGGAGGAGCATCAGTCACATGGTTAGTACGGGCAGTGATGATTGGTTACAGGATCGATTGCATCAAGTTTGATTGGTTGAAAATGTTGGTACACGGAATTTAAAATCTGGACTTTTGCGCTATACTATACACAGTGTACTGTAGGTCTACAGTACAGTACCGTACTGTAGATCGTGTACTGTACACTGTACCCTCCTACAGTTCACGATCGAGAATTTTCCTTCTTGCTGTACTGTACACTGTACACTGTACGGTATGCCTACTCGATATTGTTCTATGTTGGCAATTCCTCGGCCTTGGTGGGGTGGAGTGAGGAGGTAAAAGCTCTATATAGAAACTTGTTTTTTACCTCGTCATATTGCCATGTTGGAAAGAGAGAGAAAAACTTTTACGGTTATATATTAAAGTTAGGACTTTCAAGTGTTAGGAAAAGCGTAGTGTAGACTCTGCAGACACCCTACGGTATAACCTGCCGTCGAGGATATCATAGAATTGTATAAAAGCCAGCAGTTTTGAATGCCAGTCTACTGTATTGCAAGGCAATTTTACACACCCGACTACCTAGTCCCTACCTCGGGGCTTCTTGCTTAGAGAGCATTCGCCGGAAGCAGAAAGGTAAATAAAGGATGGAAATTGTCAACGCGGTCATACCTGATGATTTAGAGGAAATTCGTAGTTTATTCCGAGAATATGAAAATTTTCTTGAAGTGGACATTTGTTTTCAAGGATTTGAAGAAGAACTACAAACTTTACCTGGGAAATATGCACAGCCTAAAGGAAGACTGCTCCTGGCAAGAAAGAACGACATTATTGCAGGATGTGTTGGACTGAGAGAATTGCAACCTGGTATCTGTGAAATGAAACGTCTCTATGTAAGACCAAAATTTCAAGGAAAAAACCTCGGAAGAAAATTAGTTAAAAGAATTATTCAAGAAGCGCAAAACATCGGTTACACACGGATGAGATTGGACTCTCTTGGGAAATTGAAAGCAGCCCTGTCGCTTTATAAATCATTGGGTTTTCGAGAAACCCGCCCTTATTACGACAATCCCCTTTCCAATGTTGTCTACTTACAACTTGACTTAACTCAATTATCCAACTCAAGCGAATAAAATTCTCCAATCTTTATCATCGCAAATCATGGAAGAGCCAACTGCTTTCAATTGCACCAATTGCTACTGTATAATACTACAAATCAGCTTTAGAAAATATCTCAAATGCTACCTATCAATTTACCCTTTATTTATTATCTGTTGCTATTATACTGTACTGTACTATACAATATTCTGTATATGACCGAACTCGTCTATCATAAAATTTTATCGTCTGCCAATAAAATGAATCTGATTATTTTTTTGGGGGAATTATAATAACTTGATTTCATTATATCGGTATATTCTGTCAACATCAGTGTTAATTCATTATTAAGATTTAATTTACATCTACTGTACTGTACTGGTACAAAGATGATAATAGATCAAAAAATTGTATCAAGTTGAATCAATCTTAGCCATTGGGTAAAGGAAGATGCAATGTAGCGATTGAACCTCACGATTTCGTTGATATACGACCTACGAAACTTTCTCGCTTTCCTGTTGTGCAACATTATTATCATATTCTCTGTGCCGGTTGTTTTGCATGCGTTTAATCCTATACAGAACTATCACCCATGTCTTATACAGAGCTGACTAGACGAAAAGAGCTCTGTTTCTTATCCAATTACTCAGCAGTGGTAAAGAAACCAATAATTAAAATGGCCTTTAAAAAACGTAGGATACATTCGTACTTCATTAATGAATTAATTCATTTTTTGAACCCACGCTTAACTGGTATGAAAGCTGAATCTCCAATGGTCGGTTCGCTCTATGCTTGGGTCTTGCAGACTTGAAGATTTAGGCATTACATGAGTCCATTTTCGGAGAAGATGCGCGTATATCGCAGTATACAGGAATCAATATCTAGCATTGCGTATTGCCTTCTTGGAGTTCCTAGTCTCCTACTACAATATACTACAAGTTGACCAGGATTAGACGACTAGGTCCTTGCAGACAAAGATTCAAGAATCAATTTCTCCATTTTACTGTCATTCCTGGTAGTGTATCTTGAATAAACAACAAGCAACAGTCGCCTCTTTGGATCCAAATCGACTTGGATGAAGTAAAAGAGATCCAAATCGACTTAGATGAAGCAAAAGAGCTTGTTGCAATGACACTCTAATCTGTACTATAGGACCTTGCCCTATCATACTGTCTAGATACCTAAAAGAAACGGCAGACTTCGTCCCAACATGCATAGACAGGCTAAGCCATTCTTCCAGTTCTTCTATACTAGCTGTAAAATTGACAACACAGCAATCTTTAAATTGCTGTACTAGGAAGCATACGGTAGATAGTATAACCACTCAAAACATAACGCGCAATACGATCGATCGTATAGAGACTGGCGGATAGAAACTGATTGACTTGCATCACATTCCTAGTGTTGGATGTGGATGGTTGGACCACCGGCAAATCCAACCCTTAGACACCCAAAATTCCAATGCTTTACGCCTTCAATCGTTCGAAAATGGATGTAAACAGCCTTTCTTTAAATCGTATATTGGTCTTTCTATCACTGGCATTAATCTTGTGTCTAGCGGCAGTGGAATCTTCCTCAGGAACATGCACAGCGGACAGGAATGAATGTGATGCCAATTCTGGTAAGCAATTCAAATGGATAGCATTCAACCAACTACAGTAAATCATTCAAACTGCAGTCTCCCTACACACTAATATCAATGTTATTGGTACTAGATTAATCTATAAATTTTACCATGGATAGAAAAGCCAATAATATGATACATTACAGTACCCTAACCACCATTCGGAGATGAATGATAGTTTAATCCCTTCAGTCACCTTGGTACCTTAACTACGATGTATATAGGGCGTAGCAACTTTTACTCTATTCAAATAATTATAGAAAAACTTCGATTCAGAAACTTGATTTATTTTAGCTTTAGTTATAGCTGTTAAAATTGGCATAATAAGAAATTATCTTCCCGTTGTTATATCTTATGCTCCATTTTTTCTATATTGGACAGAATATGTATCTTGTTCAACTCATACACGTATACAATTAATTACACACACGCTGACACTGTGACTACCACAGTGCAGCAATTACTTTAATAAATGATTTATAATTCTATTTGACTTTTGAAGAACCTATGCGTAAGTATGGGCCTTACCTTCCAAAAGTGACTATCATCTCGCCAACGTGTGTTAAACGTCATCAATTTCATTCCAACTTAATTCGAATGTTTCAACATCAAAGATACGGTGGAGAGAAAGAGCTCCTAATTTATGATGGTGCTTGCAAATCTAAATCATCAGATGATAAATCAGTCAAATCGAAAGTAGTACTAAAAGCAATGGAAGAGGACAGTAGAATCAGATATTATTATGAGCCCTTAAAAATCAAAAAGGGCGAGGATCATGTAAAACTTGGTAGCAAAAGGAATTGGATGATTGCTAATAGCACCGGAGAAATTATCGTCCATTTCGACGATGACGATTACTACGGTCCTAATTATTTGCAACATATGATAACAACGATGATAATGCGTAAAGCCGTGATGATCAAGTTAATAGGTAATATGATAGATCAAGACAACAAATTCCAATTCTATTTTAACACAATATTTGGGTTATAACATGCTTGCTGTAGCACATTGATACATGATAGATTTAGTTCAACATGTTTTTATAAACCTCCGATCTGAATGCTTCAATTGAAACAATTTTAGCCTGGTTTATTTATGGTGAGCAATATCAAGATGGCAGACGTACAGAATCATTCGCCTACTATGATTATACTGTCAGCCAATCGAAAGGCTGGGGCTGGAATCTTGTTTATAGAAAGGAATTATTAGGTAATTTAAATAAAATCGAAAGCTTAAGCATTCATTCCTATGTAAGGTTCTACGTTCTTTAGATATTGGGATAGCTATACGTATTTGATCAGCACAACGACTCGATTCCACAGTGATTATTCCATATTACTATTTGGTGTTAACGTGTTAACCCTGTAACATTATTACGTTAAGCCACCTGTCTTTGTATTCATGTTACTAATGTGAAATTTTGGTGAGCCTTTCATTCGAAAATGACATTAAGTATCACTCTCTTTACAGATCAGGTGAAATTTAGAGACGCCGATTTCATGGAAGAAGATCACTTCGTCAATACAATCTTCACGAACGGAAACAAGTAATCTACAACACTTGCTAATTATGCGTTACACTACTATTTGTTATATCGAATATTTAGTAGCGTATTTTTATACGAGCTTTAAGATATCTTTTCCATTTCATAATAATAATAACAATCATGTAGCTTTAGAAACTTAAAAATTGATAATTTTTACGGTAAATGTTCGCTTTGGCTTATAGCTTAGATTTGTCCTGGATTAACATTATCCAACACATGATAGTAATTGTCAGCCATTTTTAATATTCATCTAGAGTACACTTTATGCAAGATAAAAATTTCTTAGCCATGAAGGTAAGCAATGATTTAGTTACCCAATTTTTATTATCCAATCTGAAAATAACTACCTAAATATTTACGTAGGAAAAGTATCTGTTAAACTTTGCGCGATAGGAAAATTATCATTCAGTTTAATTTAATGCTTTATTTCATAACACTAATACTTTTAGATGGCGACACAAATTTACACGTTGGTCTCTTCATTTGATAATGTATAATTTTGTAATGATAGTTTGTTACAGGATCGCTTGTAAGATCTACTGGGATGCCGTTATGCAAGACGTCAGGTAGCGACTATAAAATTTGTGATCGTTATGAATTACCAAGATGGCTCGCGGAAAAAAGTAAGTTGAAATTGACTTGTCAATAGTGTAAGATACTACACTAAATAAACCTTAACCATATTATAACGAGCATGAGTATAAACTTTAAACCGTCTCTATTCCTTTAAAATAGGATACTTTTAGTTGTATTAAGGCTAATGTAATAGCTTCAATCCACAAATTAAATCATGCCATTTAAATTAATTCATTTAGGCTTTGGATCACAAATTAAGGACTGGATTAAAATGGTCAACACAAGATAGCCAGTTTTATTTTTTATAATAAAATTTTGCAAGCCAATCTACTTATCATACTACCTTAGGACAAGACTTTACTGGTCGTCTGTATGAATATAGATTAGCTATATTACATAGTTAAATGAAAAGATATTTCATTGTAAATATATACTGTAATACAAAAGTGTCATTAAAATTGAAGTATTTTTCTAATAAGAGGTTGACTTATCTTATCCGTAGCTTTCCTATATTAGTAACAGGCAGTTTTGTTGCAATAGGACTGTCATGATCAAAATCAGAGTGATTATTTGCCATAGTAATTTTTATTTGACTGGCGGGTTAACAAGTATGACCTAGACCAGTACCAATAGATATCCCATACTTAGTATTCAATGTAATACGAGTACAGCCCTAATAGTCCATGCTTTTAACTAGTTAGGTCTATAATCATACACAAAAGATCTTCAAGCGCTATGCACAGCATTTCAATTTATCTCTTCGCGATATCCTTCATAGTGGAGATATTCAAATGAAAACGTCCTAGAAATAATCGATCAGAAGAACATTAGCGAAATTTTACGTAAATCTTATTCTCAATCGTATCTTCAATGCTGTTATTGAGATCAAATATTTGTCGGTGTACAGCATTAGAATAGGGTTTTTATTACCCAACTAGATTCCTCAGAACTAGTGAATTAACCCTAGTTAAGATAGGTAGCTCCAGAATTAGCAAATTTTCTTAATGATCCGGCAAATGTTAAGATAATCGTAGAAATTAACTAATACGTGAGAATTCTATTATTATGGAATACAAATTTGCCATTAATATTTAACTTTCAGCTTATATATGTACGTGTATAAGCAAATGTAATACAATTAAGCTATACGAATTGTCATGTAGTATACACGAAAATGCAGGGAAGTAGACATAATTCAAAGTGATACTTTAGTGATTGCCAAAATCAAAACCTATAAGTTAGAATTAATTTCTTTGCACGATCTTTTTTCATTTATAGTTTGTTCCATACTACTGTACTGTATGTCTATCCAAAACATCCAGTTATAAAACCCCCACGTCCGATATTGCAAGACTATCACGATGGAAATGGTTCTCGTTTCACAAAATACTGTTGTCTGCGTCGTTGCTAAACTAATGATTGTTGCTTAATGAATCTTTTTGCTCTATTTCCGATAAGGTACATCTCTGTGGCGATGATGTCGTTATAGTCGATATTGCTATGTGTAATTGAGAAAAAAAATGATTGAAATGAATCTTTTAACAAGGATATTCATATTTACGCTACTTGGTAGCTTAAAGTCTTGTCAGACAATTGTGAAAGTAATCCTGTCCTTGCTATTTTATGATGTGAGTTTGCGTAATACTATAGCAAGCAAAGATATTTCCTAAAGTTAATCATTTAACGTGCTAACATGCGGATGCATTGAATACCCTTTCACAAAGATGTTACTATCTACGTGGTTAGCTTAAGATGCTTAGCATAATCCTTGAAATACCCATATTTTCGTTATTTATTAGCTATCATATTTTCGTATTTAAGTTTACAAGACCATGCTAATTGGAATGCTTATTCTTTCGCAGAGATACTCTGTCTATTAAATGATTGACATGCAATTCTAGAAAGAGAACTATTTCAGTTACCTTCTTGACAGATTGTTATTTTACACTATTACTATATCTAACAGCGATGACCGCATAGTTGATGTTATCATGCTAATTACTTTAGAAATCGATGCCTTCCATAAATACTAATGGTCCTGGCTACACAATCATTAGCGTAAAGGCTCTGGCGAAATCATGGAAAATGGTCATGATTTGCCATTTAACTTGATATGGCTTAGCGCCATATCAAGTTCAGATGTTCTCTCAAATCGATGTTATATTAGTACTCAAAAGCAACTGAAAATAATCTTTAACAATGGAAATTCTGACATTGCCTGATTTATCGACATCATTTTGTTTGTTTTATACGATACCAGTTGTCTAGAAAAAGAAATGGCTAAAATATCAGGAAAAATGGAAAAATGATGATTTAAAATCTATTTGTTTCTTTCGCATCACCGTGGAAATACCACAGTACTCGATTCCTCCGTCTTCTTTGGGCTGACCTTACTTGATATTAGACCTAGTCAGAATATTTTTTCACTCCATTCCAGCCCTCGAAAAGAATTGAAGTGATTGTCTTTTTATGAAAATGCTGTTGTCTGCGTCGTTATTTATAATAATTTCTCGGAAAAGCGCACATTTTACCATTTATAGGCTTTGAAAAAAAATTGATTTAGTCGCAAAAAAATAAGCAACAGACTGCTATTCTCATACCGTAACATGCTAATCGAGAATTTAGCTAGAATAAAATGCAATAATAATTATGATATCGAATTAGATCTAGTCCAGAGTATTTTTTTCTTTCCATTACAGCCCTCGAAAAGAATTAAAATGATTATCCCTATAAGAAGATGCTGCCGTCAGCGTGATTATTTATAGTAACATATCGACAGAATTACGGGAAAGCCAATATTTTACCATTTTTAGACTTTGAAAAATGTTTATTTACTGTTATTGGCTGAAATAAGCCACAGACTGCTGTTCTTATAACGTAACATGCTAATCAAGGATTTAGCTCAGAATAAAATAAAATAGCAATGATACTGTATTATATCTAGTTAGAGTATTCTTTTTACCCCATTACTACAGCACTCGAAAAGAATTGAAATGATTTGTCTTTTCATGAAGATACTGCCTTCTGTGTCGTTATTTACAGTAATTTCTTAACATAATTACGGGAAAGCCAATACTTTGTTATTTTTAGGCTTTGAAAAAGGTTTATTTAGTCACAAAGAAATAAACAACAGACTGCTACTCTCATACCGTAACATGTTAATCAAGGATTTAGCTCAAAATAGAATAATATTGACAATGATAGAATCAAAAGTTGCAAAAAGAATAATGATTAACTTCGATTGTTATAGGGTAGGTGTTAAATACTTAAAAAAAGGATAAAAAAAATTTTTCAACGAGCTGCCGGATTATGCAATAGTTTAAAGTGCTTGTACACTGTATACTAAAGACCAGCCTTTTATTCGTGACTTCTTTCAATTAAAATCAGATGAACAGTAAATATCTAATGGCACGGCCAATGTCGAAATCCATATACAAAGAATAACAGTCTTGATAAATGAGCCACTTCGCCATTCTATCTGGTTGAAAATATCGTCTACTAGCATATCCACAGTAAATATCGAACAGCATGTTTGCTACTATGAAGAGAAATGTTACCGCATAACATACGCGTAGATGTATATTCTGAATTTACTCCCTTTGTCTACCTGAAAGACATATTTGCCATAGCATTTATTGCTTGTAGCTCTAGTAAAACAAGCATAAAATAAGTTATGCTGATTCTCCTCCTCATTCGGAAAATTTCATCGCTATCCAAGACACTATCGTAGGTATCTACAACCTGCTTTGAAGTAAGCGTAAATAGACATTATTCTATGCTTTAGTAGGTCTCTTCCTTACTAGTCTATTTTATGAAATGATCAAGCTTTCCGTTAATGAAAAATCCGTCCAAATACCTCGTTGTCAACACAGCAAGATTTTAGCTTAGAGACGTAATCATTGAATCACTGGAGATCTTTGTCACAAGAGCAATTTGCAGTGTTAAATCGTTGGTATAGCCTATACGTGTGCGCTATAGTGACTAAAATTGCAGAAGGAAGTAATAGTTATCTAGATCTTCTTTTGGAAATGATATAAGTACTGCAGAATATTTTTAGTTTTAATGGCTACAAACATGGGTGAAAATAAATCAATTTAAAATCAATAGAGTACAGACCTGATTCATATTCACCTTGAAATTATTTCTGATGAATAAGTCATTAGAATAGATGCTGAACTCTTTGCAAGTTTGTAAATATTCCAAGGTTCATTTTATCTCGCATAACATTTATGAGGACAGCGGTCAATGTTAACCATTCTGTAACCGCATCAGTGGTTACTATTATGGCTAGAGAGAGTAACCCGTCTGGATTAGTAAATCACAACTTAATATCGTCTGTACTATCGCTTTCTTTACTATTTAAATTCTCGAAGACCATAGAAACGAGGTCACAATCATTGAAATAGTTCCAGTTGTATCCTTAAATTACTTAAAAAAATGACTCTCAATGCTATTTCGAATTGCATTTAATTGGCACATGGTAAACCAGATTAGATTTCTTGCTCTAATCGCATCCTATTCAGTTAATACGAAAAATATCCTCAGAGTACTATAATAATTGCAAATCGTATTTGCCTTATACAGAAATGGATGAGGTTACTATCATTGAGCAACCACAATTGCATCCTTAAAATTACTTTAAAAATATTTTACACGGAATCCTATTCAACTCACATTTATCTTGCCATAAAAATAAACGAGATTACAAATCTTTCTTCCACTCTATCCCTTTAAGGTTAGTAATTTCTTTTAAAAATTTATACAGAATCTTATTTTATATCGTAATTATCTTTACATAAAAATAAACGAGATTGTTATCATTGAAACGGTTCTATTTGTGTCCTTAACGACTAGTAACTACTTTCAAAAATGATACAGAATCCTATTTCAAGTTCTATTCCTCTCAGCAGGAAAAATAAACGAGATTACATTCATTAAAACAACTTCATTTATGTCCTTAATGGTTAGTAACTACTTTCAATATTGGTACAGAATCCTATTTCAAGCTCTGTTTCTCTTGGCACGAAAATAAACTAGATTACATTCATTGGAACGGTTCCATTTATATCCTTAACAGCTAGTTACTACTTTTAAAAATGATATAGAATCCAATTTCAAGTTATACGAGTATTTCTCTTGGCACGAAAAATAAACGAGACTACAATCATTGAAATGGCTCTATTTGTGCCCTTAATTAACAGTCAACAACTATCGTACTTTAAAAAAGATGATACAGAACTTTATTTTAAAGCTATATTTATCTTGGTGCAAAATAAACGAGGTTTCAATGTTTATTCTAACGGTGCCTTTATAGCCTAAAATTCCTTAAAAATGCCACAGAATCCTACCTCAAGTTATATTTATCTTGGTGTAAAAATAAACGAAGCTTCAATTTTTATTCCAATCGTATCCCTGGTAGTCTACAATTCCTCGAAAATGGCATAGAATCCTATTTCAAGTTCTATTTGCTCTGCTACAAAAATAAAGGAGATTATAAATTCTTCCTTCACTAGTATCCTTTACCGGCCATTCACTTCTAAAAAAATTATTATCAGAATCTCCTTTCTTTAAGCAATTATAGCCTTTACATAAAAGAAACCAGATTGTAATCATTGAAACGGCTCCATTTGTGCCTTTAACAGCTAATAACTACCGTAGCTTAAAAAGATACAAAAGTCTATTTCAAATTACATTTGTCTTGGCATAAATAAATAAATAAACGAGGTTATAATCTCTACTCTAATTTTATTCTTTTATAGCTCATAACTCCAGCAAAAGAAAATTGTAAAGCCTTATTTTAAGTTGTATTAGCCTTAGCACAGAAATTAATAGGATTACAACCCCTGAAATGGTTGCAACTGTATCCATTACTATCAAGAATCCATTTATTACAGGATCATATCTTAATAGATGGATGGTATTACAATAATATTCATATTAGCCCTATTCATGTGCTCGTCGGAGACAAAAAAAACAGAAATTATATTCTATCAATGGAGCTGATAGATTGATTCAATTGCTTTAGATTGAAAATAAATTCATCGCATAGTCCATTCTATCCTATTTTGCCAACATGTTCGATATTGCCATTGATCCAATGAATAGATCACGTAACCCATTTTATTCCTATTTTGCCGACACTACATTTGTAATATCTCTGTTAATACAAATGAATTAGGTTGTACCTATCACCCATTCTAGGTGCCTATTTTGATATCCTATCTGAAATCTCGATTTAAATCGACTAGAAATGGGTATAAAATTCGAATTTACAAGGCTATGAAATATCTTTTTATGATATGAAATGAACCAATCCTAGGACTTATTCTATCTTACCAGCCCATCCAATATCACCATTGATACCAATGAACGATTACATAACCCCATTTGGTCCTTATTTAGCTAAGTTATTGAATAACTTCATTGATGCATGACAGATAGAAATTAACAATCATATTATTTATTTCAACCAAGTTGAACAGTAGAAAAGTACTAGCAATGAAACTTTCAAAACAGTAGAAATCATCAAAAATCCATGGCTTAACTCATTTTCATTTTCAGGTAAAAGACAATCTTATTCATAATCAAATAAAGATGTTATCCCCATTTATTGGGTAAGAAAAGTAGAATGTGAATAATACCAAATGTGAATGAAATTAAATCAAATTGAACAATACATCAGCAGCAGATTTAGTGAATAGGAATCATCAGCAAACAAAACCTACTACCGGGTGTTGACAAATAAACGTGTATAAAAAGGTTTCTACTAAATAGTGGAAAGAACCGATCACGTGCATGATAGGAGAAGATCAAGTTTAGATATTGGACTAAAGAAGATCAATTTACATAGGGAATAACATTGGAAATATTATGGGTTAAATGGGAAGTAATCAATTGAACCCAGCTGTTACACTAGCTGTATATTCAAGAGTACAAATTATAGAGAAATTTTTAATGCTATTTATATCATAATAAACACCTCGCATCGCCAATTGATTCATGTCAAAAAGTTGCATCAAGGCTGGAAAGGCAGAGTGAGAATAAGGTTATCATCAAGAAAGAAATATTATCTCAAGACGGCTAAGAAAAAGAACAAAATTAAAATCTCTCACCATGTCTAAGAAAGAATTACAAAAATCTCAAGCGCAAGTCAAACAAGTGATGGATATTATGCAAAAAAATGTGGATAAAGCTATCGAAAGAGAAGAGAAAATTAGTGTATTAAATGAAAGAGCCGATAGCCTTTATAGCCATGCATCTGAATTTGAAACCAATGCCGCTCAACTTAAAAATAAGTACTGGTGGAAAAATTTCAAAATGTGGATCATTTTGATCGTTACCATTATCTTAATCGTAGTGGCTATCGTAGTTTGGATTGTACTTTCACATGTTAAAAAATCCAAACCATGACACTCGTCGACAACACCATCCAATATAACCACGTAAGAAGAGTTCAGTCCACCACTCATCTATCATATTATATTACAAAAATTGGACCATTTCGAGCGTCTAATGAAGCGTTGTAATTCTGCCATCCGTTCGTAAAATTATATTACCCTGTTAGAGAATTGTTGTTGGATTTTAGCATTTATAAACAGAAATTTACTTTAGGCAATATCTATCGATAGCGATATATTAACAAAGGTAAAATCAGTGCTCAAAAACACCATTTGCATACATCACCTTACATTCAATCTTATACCATAGTGGTCTACAACTATTGGATAGAACAATGATTGGTGTTTAGTTTCATTAGATCAAATGATTTTCAATACTCTATATGCACAACCTTAATGATAGGCGTCGACTAGTTCATATTATAATAACCTATGAAAAATTACTTGATATTCATTTACTAAGGCTACTTTCTATAAAACTGCAGTATATTTACTTGTCAATTTTGTCCAAACTTAAATACGAATGAATCTATCACATCTAGGCTATCTTAGTACAGTAGTCCTTGCTAGAAGGTAAATACTGTAAAATATCTCTAATCGCAATTGCTGGATTCATTAAAATAATATATTCAAATTCTATTGTAAAGAAATCAACCTAAAGAAATAACTCCCTAAGCTAGAAGCTTGAATCATGCCGAAATATATTAAAATCAACTACTATAGAAATATTTGATCAAAGTTAAAATGGTGTAAAAAATGAAAGATTCAGTTATAAAAATTGTTTATTTCTTAATTTTCAATGCCTGAAATGATATCAACTTTTCCAAAATGTGTTACAATATCATTTAACAATTCTTGACATATTATTTTATCGTGTTAACTGTAACTGACTTAGACACGAACGTTTCCTATTTGTCATATGAATACTAATAATATCGGCATATAACGGTCTTCTTAATAAACTATAAGCAGTCGTTAGCAAGTGCAGAGCAAAATTATTGAATTCTTCACCCCTACAAAACAAATCAATTCCAAGCTCAAGTCCCATACCATAATCGCATTCATCGTTTGCAAATTGTACGTAAGTGATGAGTTCTTCTAACGGTTCTAGAAATTTCAGTCTTTGAGCCGTGTTCTTGCATTTTTCAATATTAGTTAATATTTTACCAAGGGCTGCATTAGTAACATTCAGGGGCCTATATCCAATATCTAATTTCTTATCTACTGGAACCACAATACCAAGCGTATGAAATGTATTAGCGACAACATATTTCTTCCTTTCCTTTACGCTTTTACTATTAACGCTTAAGTCGAAATGATATCTTGCAGCCCACTCTTGCAATTTGCTGGCTAGTTCATTTATTTCTTTCTTTGCCGCTTTACGATTCAGTTGATTGTCAATATAGGTTCTGTCATAAGCAAAATGATATTGTAATTATAGTATCAATATAACTTTAAATGATATTACGACATCCTACATCTGATTTATTGATTGGATAACTCAAGCTTATTTCTATAGTCAATATTTACAGACGAGAATAGGTAGCATTTGCAAATTAAGTGAAATTAAAAATTTCCACATCACGTCCAAATATTCATCTGATAAACTACTCACTTGACTGCAGCGAAAAGGTTAGTACCCATACATTTAAGTTCACACGAATTGCCTCCAGTATTGCTTGCGACTAAATCTGGCAATTTATCTGGATCATCCCTGAAGTTATACGTTAAAAAAGCATACGCAGTTTAGAATAAATCATGAAGTGGTTACATGATACATTCGTTATACTTTCAACAATGATAATCGTTTGTTCCCCAGCAACTTTAAAGCTATACTAATTGAGAATGATTTATTCGGAAGTAAAAGTTAATAATATACTGTACAGTTAACTGCCCCACAATGCATGGTTTAATGATAAGAGACGATATTACATTAAATTTCTTGAAATTTAAAATTCGAGAATTAACGTCCAATGCAGTTAAAGTTATAGTAGACATAACTATCATATAGCATTGGCTTCGAGCCGGCCGCTTACTCGATTTATCAACAGACAGGTCTACCGACTGGTCTTACTAGTCTCTGGTAAAAGGGCAAGAAGTACCTACATAATAACTTAGACTAGTAAGAGGTCACAAGTTCCATGGCTACTTAATGAATCAATGATCATTTCCTGGGTAATACAACCACCGTAAAACAACCCTACTTAGGCTACAAATTCTTTGCTTCAATATCATAACATATTTATCAGAATTTCATATGTAAAATAGTAATCGAACCTTTTTCAGGTCTAACCAGCACTTTATTTCTAAATACATATCATGTAAGCTTACTATCCTACCACTACTTTTTGGTGTGTTCTAATTAACCCAAAAGGCAAATATGCAATTCATAATATATATAGGTAATTGTTCACAGGTATGCTACCACCATTATTACTACTGTACTATCTAAATGAGCGAGTACAGGCTACCTACTACATCTTCCACAATACTACAGCATCGCGACAGGCACTAATTACTAATTTATATAAATTTCAAATATATTTAAGCATGCAAGCCAAAATTGTCATGTAAGAGTAAAACAGCTCCTAAAGCTGAGCCTATAATATAAGGGGTCAGTTTATTTCTCGCCGGTTAAAACATTTGAATCAAGATCTAATAATGTAATCAAAGCATGCACATATCAAATAAAATCGATAGCACACAGTACCTATAATAGCCAAAATGATACGAACTTTCATCTTCTCTGGCTAGCAAAGTCATCATTTCGGGGGGATCGTAATAAAATCTCCAGTGTAAATAATAGGAAGTTATCGATGATTCATCTCTATCATCAAATTGACCAGCTAAAACGTCGAAAGCTCCAACCAGTTTTAACTGTAGGGTATCCATTAAAGCATCTATAAAATCATTTATTTAACGGAGCAAAACAAGCAAAGTATGCTAAGAATCGCATATCATAGAGAAAGTACTGTAAGAAGTACGCTTTCTCACGGTCATATCAGCAATGTAAAGCGCTATAACTTTTGAGAAGTTAAAAGTCAAGGTATAGCTGTACCTGATGGAGCTGTAGGATTTACTTCTTGGCAAAATTCATAGAACCTAAAGAAATCGTCTGGCATAGTAACACCGAATTTTGCTTTCATGAATTCAATCCGTTTGCTGTAATCGATCTCAGAATCATGCTCCTTGCTTTTTTTATTAGACGGCACACTGTCCTGGAATTCTTCTTCAGCATTTTTTCTTTTCCCTGATCAGAATTCAATTAAGTTTAGCTCTGATTGTATCGAACATATAATTTGGTATGACATAGCTTGGAATTTACAGTCGATATAATCAGAGAAATACTATTATCAACAGTCATCCAAATGAGAATTACTTTTGTCATGTATAGTAACGATCGTTGCTGTTCATATCGTATGGTACATTTATGAGTGTGCAATAGATATAATCTACAGTTATATACCGAATAAGAATTGCTTTTATCTTATATCATAATAATAATACAGTATAGTCATTGCTGTTCATATCCTACAATTACGAGTTTGCAGCAAGTGTAATTCGATAAATGGATCTTGTACAATCACCGAACGAGAGCTATCTTTATCATGCAGCTTAAAATCTGCATTATGTAATCGTTGGTGCAATTTCGAATTCTAGAGAAGGTAGATAATTTATTACAATACCCAACTTATTGCACTTATATTCTAGCAAATATTTCACGATTTAAAAATTAATCATGCCTTCACGAATACATAATTTGGGTAGAGGTGAAATAACGTTAGGAGAATACTTTGTAAATAGTACCTGAAGATTCCACATTCGATGCCGTTGGCTGTTTCTAGAAAGTCATAATAACATAGATATGTTTAAAAGTTATTAGTCATCATCATATGGCTCTATCAAAATGGAGCAACATCCAATCTTATGAGGATTTAAACCGCGCACAGCAATAATAATATTTCCTTGCAAACATGGAAACGATTGACGTGGCTGTTCTGATACCCCTACTTGGGAAATCTCCTCGATTCTGGTTAACTTCCAGAAATAATAAGGTATTAAACTATACCAGGTGATCTCATAATGTATTAAGCTACTGCAAAGCGGACAGAATTGAACCATGGAATTACCCAGTCAATTTAATTGAATAACTAGAACATGCCTTGATTAATTATCATTATGTGAAAGGCATTATATCGTAATTCTAGCAATTGAAACTATTTCAACTTGTGCAATCTTGCAGCTACGATCTCACCAAGATCTCTACAATATCCAGAAACTATTTTCAAATTAAAATTACAGCAGTGCTTCTACTCTATCGATTTCAAATTCGTAAGACAAAATGGCTACACTGCAATGTGTTTACTATTTACCTTTACAAGCTTTCTTGGCGCCATTTTTCAAGCTGATCCTGCAAGTGAAGCTTTAAAGCTTCACTTGTACTGTGTGATACGGAACTGCAAGCTACAGTACATGGTATTGCAGATTTACAGTATTAACTACAGTACTGGTACCGGTAATGTATCCTGATGCTAAAGTATTGTCCCGGTCCGGTCGTTTGAAGGAAAGGAAAACAAGTAGTGCAACTGCAACATTATAGCTACAGGTTGCGGTAAAACAAAAATTATTTATCCCTGGCTGTAGGTTTTCATTTGCCGTTTCTAAACGAATTGAATTCTAAGGAGCATGTTCCATATGATCCCGTTATCGTCTCGACCAATAGTTATACAACGCAGTAATGCAGCTGTACTGTACTGTGCTCGCAACTAAGTTTTAATATTTGTACTCGTATGCCCTTATGGACTACGACGTAACTTTGAATCAAGTTATAATACAGTAATAGTACTGCAGGAGGATCACATACCAGAGCTTAATAGAGGTGCTTATTCCATGCAACATTGCTGGTATTACGGTACTGCAAAAGCTAGTTAGTTAAATAAATGAAATGATACTGCTATAATTTCCATCATAAAATTAACAGAGATTTTGATGATTGTAGTCGTTATTAATAATTTATTCATCTTACAATATAATGATATTTCAATTGTAACGATGGCACAGTATAGCTGGATAGTAACTGTAAGTACATAATATAATTAATTTTAGCAAATATTGTTCTCTATCTTTAATCCTGCAAAAAAAATATTGCCATCAACTTTCAACGCAAACGTGTACAGATATGGTTTACTCATTAATTACTTCCATAACATACAGATACAATTGCTGCAGCTCATAATTGTTTTCACCACAAAGCAAAACACCCATTTAATTTAGCATGGTGATTTTTGCAATCACTCTTAGAAAGTACCTTAGTAACATAATAAAGTGAAACGTTGTAATTACAGTATTAACTGAATATGCAAGTGTCATAATATGCGCCATCTTGTATAGCTACCAGTATTAGCATATGTAAATACAGATATATAATAGACCTTAACAGAATCGTATTTGTGCCGATAGTGTGCAGGATTAGATCAATACATACACACGATGCTTATCTACTTAATCGTGTAGGTTGTCATTTACATAATCAATCCGTAATGATCAATTATTAAATCATAACAAGGTAAATTGTTGCTTCACTTAATCAGTTTCTACCATATTTTGCTGTAATATGACCAATTGACCTTTCATTTTACATCGAAACTTATACGTACATTAAATAATACATTATTTGATCCAAGTAAAGTAACGTGAAAAGACATTACATTAAATCTCTGAATTGCACTTTACCTATTAGATATAAGTAACAGTTATAATTTAACAGATGACTAAAAAACCCCTGCTATAAGATTTCTACATATCTCAATAGTAATCATATTAGTCTGATCTCGCAACTCTTACATTTGACATCGAAGTTGCACCATAGTTCAGAATTTGATGACATACGTACATATATCTTTATACAGAAAACCACAAAAACATTTTAATATTAACGCCCGCTAAATTCAATAGGTTCTAGATAAATCTTACCTTACAAATTTACAAAAAATCCTAAATATACTGCTATATACAAACACCTAAAGCCAAAATACTTTAGAGTGGCTTCACAGGTCTTACTAACTTATGGAATATCAAGTTCATAGGTGAATAGAAAAGTGCTATAATTTACAGTACAATTGTTGATAATTTCTTAAAGTCAATTAAGAAATCCATCAAATTGCTGAATATACAAGGTTACATTATGCAGCGGTGGATTTTCATCAAAATCCTCAATGTTAGCCAATAATTTTCGAGCAGTCGATCAACCCTTTGCAAATATCCTATGTTTATCCATTTTAAAATTTTAATCACGAAAGCAACCCATGGTCAATCATTTTGCTCCCAATCATAAATCAATCCAAATTAGACCAATCCTACCAAGGAAATTTACCGTCCAAGATAATGTAAAGATAATATAAACATACCAGTTATATATAGGTAACAATTAATCCGGTCCCATTGCTTGTGCTTTATATGCGTATATATTTGAAGATATTTAAGTGGGGTTTTGTTGAAAAGTTTATAAACTAAAGACGCTCTCCACGACTTGCTATTACCATGCTGGTATAATATTAATCTTTTGTACTTTGTTAGACCTGGGTGGCTACCGATTGGCTAGATACCATCGAGAACCTTGAGCCCACCAAGTGTTGCCTTGATGAGTATGACTAATTCAATATCAAAGGAAGATTTATTAATTCTCAAATGTATAGTATAATAGGAGTCTTGCGATAGGTAACAGTAGCAGAAACTTTCATTTATTTATTTCATACTTACAAAGTTGCCATTGGATATCGCAAGAGAAACAGGTCGACTGTTATTTACTGGTCGCTGCATTAAGAAATTATAAAAATTTATAAGGCCACTGCAACACTAGATTTGCTTTACTATGCGTATGCAATGTAAAGATAATATGGAATGATATCGTTAGTATACTCACTTTTGAGATATCTTCTGTGGTTTCATTGATCATTGCCCTATTCGTCATCGATTGGATATCGAATTCGTCAAAAGTTTTTTTACTAAAATTTAAAATACAAGAAAATAGTCAATGCAAGTAATCGATAACAAAGCAATAAGCTAAAAAAGAATCGGGGTATATTACATAATCATAAAGGGTCTTACTTTTTTCCATGTCTTCGTCTAACAATATACCCTATTATAATAATAATAATCAAGAATCCAATCGCACAACCAGCTGCAACTCCAATTGTCATGGCTTCGCCAGTAGATGCAGATGTAATAACTGTACAGTTATTTCCACCATACCCGACCGAGCAACTATTAAATAAAAATTAAGCAACTATAAGTAGATGTAAACTCAGAAAGTCTAATAATTTTAAGCTAAGCAAAGGCTTAAACAATCTTACCTGCAATATGGTACACCGTTAGTTGAATTTATTAAACAGGAACCATAACCACAATCGATCGATTTACAATTATAACTTTGAGCTAAATGAAATATATCATATTTGCAAATACGTTAATTTTTATTGTAATAAATACGGAAAAAAATGAAAAAACGAAATCAATTTGTTTTATCATTTAACAATCAATGTTAATCTTACTTGGAAGTAATACACATCCAGTCCCATCAGAATCTAATTGCCAACCATCTTTGCAAAGACAAGTACGTTTGTAATCACCGGTTTTAACGCAAATTTGACTGCAACCACCTTTATTCAGGTGACAGGCATCATAATCTATACAGATTACGCATGAGCTCAGTTAACTATCTAGCAATCATTACAACATCTTTTGATTGTCATTCGTGTACAATACTTACGTCTTGGTTGCCTTTGCAATTGGAATGTTGTAATCCCCATAGGTGCATATAAGTCAGACAATAGCACACTTCTGTTTGCTCCGGTAAGTTTATTCGCTGTTTCGACAGTCTTACTTTCCCAATCAGTCCAATAAACGGAATTTTCGAATACAGTAATAGAAAATGGATGTGGTATACCCTTAGAGAGAATAACTCTTCTGCCTGAACCATCTAAGTTAGCACTTTCGATATGATGATGTTTACCATCTACCCAGTACATTTTACGTTGAGGGTAATCAATGGTAAGACCATTAGGCCATTCAACGTTCGTACTAACTAAGATTTGACGCTGCGTACCATCTAGTTTCGCTCGTTCAATTTTAGCGCTTGAGCCCCAATCCGTAAAATAAATGTAACTATAAAAAATTAATACAATATTATAAATTTATTATGATGTTAATCTACACAGAAGATATTAAAAAAAAAATCAATTTTCATCATTTAATTTTAAGATATCGTTGTTTACCCATCGACTGGATCGACCGCCAAGCCTCTTGGATCAGCTATGTTACTAATAATGGTTTTCACATATCGACCATCTAAATCACTCATTTTAATTGCATCCAATCCAGTATCAGTCCAGTAGATAGTATCATGTATCCAATCAACAGCGACACACTCAGGTGATAAAACACCATCGCTAATTATATACTTATTTTTACCAGCTACAGTACCATTGCTATGAAGAGTTACTCGACCAATTTTTTCCGAAACAATATCCGTCCAAAACAGTAATCGCTTTCTTACGTGGACATCAATACCAATAGCTCCTTTTAAACCCTTCATCACGTCATTATATCTTGATCCTTTGATAGTGAATCTATGAATATCTCGACGATTTGCAAAAAATAGCACTGGTTCTGGACCTAATGCTTTGCAGGATTTAAAGTCAGCATCTAATCTATAGCCGTCTGCACAAGTGCATTTATAACTTCCTTTTGTATTCTCGCACATCTGACTACAAGGATTGGAAATATTACATTCGTTAATATCAAGGCACGTTCTGCCATCAGTATCCAAGGTATAACCAGGGTTACATGCACAGTAATAACCAACTTTGGTATTCACACAATTTTGCGAGCAATGTCCGTTGTATTCACTACATTCGTTAATATCTAAAAAGTAGTATCCAAAATTAGAGTTCAATTTCATCTCGCAAAATTCATAGTAGATACATAATATAATTTTTTACTCATCATTAAGATCAAGCAATATAAGTTTAGTACTTACTACAAGTTGCCGGTTCATCGGATTTATCTTCACAATCGAATTTTCCATTACATACTAATTTCATTGAAATGCAAGATTTATTCGTATGGCATGTAAATTGACTAGAATTACATGTCAAGTTTGGCGGAGTTGGAGTAGTACAATTTTGCTCATCTCGAGAGTTAGCACAATCACTTATACCATCACACACATTGTGCGCATCTATACAAATGTGCGCACTACAACGAAATTGGCCAGATTTACAAGTCGTCTTATTGCAACCTAATTCATCGGAGCCATCTGTACAATCGGTTGATCCATCGCACCTCCATTCGGACTTGATACACTCCCAGTTCTTACATTGAAATTCACCGGCTCTACAAGTATGCTTCGGGCGACTAGTCGAACAATTTTTTTCATCGCTTCCGTCGGTACAATCACGTTCACCATCGCACAGCCATGATTTTTTGATGCAATCACCAGAAGAGCATTGAAACAACTCGGGACCGCATGTCTTATTTGCTATATAATGAAGTAATTTTATAACACTCAGTAAGTTATAAAAGTATTCTTCATTAACATGAATTTAATTTAACTAAAAACTTACGACAATTCCATTCATCAGAATTATCACCGCAATCGTTATCGTTATCACATCGCCATGCGCTGTTAATACAATGTGAATTATTACAGGTAAATTGTTGAGGAGAGCAAGTTGCGACCTTGGCTATAAATTTAAGAAAGTACATACATTAAATTCGAATAAGAATATTTTTAATTTCACTTTAAGCCTACAAGTTATAGATAATAAACGGGTTATGACATTGTTATTAGCGCTGTGCTGTCAAATTATATAAAATTTATTAGATTACATTTAAAAAGGCGTTTTACAATAGATACTTACTGCAATTGCGTTCATCAGCTGAGTTACCACAATCATCTACTTGATCGCATACATAGTCACGTTTAATACAAACTCCATTACCGCAAGAAAATTCATCAGGAGTGCAAGTTTTGGTTACTACAAGTTAAAAATGTTGTAAACTTTAAATTCCTACTTTGTAATAAGTAGTTCTATCAAAATAATTCTATAAGCCATAATCTCTATAACTTATTCATAAATAATTAAAGCATTTATAATAGTAATCAACATATTTTTTTTAACTTACGACAGTGAGAGCCTTCATCGGAGCCGTCAATACAATCATTTTGGCCATCGCATACCCATGAGGTAGTTATGCATTTTCCATCATTACATGTAAATTCATTGTTTGGATGACAGGTAACTTGAGCTAAAATTATAATTATAGTCGTATAAGCTTAGTAACATAATATTGCATATACCTCAATGCAAAATTTTAAATATTTAATTAATTCATAATCAAAAACGTAAATGTTACGATCATTGTCATTGACGCGTCTAGGATAAGTAAACGCTTGCAATACAACGGTTTCAATAAAGTATGAAAGAAATCTACATTTTTCACACGATATGGTATTCGTGAACAGTAAACATCAAATCGTGATAACTACTATACCAATTATAATTATTGACGTTGTTGCACCTCAAAAAGATTTTTTTTACTATATGCAACACCCGAGACACTATTCATATATGCTAAACAACGATTATGTAGACGTCCTTTCAACTTTTAAACGTTTAAAATTCTCCGAAAATTTGTGTTTTAACTCAGGTAAAATTATGCCATCTATTTTTGTATTATCTATAGAAATATTCGGTGTTACCTCCGACAAAACTATTCGTAGAACCAATGTAATCAGCAAATCTGGGTCAGTTGTGCAAGTAAAATATCAGAAATAACATCTTGTAGTAATTCATTGGAACAAGTAAATGCAGAAGTCGATATCTTCCTTTTCTCATCGTTAATTGTTATGCTTGCTAACTGGTGAGATAAATTGCTTCACCAATTCCAACAATTTTATTGTATTAGCAGATGTGAAAATCTTTCAATGCAAACATAATTTGAGAATTTTATCATCCTAATTCTCACGTTGTACACTATTAAGGTCTGTCCTCAACACCTATTGTTGCAGATAAAGGGATCCTGGATTACTTCTGCAAGTTAATTCTAATTATGCTGTGAAATTAACCTCAAATTCCCACAACAGCATGTAAAAAATACACGCATAGAATAATTTTCTCTAGTTCTCATGCTGAAATTCTTATTTCCTAAATTTTTAAGTCTTTGCATTTCCGTATGTCTAAATGCGATTATCCAATAAATCTCATCCATCTCCAAATTCTCATCCTACTGTACTATATGCATCTACAGTTAATTAAAAAGTTCCCTAGTATGAAGTACTGTACAGAATGGTAACTATCTATCAATGCTAAGTGTACTTTTTATCTCACCGTTTGTAGGCCTATACAGTACATCAAAAGTTGCCAATCAAAGTCAACTAGTTAGTTAATTAAAACAACAACCGGAACCGTCTAGAGTCATACCGTCTCAGTACAGTACTGTAAATCGATTAATATTTTTACAAAATCACCTACTGTACATTATTAAGCTCTAGAAAGTGATTGGTTCCCGAATGTCAGGCCATTCACTATCCAATACAATAATATCGTATTAATGGTAATCAAAGCTAAACTTATGCAACGTGATCAAGGCTAAAATGCGATGGATACTTACTTATCTGTGTACGGTACAGTACTCTAATTAATCTGATAATGGTTAATGGGAATGTAAGAAAATTTCAAAGGAGAAAGTAAATTTATAAAAATTGGCAGAGGTAACAATTATAGTTCCTTTTAAAGATTAGTATAGCCCCATTCCCATCACCCTTGAATAACGATCGCGACGTTAACATTACAGTACAATATGATGACAACTGTGTCTCGTCTCCAGTGGTGTCTCTTTTATCACAGTAGTCTATGTCATCACGTTATAATTTACAACAACCACGGATATTGATCTATTGTGAAAATATCTGAATGGAGTCCTCTATTTTTACCTGTTCTCTGCTTGGCTGGTTGATGTCTTAAGCATGAACAAATTTTGAAATGATAACAAAAGCATCATAAAGTAGACATGGACTCTTAGTGAAGAATCATTTCAGTAGTCAACATACGTTTCTACAATACCAGGCATTCTTTTCAAATTGAAAAAACAAACAAAGCTTCATTGCATTGTTGTTCAATGTTCTCATGGTGTGCCTTTGCAACGTATACAGAATTAAGGAAGAGAAACTAGGAGCGTCCATTTGTTTTATTTGTAAACTTTCCCCATGAACGTTTGTATGAATGTAAAGTATGAACTGCGATGTTAACGGTCTTAAACGGCCCATTTCATATTATTATTTATTATTGAGTGAAGATATTCAACCAATCAATCTTACTTTTGTATTGATGATAAACGCTATTTAAAATTAGTGTCCATCCGATATTTACTGTTAGTATCACTGACTGTACTATATTACATGGAGAATTTGCATCACTTTCGAACATTTTTAAACTTTTGAAATTGAAGTTCCGTATGAAACGAATGTCAATTACTACTATATTGTCACTTTTATAAATCTATTCTGTACTGTGCGCTTGACATCCTGAAAATTTCTATCATTGTCTTATACTATCTAACTGTAAATAATTGGCAATGTACAGTAGTTCAAAGAAACGACTAAAAACATTCTTTTTTAAAGACAACAACCGTTTTCAAGTGCTTGACTCACCACGACTACATTCTTAACACGAAAGCAAATACAATTGAAATTTCTACAATTATCATCCAGCTATCTTTACCCCCAGACAAATACTATCCAAATGGAAATTATTTACTGTCAATAAATTTCCGTATTCATCATTTTGAAAAAACCTTAATACAGTATCAAGCAACATTGGAACAATACAATATTTACTTTTAAAAAGCGCCAAGCAATGGGAAAATTGATTGTGACTACTGAACTGCATATACAGAGGGAAAATGAGCGACTACTGGAAATGGGGCCAGGATGTAAACGCTTACTACAAGAGTGCTTTTACCAGTGATCGCATGATGTTCAAAGTGTTTGCAAAGAAGCAACATGACTACTTCCACGCGACTTCAAATAATATCCATACAATGTTTAGGGACGTAGCACGTTGTATAACCTGATTTCAAGTTAGAATTGTTCGAAAACAGTGCTCCACTGTGTCAAGTTTTACTTTCTAAGGTATAGGTGATCTGTTATTTTTTTTTTACAGTAGCTATTCTTCTGGTCTGTCATAAACTAGAATGACAATCAATAGAAAATAACCATAGCGGTCCCATTCTCTAGAAATGGATTGCCAGTCCAATTTCAACATGAGTGAAATTTCTATACTAGACTCTTAGTGGACGCGTGATGCAGCCAGTAGAATTCACTGCTGATAGAGTGAAAAAGTTCACTTTGAAGGTTGTAAAAAATATCGATTCAAAAAATAGCTAAAATCAGTATGGCGGCATTAATCAGTACATGTAATGTATAAGACTATTGGATAGCTTTCTACTATCGGTCCTATCGATCCTCCACTTGTACTGTATTTTTTCTTCCTTGATATCAAAACATACAACAACCGCCAAAAATATCGATCAAAGAAACTTTAATTAATGGCCGTTAACTTCATGAAATGATTAGGCTCCTCCCGGCCTGGAGATCATTTTCTATTCATAAACTGATTTTATACAAATTAGTATGTAAAACGACTTTGCAATACGTGTGGTAGTAAACGTACGGGACTAGTAGTAAGACAACGTTGTAGTAAAGACACGCGGTCAATGGATTACGTGAGTCAGAAGGTGGTAATGTGGTGTACCCATACAGCAATCTTACTGCAATAATAATAATATCGGTATCAAGCATGTGATGTGTACATAGGAATTGTGAAACTACAATATTCCACAACAGTGGCATACGCTGCCGCTGCCGCCGTCGGCGTTTGATGTTTCCAAGAATGTAAATTTGAAATACTGAAAGCATTCCAAAAAGGCAGATGGACACTCTCAGTATGGTACAGTGATGGAGGTAGAAATACGTCCAGAATAATGAATAAAAATAATCAATAAAATCAAATAAATGCCCAATTGAAAGCACTGATAGCATTCCGAATTCATATTTCTACCCCCATCATCTTCAATGTCAATGATTCATTAAAAGCAAAAGTAAAATTGGTTGAATTATATACAGTAGTACGACCAATAGTAAATACTTGTTAGCTGCAAGAAAATAGCAGCTACCAGTAGCAATCAATACTATCATAACTTCTTTTTAAAAATTCAGCTTTCTTACCACAATTTGTTTCATCTGAATTATCCTTACAATCGTCTGTACCGTCACAGCGCCAGTCGATTGGAATACATCTTCCGTTTCCACAAGCAAATTGCTTGGCCAAATTGCAAAATTGAGCTATAAACGATTAAAAATAATTTTTAACATCAGTTGGTTATTAAACTTCCAACTACAATTCACCAAATTCAATTTTTTAAATCTTCCAGTCACATGGTTTACAACCATAAACAAACATATATTGCTCTACCAAAAAGCTCCAACTAAATTAAGACGATCACTCCAAATTAAAATATTCAACCACATGATCAATTACAATCAACGTGACTTAAGTATTTATTCATTTACATTCTTATTAGACTATCATTATAGTAGTATGCGTTAAAAATAAGTTGTAAGTTTTACGCGTGCTACATCATACCACTAAATCTTCAATGCACCCTTCAAGAATAGGAATTATCTCTAAACTGGACTATATTTAACGACATAAACAAATCTAACTCATCCATGGAGTGAAAGCCAGCTACTAACTACAGTAACTGCTTTCAACTCTGAAAAGCGAAATCTTATTCATTTGATTACGACTTGAGCTCGCTTAAGCTAGAAAAGATCAGATCACACTAAAAAATGGAATGACACAATCCAATGATCAATATCAGCTAGGCATAGGTCCTAAGAGTAATTTGTGTTAGCATAGCATATCGCGAATCCAGGTGTCAAAGTACCATGCAGTTTACAGTGTTTGTTACGCTGTATATACAATTGAAATGGATCAAAAGTCAGAATTGAATTTCAACTTCAATAAATGAATTTCATGACACCGTTGAAAAATTGATATATCTTAGTCAATTTAATTGCCAAGAAACTCCTACAATATGAACTACCAACGGATAGAAAACAGTTCTTAACAATAGCTTGGTATTCAATCCCAATACACAGTCATATGTGATCGGAATAAGAGTGGAAGAACTGCTCAAGCCAAAGCTGATGTGAAAGTTGTTATGAATGATGAGTGAAAAGTGGAATAGGGGATAAAACACATCATTTTAGACTCTCTCCTTCATTTGCCAGGCAATATTATTGTGTTTTCTTTTCCTTATGTATAGCTTTCAAATGCTGACATCTGATGGAAAATGTTACATTATACACAAACTTTATAGTCTATTTTTTAGCCTTTACAAAGGCCATTTTTTTCAATCATGTCCGTGATATAATCGTATAAGCAATGTGTATGAAAGCACGCAATGGAGACGTTGTATACAAATGAGAAAATGAAGAATTTTGCAAATTTCATTGAAATGCTGGCATAAAATCAAGAAACTTACGAGATTGAGTAGCCGCTTGAATAGTCGATGGATAAAAGTAGCAGCATAGTATGAAGCACAGGCAAGAAATAACTCGATTAGCCATGTTGAAAGGTCGAAAATTTTTCCAAGTGAGAAAGTGAAAAAAAAAGCTTGCTTATATTGGATCCAAGAACGCGTAGCGATATCAACAAAGAAAAATTTGTACGCGTCTGTAGAATTGAATTCTAAATATGGCTTGGTACCAGGGGAGGAAAAAAATGTCAATAGTAAGAGGACGCAAGATGTGGCGAGACTGGATGGAATTTCAGTTGAATAGTTAAGACAAAAATGGAATAAGTGGAAATTTTTGCATCACTTTGAGGACCAAATTGACTAATGGCGGACTTGAAAGTCGGAGACGCCAATACAATATTTACTAACAGTAAATCCAAATCGCAGTGAGCTTCAACTTGAATTTGAATACGTTGTGTTTTTAATTTCAACGGTCTACAGTACTGTCACAATTATGCTGATTGATCTCAATGAATTGCTGAATAGTATCATCATATCAAATTTGCTAGACGTTATATAGAGAGAGGAGACAGAAACCCTTGGCAACCCTAATGCTTTTAGAAATAGAAATTGAATGACAATACAAAAAGAATGTCAGATATTCATCATGGAGTAACTGGTCATCTATTCATAGCCCATCGCATTGTTGAGCTTGTGTCATACGACTCTTTGAGAGCAACGCCCCTTCATCTATTAAGTTAATTTACTACTCGTATTATAGAAACGCGCCACTTCCAAAATACAGTAGTAAGAATCGGTCTCTTTCAGCAATCATTCATTGTGTCAACGTCATTATGAATATTATATTATTATTATTGTTATTATTATGATGATTCTTCACAGTAAGTTGGTTGTATTTAGAAAGACATACAGGAACAGTAAGGTGCGGTTGAAATAGACGACGAGATTTCTGGAAATTTTTGTTGATTTTTTACAGTGCACGGTATTCTACCGTGTACATCAACTGAAAGGACTGTACGACTCGGACTGTAGATCATCACCTGATTTGACCATTATCGCGTCTATGACGTTGAATGATACAAACTTGATCTGCCAATTGGATTATTATCTTTCTCAACGCCGTAAAATAGCTCCATTTTCTCATTCTATCAATCTATCGATGGCATGATGATAATATTAGAATGACATACGAAGAATGCATGACCACTTTGTCAACTTATCCAAAGTGATGCCACCTATCAACGATCAAAGTAAAATGGACAGACTGTACTTTACTGTTGATCATGATCAACATGACTAGTATAGGAATAAGCCAACCTAATTTTCACTTCATTTCATCTATTTTGATCACTACTTGATCCTATCGAGCACGACTGAAAGTCCCTTGCCAATACAGGACATCGTGTTAAACAAGTATGTAGCATTGCCAACGTCTTCTACTATCGACAAATAACATTGATGGTAAAGTAATACTACTACACTTGCGCTAAAGAATGATCGTAATCATGCTGTAAATTGTACAAATCATACCAAAATTAGGGGTTACGGTTCGGGAAGGCACCAAGTCATGATGAACGATGACGCATTTAGCTTTACCGTAACTGACAAGATTACAGTTGTCATATGTTACATCCTCGCATTTTGATAAACTACTGTAACAAGCAGTTAAAAATATTACAGACTATGATTTTATACAGAGACTGTATGTAATATCATGAGCAGAAAGTCAACAACATTTGTAAATCATTGGAGCAGCAAGCACTCTTTACTACAAGAAATGCACACGTGTAAACATTTACAATCAAGCATCCATCGTTTATACTGCCTGGCCTTCCAGATGTGCTAGTGTAAACAACTCGTGGTTGTGCTGTACAAGAAAGCAACGCCGGTTGTTCGCATACCGTACAGTGTACAGTACAACATACTGTACACTGTGTACAGTACAGTATGCCTGGAAGAAGCATTCCAATCAAACAATAGCCAGATGAATGGACTACCAACTTAGAGTAACGTTTTATCAAGTTGGGAAAGCGCCATATGAGATTCAAATATTAATCCTTTAATGCAATTACTTTAATTACCGATAATTCTATCTAATAATAATGAAACTTGTACGATTTATCGTAAATTTTAAAATCTTATAATGTACTACTAAATGATAATTCTGCACTATATAATATAATTGAATTTATTACTTAACGGCATGACGTTATGAACGTAAGGATTACTGGTAAGCTAAATTCGATGATTCATGACTCATAACTTTAACATTTAGTATCACTTGCTGTACAATACTGCAAGATTTCAATGTAACCATTCATTTTCAGTCAGCCAGCCTCTCTTATAAAATAACCCTTTAAACTGTCAAAAAAGTGTAATTAAAGATAATTACGCTTATACAAGGTTTGACCTCAACCTAGTCTACTACTATTATATTGCTACTGTCGTATTCTACGCCAATATATGCGTACACACAATTTGCGACATAAAGAGCTCTCTCTATCCACGATCAGAATGCAATGATTTCTAATACAAAATGATAACGATGCCTATATACTGTACATATCAATCAATCAATATTCTCTCATAAGCCGAGAAAGGCAGTGCTTAATGTCATTACGCAAGATATGCTGTAGAAAGCCTGAAAGGTTCAAGTTCAGTCCTACGGTAGTAAACCTACTACAAAATTAAATTGAATTAATGACGTGTTTAATTAATTAATAACATAGGCAGTAAAAGTGGGCTGTGCAAATTGCATATTTCGTATTTCATACTAACTATTAGTAATAATTGGCTCTCAGCGTGTTTCCAAATCACGCCAGAACTATAGTATAGTACCTGAATTACGCTTCTAGCGCCCTGCCATCAACTGTCTGCATCATAGTAGGCCATAATACTGTACATTAATTTAATGTACAATACAGGATAGTATCAAATCATTAAATGCTGAGCCTTCAATTCTGTGGAATTTTAATACTATGTATTGCCGATGCACGTGTACAGTACCGTAGCTTGAACCTACGAACATATGAACAATGAAGGGTGCTAATAATATCGTGGATCATTTATTGCATATTAATATGAAAAATCATTTGCTAAGCATCAACTAGATATAGTTTGTGCAAAATGAACGCGTTAAATATATTATCCACTGTTGTAACATTAGCTATAAGACAACTTATATAGAGAGTCTTCCCCAGCAGATCCCTACCTGAAAACCGCGACAATCAATAGACAATTTTGATGTATGCGTGTGCAGGCTGCTTTAGTTTATTTCTCTATTCCTGCAATACCTTAAAATATATATATATACACGCACGCTCTTTTCTTGTATTCAATGTATCGACTCTACTCAATAGCGATGCTAGTAGATACCGTATGACAACTAAATTATTGCTTGCTGTACTTCATATCTACTTGTACCTGTATCCTGATGAACTATGCTTAGCCATCGCATACATTGAAAAAATAACAGAAGTAATAGCTAACTCAATAAGTATTATTACATCAGGCCTATACTTATAATCAGACGCATCTCACAATTCAACAACGTAAAACATTACAAAACCGTGATATGTAAATAATCTTCGGTCTCCTAAGCAATAGATAGCCATTTATTCTTAGTATCGTAAGATAGAAGTAAGTAGTCATTTTTTATAAGATTTTTTTTAATTTCCCGCTTTTACTAGAATTTCAAAGCTGTAACGTATGTACACGTAACAGTAGTTTATAGTGTTATATTTAATTATAGCTTAACTGTCGCACAATTATATTAATA